AACTAGTGTTTCAAGGCACACGTTTGTAGACAACAACAAGTGTTTGCCACATCTACATCCGAGCCATGTTTTTTTTCCACAATAAAAACTCTTTTATACCCGAAAACCACCAGAAGTCTTTCTCACATCTGACACAAACCTATGTTAAATGCCTCATTATGTATGGAGTTTAACATGGAGCAGTCCAGACTTCCAGTCAAAATGGACGCTAGGCACGGCCACTGTTTGAGCTGCACATTTTTTTTATTGCTTTTGCCAGACAATGGCTGTTGTATTTTTGCTTTATTTTTAGACTGAAAAACGATACAGTTTCATCGCACACCTTCTGAGTTGAGTGCATGGCGTGACACTGTGAGCTACAGATTTCTTTCATTTCGGAATATTTTTCTACTGTGACAAACGTGGTGGTGTAAATTGTATATTCAGAAAATGGTGAGATTCCTGTTATCGCATTATCAGTGGTGCCATTATGCGATTAAAAATTGATCGCCTGTGCAATTGCTGATCTATTTGTGACTTATGCTACCATCCATGATGAACTGTATTTCTAATGTCAGACTGTTTGTGTTAGCATTTCGGATGGCTACCATATGCTTTTATGCATGTGTAAGCTAGATATGCTAAGACAGCAGTCTGTCAATCTTTCCAAAAGGGACTGTGATAAGCACTCTGTGTGTTTTCCATTGGCACAGGAGCGGAGCAACTATGGGATGACCCGTTTGCTATGAAGCTGAAACTAAGATTACCAGAATTCTCTAGCAACTATGATATCATAGTCATCATCATCACCATAGCTCGATATTACAGCACGTTACTGGGTCACCAGTCACTGCTATCTGATCAGTTCCCCTCACTCTCTGATGGTCAGAGGCAATGGACTTGATATTTGACGCCTGTCCAGTTATCTAGGTTCTGTATTCAGGTCTTTGTAATATAATTTAGCATAGATGAGTTTACATTTTTATACTGACTGATGGGTTCCCCATAAGTTTCCACACACTGGAAAAATAAACATTTAAATGAGGCCATTACAAGCATAGCTTTATTTGCTCGTCAGCAGTGGATGATATGCATCAAAATGTGCTTACAAAACCATGGTTTTTTTCCTATGTATAGAAGCTTTTGGGACACCCTGTAGATAGAAAGATAAAATGACAGATGGACAAGCAAATGACAGATAGACAGACAAGCAAATGACAGATAGACAGACAAGCAAATGACAGATAGACAAGCAAAATGACAGATAGACAGACAAGCAAATGACAGATAGACAGACAAGCAAATGACAGATAGACAGACAAGCAAATGACAGATAGACAGACAAGCAAATGACAGATAGACAGACAAGCAAATGACAGATAGATAGACAAGCAAATGACAGATAGACAAGCAAATGACAGATACACAGACTGAAAGAGTGACATAAGCACATATATATATATATATGTGCTTATGTCACTCTTATAAATTAAAAGTTCACACTCATATATGTCCATTTTAGAAAGAAAAAAGTTAACATCTCATACTACTGTAGCAGGAAGTGAGAAACAATAAAGAACCATATATAAAACACAGGCATACATACTTGTACACATGCATGCTAACTTGCATTCATACATGAACAAAGATATCTTTGCATTCATCTACACATGCATCCCTACATACATACAGCATGCATGCAAACATACACAATGAGATAAACAGGCAGGTACACTCATGAACAAAAACCCCTCTGCACATACAGACGCAGACACGTACACAGACAGAGCCCATCCATCCATCCATCCGTTGAAACTCATAAATTATACATCAAGTTACCCAAGCAGAAACAACCAGCAGGCAATATCCAGGTCAACAACAAATCATGCAAATAATCAAATAAATAATAACAGATCATCAAATAACATCTAACAACTTCTGCTGTGACAAATGCTGTAAGAAGTGCCGACATTTCAATGTTCATATGACGAGTTGACAGATATGGCTGCATCAACAATCTGCTAGCTCAGATAAAAACAGTTTCCTTTCCAAGAAAGAAGAATTGAAAACAACACTCACAAGCTCACAAAAACAAGCTGAAGAATTTCTAGCCCAGTTGTGAACAAAGATGATACATTTTGATTTCTGCATACATCAACCAATTATAGAATTCTACACTTGAATTAGGTGACCACAATAAATCGCTTTCGTTCAGAACCTCGCAGACAACAAGACATGGTTGAGAACCTGCATTTGAGGTGAATGCTGATAAAATAGGAAGTTACTTTTGAAAGTTGTCACTTTTATAATTCGGTTAAAAGGATTTATTGACTTGCTTCATTGTTTTCAATTGTTAATGTCCTGCGCACCAAATTAGATGCAACGAAATATACCAGGCAGTAAACTGTGCAATCTATTGTTTGTGTTTTTGTTGTTCCTTAGGTAACTGTCATCGTCCCAATGTGGGATGCAATTTTTTTGTTATTTGAAGCCCCACCCTGGCTTCTGCCAGAGGCCCTGAATATAGCTGGGGCATAGATATGGCCTAACCGCTGAAAGGGGTTTCCGGGGCCTCTCCACGGGTGATCCTCATCCACATGGTGGCACTTTGTGTCACCGGGTGTTTGTGTTTTGTCCTGGTCAGGTACAACTACCTACCTACTTTTTGTTGCTGTTGTTCAAACTGAAGAATTTTTGTTTATCTGTCAGAATCATTTGCCACACACTGAACTGTAACAACTTACATGGGTACAGACTGAATAATTATTCCCTGAACTAAACAGACGGGGAGGACCCCTGGGGCCGTAGAAATAAAATATATACTCAACAAATAGACATGCACTGATTGGTACTTACAGAAAGAAGTAGAAAGACAGTGAACATAAAAATCTAAAAGCTATAGTGTCCATGCCAGGAATCGAACCTGCCACCTCCACATAAAGACAGCACCTCAATTCTGTCTTTCTTCTTCTTTCTGCAAGAGCCAGTCAGCATATGTTTGTCTGTTGATTAGTTAATCCCTTAAATCCTCACTTGGCTAAAATCCTCACTTGGCTAAAAATCCTCACTTGGCTACACTGATAAAGTATTTTTTACAGGCACTGGGTATATAGCAAGCACCATACCTATTTTTTCTACAGATCAACGGCCATTTGATTAATGATGTAATCAACATCATGACAGTGGTATTTACATGGTCTTCCCTCCCCCTCCATGATGAAGTATCAGATCAACAGGTCGTTAAATCAGATTTATATTTTGCAACACTATTTCATTTCAAATAGGTTATACAAACTGTACATGAAACACAAAAATGCAATCTACGTTGGTATCACTACTGTACATAATGTGAAAAATGCATAATATGCATACTACTGCATCAGTTAGAGTAACTTTTTGTTCTGACACTACCAAGGCAGCTAGCTACCTTTCTTTATTTAATTTGTGTGAGTGTGGTTGTAAGTGTGGAGGGTCGTAAGTGTGGAGGGTCATAAGTGTGGAGGGTCATAAGTGTGGAAAGTCGTAAGTGTGGAAGGCCGTAAGTGTGGAAGGCCGTAAGTGTGGAAGGTTGTAAGTCACATAGGTCATAAGTTCACCAGGTACATGGGAGATGACCCATAAGTAAGTAAAGGATCCTTTCCCACGCCTTTATGCGCACTGGGCATATAGGGCTAGACCTATATTTTACAGACCAATCTGCCTTTGGTGAGTGAGGATGTTGTCAGCACCATGCCGGCCACTTCTCAGGGCTGCACCCTCTACCCACTCAAGATTCCCCATATGACCATATACTAACTATTTCTTACATGACTACACACTGATCTATTACTCCCTATACAGCCACACACTGCTCAGTTACTCCTACTTCTGCTGCGTTTACCTTCACAGGAGTGTTAAGTAAGTTGTGGTGGGGTGTAAAGGATGTGATGTCTGTATGTATATTAAGAACAGCCTTACAGAAATGAACATCAGTCTTAACAGTACTCTTGACAGAGCTCATCAATGAATGTTACATTTCCCCCCGAACACTTCGATGCGGTACAAGGTGGAAGAGAAGAACAAGAAATAGAAGAAGAAGAAGAAGAAGAAAAGAAGAAGAAGAAGAATGTGTACCTTTCGACCAAACACATTTGCTTTCAGCAGACCTCTAGTTGGTCACCATTTACAACATGTTTGTTAGAGAGCAGTAGGTCACTGGCTAGAAGGTCACTGGGCAGTAGGTCACTGGGCAGTAGGTCACTAGTTTTTTTTCTCTCCACCAAACAAAAATAATTATTCTTCTCTCTGTTCTCACTCTTACCTTCCTGTGTGGGTTCCAGGGCCCTGTGTGGGTTCCAGGGCCCTATTTGGGGGCTGTGGGTGAAGAACAGACGCACTGTCTTGCTAATAAGCATAGAATTTCATAAAAGGTGAGTAGGAAATATTTTTCAATGTCCAAAAGCCAAGGGATTTTTTTAAAGTGGGCAACAATACACACGGGTGTCCGATCTTACTACCCAGAAACCAGGGGAAATTACTAGAACTAGAATTACGTGAAAAAATCCCAGCCTTCACAGAGCTTGAATCCAGGATCTCCAGCACTCGAGACACGACACCATACCTCGAGACCACTTGTGTGTGTGTATGTGTGTGTGTGTATATATATATATATATATATATATATATATATATATATATGAGTGTCTGTATATATCTAAATATGTATACAGATTAAAGTCTTCTTTCATTAGCCTGAAATAAATTATCTAGATCTGCAATGTTGTCTCTAGTATGAATTCCACTGTCTTTTGTATATGCACCTCATTTACACATATTCGAAAACAAGAAACTGTTTCAATATCACATTAATGTTTGAGCAGTTGTACAATTTGCAGGAAGAAATCAGTGAATGAAGCTTTCAAACGAAGAATAACAAAACAGAATTTGAACAGCCTCATCTGTCCAAGCAAGCCAGCTGGAAAGAATAAAAAAAGGACACTGTACATTTGGCAGACACAGTTTGATACTACTCTTTCATGACATCACTGTTTAACAAATGTTTTCAAAATCTCTTCTGCCATTTTGATGTTGTTTCTTGAGACCCTCAAGGCGTTGACAACATGGAGTCGATTGTATCCCATGGCGATGAGGGTGTCTACTTGAGCTTCGTTAATGCTGGACGTCTGCTGGTCGTTCTCTTTGTTGATGTCTTGGTTTTCTCTTAGACCTTCACGTCGAGGTGGAGGCACTCTGCAAAAACCCAAAAGTAAACAAGTTCAGTAAACACTCAAACAGATTGTGAACATTGATTATTTTAGGAAACATGATTTCAAACATCAAGTCCGCGTGGATTCCAGGGCCCCATCATGTGTGTGTCTGTGTGTGTGTGTGTGGGGGGGGGGGGGGGGTTTCCCCACTGCTCCATAATGAACATGTCATTAAATTGGACTAATTAGGGGCGTTCCTTTTGAAGTCAGGCACATCTGCCTGAGAGGCAAGGAACCAACATTCTGCATATAAACAAGCCATATCTGTAAAAAGGATGTGCATGCAAACTCTAGTTCTGGAACAAGGCTACGTCCAGAGGTGGATAGACACTAAGAACTTTCTGCAGGAGTTTACAGCCAGTGAATGCGAAGAAGAAGACACATTAACAACATATTATATATATATATAGAAAACTGATAGCAACTGTTTCACCTAAAGCAACAAAATGAAGATAATCAGATTTACAATAAAATACTTCTGTATATTATAAAAATACAGAGAAATATCAAAGCAACTTTATATTTAATTAAAAACAACAAATTAAATGGATATTTTCATACAACTATACATCTCCAAATAAACACACACACCAACAGATTTTAACAAATATTATAAAATTATAACCTAAGCAATATGCTAATGTGTGTAATATAACTATTCTAAATGTTAGAAAGGCATCAACAAACACAACAAAGAGCAGTACACACAGTTTATCCTTGTTAAACAACTCAGGTTTAACATTACATAATTTTTAACTGCCCCCAAACCAGAATGTTTCACAGCAGATGCAGAATAAGTAATAATACAATAACCCTCCCTACCCCCCCCCCCCCCCCCTTCCAAAAAAACAAACAGTCCAAGGTAGAGCCTTGAAAGAGACTAATAAATACACAGTGGAAGTAGTCAACGTTGAAGAATTTTTTTTTTAGCATGCTCTGACCAAATGTACAGAGTAAACACATTACACAACAGTCAGAGATCCTCCGCTCGACTGAATTTAAACAGAAAACAAGCGTATACACAAGAAGAAACCAGAAAAGAAAAAAACCCACTGTATTTACAATGCCAGCAATGACAGAAATGCAACCTAACCAAGCATTGCAGGCATGTAAGCCAAGATGCAATCTCTATCATGCACAGGAACTGTTTTATTCAATACATGTGCGTATCTGGCGATGTTGGGGCAGTCAATAAATAATAATAAACAGGCACTAACAAACAAAAAAATCCTAATGTTGTTCAAGTCAAGGAACTGCTGTATTCAATACATGCTCAAATATTTTGCACTGTTGGGGCAGTCAATAAACATTTAATAAACAAGGATAACAGAAAAAAAAGTCTTATATCAAGTCAAGAAACGGCCGAATTCAATAAATGCTCAAATATTTTGCAATGTGGGGGCAATCAATAATCATTAAAAGTCCCACACAATTAATTTAAAAAATAGTCTTCAGATTCTAACATACTTGGCCCATGAAGCACTCAATTTTGCAATGTTTGCAAAAACTAAATACTAAAGTACTAGTGATAAAATATAACGTAGCAATGTTGGAAGAATCAATAAACATGAAGTGTCTGACACAATATTGTTGGGGGGGAAAAAGGCCTTCATACACTAACATGCTGAAGCAATGTTGCAATCAATAAATGTTGAGAGAATGATTCAATCAATGCCCAAAAAAAAAAAAAAAACTCAAAGCACACTAAGTATTGATACAGTTCACACCCCCCCCCCCCCACAGTATAAGACAATCTCGACCAGCACAAAGAAACATTTTAAAGTATATTCATTCTCAAGTCTGAGTCTGAAGAAGCTCAGCACAGTGCACAGCCTCTGTAGCACAGGCGAGGATCCTGAAATACTTTGGGTAGATTTTTAACTGCAAATTTTGCCTGGGCAGGCCGTTAGGCTACTCTTTTCGATTTCCAACTGCCAAGGGATTTTTTTTTTACATGCACTACAATGCAGACGGGCATCCCATTTCACTACCCAGAGACCAGGGGGAATTACAAGAAGTCCAAGTCCACGTGAAAAAAATCCCAGCCCTTACCGGGGATTGAGCCAGGAACCTCTAGCACTCAAAGCGGACACCATGCCTCAAGCCCCCTACGTAGGTCAATTGATAAACAAGAACACACTGAAGCATTGAAATGCACATGCATTTCCTGAGGCGTAAGACATAAACACATATCAGACGACTCATGCTGTGATCCTGTGACCTCTAACACTGAGGGTTACTGGAACATTTTTAAGTCACTTGAAAAAAGCTTTAGGATTCACTTGGAAAACCCCTCTAAATGACATATTTAGTGAACATATTCACATCTGGGCGCACACAATTAACAGCTTTTAACTGCATTTTTCTACAATAGAAACAGTAATATATCAGCATTCAAGGGACTTTGTCACAACCAGAAGTGACTAGATTTAGCCTTTTGGGAGCCACAGCTAAATCCTTTAACATGCAGGGCCAATGCTGCAAACTCTGTCACAACCAGAAGTGACTTGATTTAACCTTTTTGGACCGACAGATTTAGCCTTTTGGGAGCAATAAAATCCTTTAACATGCAGGGCCAATGTTGCAAACTTCATCACAACCAGAAGTGACTAGATTTAGCCTTTTGGGAGCATTGGTTAAATCCTTTAACATGCAGGGCCAATGTTGCAAACTTTGTAACAACCAGAAGTGACTAGATTTACCTTTTTGGAGCAATAAAATCCTTTAACATGCAGGGCCAATGTTGCAAACTTTGTAACAACCAGAAGTGACTAGATTTACCTTTTTGGAGCAATAAAATCCTTTAACATGCAGGGCCAATGTTGCAAACTTCATCACAACCAGAAGTGACTATATTTAGCCTTTTGGGAGCAATAAAATCCTTTAACATGCAGGGCCAATGTTGCAAACTTCATCACAACCAGAAGTGACTAGATTTAGCCTTTTGGGCGCCACAGCTAAATCCTTTAACATGCAGGGCCAATGTTGCAAACTCTGTCACAACCAGAAGTGACTAGATTTAGCCTTTTGGGAGCAATAAAATCCTTTAACATGCAGGGCCAATGTTGCAAACTTCATCACAACCAGAAGTGACTATATTTAGCCTTTTGGGAGCAATAAAATCCTTTAACATGCAGGGCCAATGTTGCAAACTTTGTCACAACCAGAAGTGACTAGATTTAGCCTTTTTGGAGCAACAGTTAAATCCTCTAACATGCAGGGCCAATGTTGCAAACTTTGTCACAACCAGAAGTGACTTGATTTAACCTTTTTGGACCGACAGTTAAATCCTCTAACATGCAGGGCCAATGTTACAATCAATAAATGTTAAATGTCTGATATAATCAATACATTTAAAATCTGTATTTACATAAATGCAAACACTGCAAGCATAGAGCATAGAAAACTTACAATTCCCCTGACCAAGGCCGTCCTCTATGAATATAAGACCTATATAACAAATAGTGTTATGATTTACTGGCTAGCCTTCCAACAAACACTGCTATTTTATTAGGTCTACAGGATGACAAAAAGTGCTAAGATTTATTGGATCTATAACTCCTTCTTCATGTTCCCCTGCTGTAAATCTGGCAGAAAGTTCTGGCTGTTCGTCCACTTCTGGACTTTAGTCTTGTTCCAGAACTTGAGTGCTGTGTGCACATCAGTTTACAAATATGGCTTATTTGTATGCACACTGTTGGTTCCTTTCCTCTCAGGCTGATAGAATCAGACTTTGAATGAAACCCCTAATTAGTCAACTTGTACAACATTCTGGCTAGGGAGGCAGTGAGTCTATTTTGCCCCCCCCCCCTTTCTTCCCCCGCAATAGGGCCCCTGTACCCACGTAGAGACTAGAAACTATGAAAAACAATGCTCCTATTTCCCAGATCTATATGACGAAAAGGTGCTACGTTTCACTAAATCTAGATGACAAAAAGTGCTACATTTCACTAAATCTAGATGACAAAAAGTGCTACATTTCACTAAATCTAGATGACAAAAAGTGCTACATTTTACTGGACATCCATTTGACGAACAGTGCGGTTGTACTAGATCCATCTGACAAACAATGCTGTTTTACTCGACTTATTTTATATAAGCTGCTAAGATATTCACTGCTGTACTGTGGCATAAAAGAAGTGCCTCATGACCATATTGTCCATTAAATCTATTTACGATTTATCTATAAGAAAATCTATACGATTTAATATGCTATGCTTTGCTAGATCTAAATGGTGAACTGTGGCCTTTAAAAAAAAATCTTAATGGCAATATCATTCACTAAATCTATATACAATTTATCAATATGAGATCTCTATAAGAGTGAGTGTCTGCAAGAAGATCTACATGACAGTGCTGTGGTCTACAAGAAGATCTATTTGACAGTGCTGTGGTCTACGAGAAAACCTACATTTCAGTGCTGTGGTCTACAAGAAGATCTATATGACAGTGCTGTGGTCTTCGAGAAAACCTACATTTCAGTGCTGTCGTCTACAAGAACATCTACATGACAGTGCTGTGGTCTACAAGAAGATCTACACGACAGTGCTGTGGTCTACAAGAAGATCTACATGACAGTGCTGTGGTCTACAATAAGATCTATATGAGTGCTGTGGTCTACAAGAAGATCTATATGACAGTGCTGTGGTCTACAAGATCTACATGACAGTGCTGTGGTCTACAAGAAGATCTACATGACAGTGCTGTGGTCTACAAGAAGATCTACACGACAGTGCTGTGGTCTACAAGAAGATCTACATGACAGTGCTGTGGTCTACAATAAGATCTATATGACAGTGCTGTGGTCTACAAGAAGATCTACATGACAGTGTTGTGGTCTACAATAAGATGTATATGACAGTGCTGTGGTCTACAATAAGATCTATATGACAGTGCTGTGGTCTACAATAAGATCTATATGACAGTGCTGTGGTCTACAATAAGATCTATATGACAGTGCTGTGGTCTGCAATAAAACCTACATGACAGTGCTGTGGTCTACAAGAAGATCTATATGACAGTGCTGTGGTCTGCAATAAATCCTACATGACAGTGCTGTGGTCTGCAATAAAACCTACATGACAGTGTTGTGGTCTGCAATAAAACCTACATGACAGTGCTGTGGTCTACAATAAGATCTATATGACAGTGCTGTGGTCTACAAGAAGATCTACATGACAGTGCTGTGGTCTACAAGAAGATCTACATGACAGTGCTGTGGTCTGCAAGAAAACCTACATGACAGTGCTGTGGTCTACAAGAAGATCTACATGACAGTGCTGTGGTCTGCAAAAAAACCTACATGACAGTGCTGTGGTCTGCAATAAAACCTACATGACAGTGCTGTGGTCTACAAGAAGATCTATATGACAGTGCTGTGGTCTGCAAGAAAACCTACATGACAGTGCTGTGGTCTGCAAGAAAACCTACATGACAGTGCTGTGGTCTGCAATAAAACCTACATGACAGTGCTGTGGTCTACAAGAAGATCTACATGACAGTGCTGTGGTCTGCAAGAAAACCTACATGACAGTGCTGTGGTCTACAAGAAGATCTACATGACAGTGCTGTGGTCTGCAAAAAAACCTACATGACAGTGCTGTGGTCTGCAATAAAACCTACATGACAGTGCTGTGGTCTGCAATAAAACCTACATGACAGTGCTGTGGTCTGCAATAAAACCTACATGACAGTGCTGTGGTCTGCAATAAAACCTACATGACAGTGCTGTGGTCTGCAATAAAATCTACATGACAGTGCTGTGGTCTACAAGAAGATCTATATGACAGTGCTGTGGTCTGCAAGAAAACCTACATGACAGTGCTGTGGTCTACAATAAGATCTATATGACAGTGCTGTGGTCTACAAAAAGATCTATATGACAGTGCTGTGGTCTGCAATAAAACCTACATGACAGTGCTGTGGTCTACAATAAAATCTACATGACAGTGCTGTGGTCTACAAGAAGATCTATATGACAGTGCTGTGGTCTGCAATAAAACCTACATGACAGTGCTGTGGTCTGCAATAAAACCTACATGACAGTGCTGTGGTCTACAATAAAATCTACATGACAGTGCTGTGGTCTACAAGAAGATCTATATGACAGTGCTGTGGTCTACAATAAAATCTACATGACAGTGCTGTGGTCTACAAGAAGATCTATATGACAGTGCTGTGGTCTGCAATAAAACCTACATGACAGTGCTGTGGTCTGCAATAAAACCTACATGACAGTGCTGTGGTCTACAATAAAATCTACATGACAGTGCTGTGGTCTACAAGAAGATCTATATGACAGTGCTGTGGTCTGCAATAAAACCTACATGACAGTGCTGTGGTCTGCAAGAAAACCTACATGACAGTGCTGTGGTCTGCAATAAAACCTACATGACAGTGCTGTGGTCTGCAATAAAACCTACATGACAATTCTGTGGTCTGCAAGAGGATCTACATGACAGTGCTGTGGTCTGCAATAAAACCTACATGACAATTCTGTGGTCTGCAAGAGGATCTACGTGACAGTGCTGTGGTTCGCAAGAAAACCTACATGACAACGTGTACTAAAAGACCTACATAACTGTAATGGTTTGATAGCTAGGAGACGTACAGGAAAGTGCTGAGTTCTATAATACTTAAATGACAGACACTGTGGTTTGCTAACAGACTTACACGCTAAATAACAGACACCCTTATATGTTTCAAACACTCCCATTATTTGGTTCTCAGATCCCAATTATCTGGTCTCTGCACCTGGATAATTTGATCTCCGGACCTTATTCTATGATCTGCTTACTATATCCCTATCTCTTGTTTTCCTAGACAACCCCACTCCCCTACACCTTTTTTTTTGAAATAAATCGTGAAAAGATATTCACAAGCCCCATCAAGATTATCACTAGTATCATACATCCCGGGCAATACTGAATAGAGTATACATTGAAACTCCAATATGTATGATCAACTGATTCCTGAGAAGAAGACGAATATAAAATACCAAAGGAATTAACTAAATTTGATTTAATTCATTCCCAGCCAAGAAATTTGAATATCTATTCTTTTACAACATTCATCAGCATTTCCAGACAATTCTTTTAAAATAAGTTATCCAATGCTTGTTTTTTAATTTTCCAAAAGTTTCTTAACATATCATCATCTAATGAACTGATTAACTATAGTGATGTTCTGGTGCCTTTCTTAAATAAAAACCAGCATTTCTGCCCAAGTGGACAGTCATCCCTTAATTTAATCTCTTTTTTTTTTTTTTTGTCAGATGAATCTGCCACATCAGAGGAGGGATAAATACTGACTTTTTGGGTCAATATCAAACAAAAATTTCAATGAAAAAAAAGGATAAATTGTTAAAAAAGACGAATACTGGCGTAGGAAAATATTAGAGTTCCAATGTAATCAGCTATCTGCACATGAAGATCTTGGGTTCAAATCTGCAGCAAGATGGTCCCAACAAATATGAGTCTAGAACTATAGTGCCGGTGAACCAATGATATGACAGCGGTACTTTTAATATCTACTAACAGCCAAAGGGACCACCACAGCATCAACCTTAACTGTTTCCATTCCAAGCAACTTGAAAGGCGTAAATACCTCTCACCCTTAAATCCCAACCATCATGAAGTGCTCTTATACTCTCTACATTTGGATATAGTATACAGAAGAAATCTGGCAAAGAAATTTCAACAACAACAACAAAAAAACTTACAAAACACAAGAAGAGTGCTCATCTCGGGCTTTGGATCTGGGAAGTGCTGTAGCATAGTCACTGTTGAGCCGGTAGAGCTGAGGTCTGTCTTCGTGTCCTGCTGACCCTGTTGCTGTGATAAAACATGAATTCATAAATAATACGGACACAATGTAAGCATCTCCTTCTTCTTCTGCTTCTTTATTCACGTTCACCAGCTGTAAACTCTGGCAGAAAGTTCTGCTTGTTCAGATCTGACTCATTTGTATGCAGACTGCTGGTTCCTTGCCTCAGGCAGATGCACTCCGACTTTGAAGAAGTTCCCAGTTTGTCGACTCTTACGACAGGTAGGCAGTGGGTCTATTCTTGTTTTTCTCTCCATAACAGGGCCCCGGAACCCACAACATTCAGGACAACCCCATATTAGTTTTGTTCCCCTCCTCAACAGCCAGCGAAGAGTCCCCATACTGAAGATGCCGGTTATCTGGCTAACTACTCAACTTCCCTCCCTCCCAAAGTCTCAAGTGGTGCCCAGAACCTGCTGCATCATTAGCTCCAGGTACAGAAGCAGAGCATTCAAGCCATAGGGTGATGGAATATCCAAGGTTGTGAATAGCAGCATCTACATAGCACGCAGCAAAGGTTCACACCAGATGCCTTTTTACAACCTGACAATGAAAGGCTGAACAGGAATGAGAAAAAGAAAGAAATTTTCTGTCTCTCTGTTATCTCTCATTCTCTCTATATGCACCAACCGTCGTACATGATGTCCATCAAATTATTAGGGTCTTATAATATGGACTTTCAGTCTATCAAATTATTGTGATCTTATAATACGGACTTTTAGTCTATCAAATTATTGTGATCTTGTAATACGGACTTACAGTTTATCAAATTATTAGGGTCTTATAATACGGACTTTCAGTCTATCAAATTATTGTGATCTTATGATACGGACTTTTAGTCTATCAAATTATTGTGATCTTGTAATACGGACTTACAGTTTATCAAATTATTGTGATCTTATAATATGGACTTTCAGTCTATCAAATTATTGTGATCTTGTAATACAGACTTTCAGTCTATCAAATTGTTGTGATCTTATAATATGGACTTTCAGTCTATCAAATTATTGTGATCTTATAATATGAACTTTCAGTCTATCAAATTATTTTGATATTATGGACTTTAAGTCAAATTATTCTGATCTAGTAATATGAACTTTCAGACTATCAAATTATTCTGATCTAGTTATATGGACTTTCAGATTATCAAATTATTCTGATCTTATAAAATAGACTTTCAATCTATCAAATTATTACAATCTCATAATTATTTTCATTTATCAAATTAATTTCAAACTAATTATGCATTCAGTTTGCCAAATTATTTCAATTTTTCAACCCTATGAAATTGCTTGTACCTTTCTCACCAGGCCACTTCTTCCATCAAACGATCTTTATCTAGCAGACACCACACTTACCGGATGTAGAATTTGAATAAATCTGTGTTTTCAATTGCTCTGGATTTTTTAATGTGCTGTCACTGGGAGGTGTGGGTGGTAGCTGCCGTCTGCAAGATGAACATTACCAAATAAACTTCATCAAAATCGTAACAAAAAAACCAAAAACAAAACTTACAACAGACAATGTAAATTAGAGGAACAGACCTAAGCACATTAGAGGAGGCAGACTTTGCAGATTAGAGGAGGCAGACTTTGCAGATTAGAGGAGGCAGACGTTGCAGATTAGAGGAGGCAGACTTTGCAGATTAGAGGAGGCAGATTAGAGGAGGCAGACTTTGCAGATTAGAGGAGGCAGACTTTGCAGATTAGAGGAGGCAGACGTTGCAGATTAGAGGAGGCAGACTTTGCAGATTAGAGGAGGCAGACTTTGCAGATTAGAGGAGGCAGACTTTGCAGATTAGAGGAGGCAGACTTTGCAGATTAGAGGAGGCAGACTTTGCAGATTAGAGGAGGCAGACTTTGCAGATTAGAGGAGGCAGACGTTGCAGATTAGAGGAATTACTGTGAGAGAAAACAGATACTATAATTTAGGATAATTCTTTGTAATTTAGAGGAAACAGACGTTGTAACTTGGAGGACATAGACTTTATCACTTAAAGAAAAGTAACTTTGTTAACTAGAAGAATGACCAGCACTCACAGAAATAGACACTGTAACCTAGAGGGAAAAGATTGTGTAACTTAATGGAAACAGACTTTGTCCCTTGGAGGAAAGGGACAATGTAAATTAGAGCAAACAGACTTTGTCCCTTGGAGGAAAGGGACATTGTAAATTAGAGCAAACAGACTCTGTCACTTGGAGGAAAGGGACTATGTAAAATTAGAGCAAACAGACTTTGTCACTTGGAGGACAGGGAATATGTAAATTAGAGCAAACAAACTTTGTCACTTAGAGGAAAGGGACTATGTAAATTAGAGCAAACAGACTTTGTCACTTGGAGGAAAGGGACAATGTAAATTAGAGCAAACAAACTTTGTCACTTGGAGGAATGGGACAATGTAAATTAGAGCAAACAGACTTTGTCACTTGGAGGAAAGGAACTATGTAAATTAGAGCAAACAGACTTTGTCACTTGGAGGAAAGGGACTGTAAATTAGAGCAAACAGACTTTGTCACTTGGAGGAAAGGGACTATGTAAATTAGAGCAAACAGACTTTGTCACTTGGAGGAAAGGCACTATGTAAATTAGAGCAAACAAACTTTGTCACTTGGAGGAAAGGGACTATGTAAAATTAGAGCAAACAGACTTTGAAACTTGGAGGAAAGGGACAATGTAAATTAGAGCAAACAGACTTTAAAACTTGGAGGAAAGGGACAATGTAAATTAGAGCAAACAGACTTTAAAACTTGGAGGAAAGGGACAATGTAAATTAGAGCAAACAGACTTTGAAACTTGGAGTAAAGGGACAATGTAAATTAGCGCAAACAGACTTTGTCACGTGGAGGAAAGGGATCCTGTAAATTAGAGAAAACAGACTTTGTCACTGAGAGGAAACAGGTTATGCATATTAAACGGACAGAGGAATCAGATCATGTCCTCCAAGACTATCCCAAATACAACATTTCAAGGTAAAACTTTCGGCCAAGAGAAACATCAGTGCAAGCCAAACTTTACGGGTTGCTGAGTGAATTACAAAAGACAGTGAAGTTCCTACTAGAGACAACATTGCAGATATAGATAATCTATCTCAATCTAACGAAAGAAGAAGAATAAGAATTATGAAATCATCGTAGACATTTAATTTCTGCTGTTATGATTTTTTTCTTCTTTCTTCTTTCATCTTGAATGTCCTTGTTTGGCACTTGTAACACAGTATTGGTAAAGATACTGTAGTGTATAGTGCTAATTTGGTGTCAAATTTTATGTTTGCTGTGCAAAACTAGTGACATCTGTCAATAATCTGATCTGCATTATTAGATCTGCGTTCTATCACTGCTTCCATTTTTTGACAGCAGCACATTTTGCTCCCTACATACTTTGCTTGCTTCTTCTTCTTCATTCGTCAGAAGATGTAATTGTGTTGTGTCTGTTTATAGAACGGCTGTGACATTTGCATCTTTCGGCCAACACATCCAACTTCTGCTGGCATTTCTAGACCGTTTTAGCCTTCCCGGTTAGTTCTGTGGGACTCTGCAGTCTCATTGTTGTGTGGTCATCTTTGTTTCCCAGGTGACAGTTGGTGCTCCACATGAGGCTGGTCCAGAGAAGCCACATAATGCTGGTCAGCCCATCCAAGGAGGATTCCATAAATGAAGAACCAATACACTGTGCTCTGAAACTGGGCTCACCTAAGGAATCGTCACATCCTGCTCATGACTGTTAACCCCCACTTCTATATATTGAACACCTATTCATCATGGGCTATGTCATTCAAAGCTTACAATAGGCAGCCTGCAGACCTGGGACCTTTGCTAGTTACACATGAGCAAAATGATCATTATTATTACCTTGGGGGTTTTGGTGATGCACCAGGGGAAGGTAATGGGGACACAGTTCTGGGTGGTACCGGTGGAGGCATGTCAGGATTGTGGTGCCCCGATCTCTTGGACAAGGCTGGGGAATCAAACGGTGAGCTTGCATCCTGGGACTGCAGACAAATCAAAACATTTAAGGTTTAAATGACTTACTGTCTGATATATATATAACTGTAACATAGAATTATAAAAACAATAGGCAGCTCACAATTTGAAGCAACTCTACATATACAGATATATGCATAGTATTCGATTTAAAAAAAAAAAAAACAATTTTACTAAAGTAGTAAATAATAATGGTTAGAAACTAGGTCAGGTAGTCAGAAAATGAGGCCATGCATTGCATTTGCATCACAGGTTGGGCTACATATACTGTAAAAAAAAAAAAAATACCATAGGGTTCCACTAATCAATATTGCATCTGGGTCACGATAATTTTAGGGGTACGACCTTTCCCGTTAGTATGGTGTGTGGCTTCCTCCTGTGTGGATCAGTGACTTGGCATCTCCTGGCCAAAGATGTGATCACATGTCTGATGTGGGCCTGTGTGATGGATGCCAACTCTTCATGAAGTGCATGGAACAAATCACAACCAATGGCTGGAGCAATGTCTCGGCGACGAACATGTTTTTGCAGCTCATCCCACACGTGCTCAATCAGACTCATCTGCAGAAAGGGATGGCCAGGGAAGGGTTTGAATGTTATTGGCAGCCAGGAACTGCGTGGTCAACCGTGCAGAATGGGGTCTGGCGTTGTCCTGTTGGAAAAAGATATCTGTTGGTATCCCAAAATTGCATCTTCGTCATCCTCCTTGTGGAATGCAATTTTTCCTTATTTTGAAGCCCCACCCTGGCTGTCGGCAGGGGCCCCAATATAACCTAACAGCTGAAGGCGGCTTCCGGGACTTCTCCATGGATAATCCTCATCCGCATGGTGGCACTTTGTGTCACCGGGTGTTTATCACTCTGTGTGATGTCCTGGTGGGGTAAAATTTACTTACTTACTACTATCCCAAAATTGAAGAACATGTGGTTGAAGAATTTCACTGACATATCGTTGCACATTCAAACTTCTTTCAATGTGCACCAACTGACTCCTTACGTTGTAACTGATCAATACCCCCACACCATTACACCTCCACGACAGAGCAGCAGAGCTTCATCAACACAATTTTGGGCTAAACCTTCATTTTGTCTACGGTAGACCCTACACGTCTATCATGACGCTGCAACAAAAAGAAAAATTCGTCACTGAACCAGGCACGTCTCCGCTGATTGTCGCTCGCCCAGGGACTATGTTAGTTGTCCAAAGAGGTTAATTTTGGCGTTGGCGAAGCGTAAGTACAGGTCCTAAGTGTTGTCGTCATGCCAAAGTCTAACGCCATGCAGTCTCTTCCAAACAGTTTGATCAGACACATGACGTCCTGGAGGCAAAGCATGCACAGCTGAGGAAGCTGTTGTAAACCTGTCTCTGAGGTGATGAAGGTGAATAAAGTGATTCTCTGCTGCTGTTATCATCCACTGTGATGTCAGTCTTCAACTCAACCAGTGGCTTAGAACTGGTGCCAACGACTGCTAGTACTCTGATGCACATTTAGATGACTGGCACCTGACTTTGACTTTCTCCTGCCTTAAATTGGCCAATAACAAGATTCCTTAAATTTACCGAAAGAGGCGCCATTCATGACTGCTCAAAAATGAAATGAGTGTTTTGGTGTAGCCTTATCCTTTTATATGGTTTCAGTTGCGTAGGCAGTAAACAGTTTTTGCCATAAATTGTGTTGCTTTCTCATGCTCGCATCATGAGCTATGCTCACAAATTTAGTCTCAAACACAACTGACCACTACATTGTAATAATTACAAAAACCCTGCAATTAATGCCCACGTCTACTCGACATGGTAAACACAACACCATTTAAGACTGCTTTTCACATATCTGTCAACGATATTTTATTTACAAACTAATAAAAACGCACCTTCGGATAACAATTTTTTTTTTTTTTTTAACAGTACAGTTAGAAACCAGCTCATGGAGTTGTAAAGTCAGAAAAGAGGCTACAGCATTGCTCCAAGGTGACAGGTCAAGCTAGTCAGTTCCAAACAGGCTTACGGAATTGCCATAAAGTTGGAAACTGTCGTCATTTATTGGGCCATAAAACTGTTTTATGGTAAGAAACATGTCATAACACTGCTTCATAATAAACAACTATGACACAAAATTATAGTTGGGCTAAAAAAAAAAAAAAAAGAAAACTAGGTAACAGAACTGAAAGAGTTTTAAAAAATCAATTAAAAACACTGTTATCACTGGTGAAGTTACAAAATAGACACGTGGCTTTCCCGTGAGATGATGGCAGAAAAGACCATGAGAAAAGAAGACAATTTCATAAGATAAAATTATAAATTAGAATATAAACAATGAATCTTGATTAACTATTAGAGGTTTGATTAACTATAATAATCTTGATTAACTATTAGAATCTTGAACAACTAACATAATCTTGATTAACACAAAATCTTGATTAACAAATGAAATCCAGTGATCTACTCAAATCCTGATAAGTAAATAACCCACCCTCGATCCAACTGCTAGTGCTTGTAAAGCTGTTGTCCCACCACTGTCCTGCAAAACATAACAAATATCAAGTTTATAATGTTCCGCATCATAATTTCTTGCCTCTTTGTGACATCTGCCTGGACCAGTGACCATGTAAAGATCAGAAAGTCTATAAATCATGAGGTTCATTTTAGTGGGTCCCAACTGATTTATTTCTTTTTTCATGTCTAATTTCCCTCTTCTTTTCTTCTTCTTTTGTCAAAATCTGCTTGTGCCGCTAGGCGTCGCAGTCTATCAGATGATCGGCAACCGAGCCCGGGCGCGCTCAGTCGCTTCATATGCCGTGATATTATGAAGTCTCAAGTTGTCCGTGACTCCTTCAATCCATCTTCTTCTTGGTCTTCCCCTGCCTCTTGGTGTTTCGATTTTCATGTTGTATGCTCTTGATGCTGGCATCGTTGGTTCCATTCTCATTAGGTGACCAAACCATTTCATTCTTTGCTTCTCAATAAATTTAACGATGGGTATGGTTCCAATAGTTCTTGTAATCACATCGTTTCTCACTCTATCCTCTTCTTTTACTGTTCCTTATTTCAATTGTTTCCTGCACAATACCTCTACTGTCACAATGTTTCCCTATTCTGTAATTCTGGTTGTGTGTGGACATCCTGGTTGTTTACAATCTTTTCTTTCGTCGGTTTATAAAGATTCTGGATGAAAGTTTGGCTGTATCTGTGCATATCTTTTCCTGTCCCTCTGTCGAGCTTTCTAGTCATAATTTGTGTTGAGTTCTGTTACTCTTTTCTTTCCTGCCTGCTGAAATAGTCCCCCTTCTTCTTATTCTCTGCGATAGATTTCATATGCTCAGGTTATCTGCCTCCATGAACGGGCACATCAGCAGTTCAGTCACCAAGTTGGTCATGGATGCCTCTTCCCCCTGTCAATGTGTCTTCTTGCAGGTTTCACTATAGAGGGTAGTTCTGCAGTATGTAAGTACAAGTAAATGAGTAAAAGACTCTTTTCCACCCCTTTAGGCGTACTGGGCACACACGGCTAGAACTATATTTTATAGAGCAATTGGCACTCTGTGGGTGATGTGTCACCATCGTGCCAGCCGCCTTTATTCCCAGGACTGCACCAGGTACCCACTCAAGGCTGGGTCAACCTGAGAGCCAAGGCCATTTTTTTTTTAAAGTTCGGCTCCGCCAGGACCCGAACCCATGTCTTTTCGATCCGCAGGTGTGCGTCCAACAGCTACACCATGGCGACTTACTCTGCAGTAAGTGCTCAGGTGTTTGGAGTGCAGTTTGCATGTATGCTGGGTGGATTGTGCAGCCTTCATTCTATGTATTTGTGCATTGTCTGGTTCTAGTGGGAGAAACTGTAGTGGAGTGTCTTCTGGTTAGTCTAATGACTGGGTCATCTGGTCGCTGGCTATTTGCTCCCTGCCTCCATGAGTTACTTCTGTACCTCTCTATGATCAGTGTCTTTACCTCTGAGTTCCCTTCCACTATGTTTAGGACAATTCATTAAAGTGCAAAGCCAAATAAGTAAAGTAAAGACCATTTTCCATGCCGTTTGGGCATACACAGCTAGACCTATAATTTATAGACCATTTATTGGCACTATTGTATATCTGCACTCAGTTAGTGATGTCAAAATCATGTCAGCCATCCTAAATTCTCAGGGCATTTACCCAGTACCAATCTAAGGTTGTGTCAACCTGAGAGCTAAGGCCTTCAAAAAAAAAGGTCTGGCTCAAATCCACAGGCGAGTGTCTAGCCACTTCACCATGACAGCTCCCACACCACCACATGTTATGGTTGATAGCTTTTCATCCCAGGATGTTGTGTCCATCTTCATCACTTTCATATCTGAGGTGCAGGTATCTTTGAACTGCAACAGTTTTTTTTTTTTAAATGCGTGTCTCGGTATCTCAGAAGTTAGTGAAATTGATTCAAAATGCAATCCTTGAAATTTACCAAGGTTCGACTCCTATTACGGCGGTTTTAAAAAAAAAAACTTCGCTCACAGCCTTCAAGCAGTGGTATGAGAATCACGCAGTGGAGCACACTGGGATCTCACCAGGTAAAATGTCCCCATAGCTCGCAGTGCATACACTGCAATACATTTTCATTGTGGAGATGGCATAATAGAAAAAAAAAAACGACATAAATTTCCGGTGACTATTTGTTGGCTACCCACAGAGCAAGGCTATTCAACTAAGTTTCCTCAGGGGCCACCATTTTGAAAATGGGGATTGTCATGGGCCAGAGACCACCACTTGAACAGCCTTGCCATACAGAATGGGATGCACCCACCTAGATTCCAATATAATTGATAACTGACCAAAAGAACAGTTATTATAGTACTAATAATAACTGGATTTGAAAAATACACAACAATAATAAAGCAATTTTTTCCCGTCCCTTGGAAACGTCATCTAATTAATTCCGGATATGTAATTGACACAGATAGTGCTTTCTGTGTGGTTTATCACACTTCGAACAGGCGACTGTTGAGAATGGCTGAAGCTTCAACAATTAAAATCAACAACCCTCTCCTTTGTGAGCAGACGGAAATTATAGTAAATCTGAAGTTACCCTGGTAAGTCACATGACTACGGTGAGCTTCCGGAGGCCAAAACACATACGATGTGTCCACAGAAACTATTCGCATTTTAGTTGGATTTATTCAGTTTTGTGCTTAATTTTATGTTGATGTAAAATCTGTTGTAACGCACCTGACGAGATACCGCGAAATAAGCCTGCCAATAAATTGTGCAATGTATCGTTTGTGTCCACATTATTTAAAAAATAATAATATTGAAAAACAGACAAACATGTAAGAGTGATGTTATATCATCACAATCTCCCCCGTTTGGGTTTGGGGGAGAATCATACTGAAAAGCAGACAAACGTGGAACAATGATATTATATTATCACTATATCCCCCGTTTGGGTTTGGGGGAGAATCATACTGTAAAGCAGACAAACATGTAAGAGTGATGTTATATCATCACAATCTCCCCCATTTGGGTTCGGGGGAGAATAATACTGAAAAGCAGACAAACCTGGAACAATGATATTATCACTATCTCCCCCATTTAGTTTCCAGGGGAGAATAACACTGAAAAACAGACAAATAAATATTATATTATATTATCACTATCTCAGCATTTAGTTTCTGGGCGAGAAAAATACTGAAAAACAGACAAATGAATAACAATATTATGTTACCACTATCTCCCCCATTTAGTTTCCGGGGGTGGGTGAAGAGGGGGGGGGGGGGATAATACTGCAAAACAGACAAATGAATAACAATGATATTATGTTTACACTATCTCCCCCATTTAGTTTCCGGGGGAGAATAATATTGAAAAACAGACAAATAAATAACAAATTATATTATCACTATCTTCTCCATTTGGCTTCCTGGGAAAACAGAACAGACCAACTGTAAATAAACAAACATAAAAATGCACAATTCTGCATACTTCCTCATCATCATCCTGTGTCGGTGACTTTGCATATGATGCTTTCATCACATGCCTTTCATCAAATGGATCCACAACGACCTGCTCTGTGCCTTTGATTTCACAGCGACACCACGGACACCCCTGACCATCAGAATCCTGTGTGTGAGCAGACAAGAATATCACATTTCAGATTATAAGGTAGGCTGCAGGAAGAAAAGAAAAAGGAAAAGGAAGAAGACAAAGAAGAAGAAATAGCAGCAGCACACTGAGGACCTATGCTCCACTGGATGATAAAAAGTAAAAGAAGGAGAAGAAGAATAGTACGAGTAAGATAAAGAATGGGAAGCTGCAGATGGAGGAGGAGGAAGATAAAGAATAATAAGAAACAACAGAAGAAGAGAAAGAAGTGGAAGAAGGAGAAATATGATGAAGAATATGAGTAGGAAAAAGATAACGAATAAGAAGAAGTTGCAGTGGAAGACGGAGGAAAAAGAGAAGGAGGAGGAAGATAAAGCAGAATAAGAAGTTGCAGTGGAAGAAGAAAATAAATGAAGAAGCTGTAGCAAAAGAAAAATAAGAGGAGGAGGAAGATAAAGAAGACCAAGAAGCAGCAGAAAAGAAGAGAAACAAACAAATAAAATTTATTTTCAAGGGGTCCCAAACTGGGCAGTAGGAGGAGGAAGATTGAGAAAATGAAGAAGAGTAAGAAGCCGCAGCAGAAGAAAGAAAAGAGGAGGTGCAGAAAGAACAAAAAGAGAATTAGGAAGAATAAAAAGCCGGAGTAAAAGAAAAAGAAAAGAAGAGAGGAAGATGAAGAAGAAGCAGCCGAAGCATCAGCGGCAGTAGCATGGCGCCACCCCAGAGTGCATCTACCTAAGAGGCAAGAAACTAATGGTCTGCTTACAAATTAGCCAGATATGTAAAATGGATCGGCACACAAACCTCAAGTTCTAGACAAGACTAAAGTACAGAAGGGGGTGAGCAACCAGAAATTTCCACAGGAGTTCTACAGCCAGTGAATGTGAATAAAAATTTAAAAAAAAGGATAATTCTACAGGGAAAACAAATTAAAAAAAAAACACACACACACAATGGAATAGTTAAATCACAACACAAAAGAGAGGAGGGAAAGGGATGAGAAAGAAATTCAACACAAACCTGCCACTGTGTCAGACAAGGTGTACACAGTAGATGTCCGCATGGCTCCAACCTGATGTCCTTGTCATTCTCGGCACAGATTTTGCACTGTTGAAAAGTGGACCCCATCTCACAGTACAGTTCATATTGCTCCTGATTAGAAAGATACATTCAACAAATATATTACAATATAAAGCATATTGATTTCATTGCTACTTCTCTTTCTATCACACACAAATTCCTTGCCTGTTGTCTTATATTTGGCATAAAGACACATATTATACAGACTGCTTAAAAACAGGCAAATCCCAATCTCTTCTTCTTCAGCATTCAGAGCCTTTGAGGTTCATTGCTGCAGAAATCACCCGCCTCCATTCATCTCTCTGGTTGCCCTTCTCTTTCCAGTTGGTGACATGAAGTGTTTGCAGGTCTGTCTGGACATTAACTCTCCATATTCTTTTTGGTCTGCTTCATGGTCTATGACCATTCATCTCCCTTGTGTAAACAGTTTTTACTTCTCTGGCATCTGACATTCTCTCAATATGCCCCAACCATTTCAATTTATTAGCTCTCATGATGCCAGTGATCAGTGGTGATCTAAACAGATTATGTATTTTGTTATTGCTTCTCACTTGGGATGACCCAAAGATGATATCCCAAAAACGCTAACTACCCGGGACCTCTAAAGCCATGCTTGCCACTCTCACAGTCTCTGAAATATTTACAACATTTAGAATACCTATTTACAACATTTAGAATACCTATTTACAACATTTATAATACCTATTTACAACATTTAGAATACCTATTTACAACATTTAGAATACCTATTTACAACATTTATAATACTTATTTGAAATACGATTACTCATTTGAAACATTTAAACTACAGGATCTCCTCGATTTATAACAAGCTCCGTTGCAACTAACTGGTCGTAAGACAAATTTAATTTATACTTTTAACACCAGTTTCATCTAAACAGGTTATAAAAATTGTATATGAAACAAAAAATTCACTCTATGTACGTACTATTAGACACTGCTGAGCTCTGGGCATCAGTTCATGGACACCTCATACACCACTAACGTAGTTAACTTTCTTTATTTATTATTTCTATGTACTTATTCTTTGTGGTTGTAAGTTTGTGGATGGTTACAAGTCGAGCAGAAGGTGTAACACAATGGAACTTACCAATCAAATCTTTTGCTTAAATGTGTTGAAATATTCTAGACAAAGCATTACGGTCTGCTGTGCTTGTAAATTGTTGCTGTGTTTGTTATTCGACCTATGCTTAGTTAATACAAATTTCTGTAATCTATGGTGCCATTTTAGTGGTTTGAAATGAATTCTGCCCGTATTCCATAGTTGTGGATTTCAAGCTGTACAATAGACATGCCAGTGTGAACACCTTTTTTAGGGGGTGCCTACTTGGCTATGTTCTTAGTACACTTGTTTCCATAGTGAGGCGACATGCCATTCTGAGGTGACAGGTTCAATTCCCGGCATGGTAACTATAGCTTTCGATTTTTATGTTGTCTAGTATGTCCTTTTGTCTTTCTACTTCTTTCTATGACTGCCGATCAATACACTGTCTCTTTATTAATTATATCAATCACAGAGATAGTTGAGAAAGGTGGAAACAGGCATGCTCAGTGCAGAGGGGCAAGCATCGCTTGAGAGGATGCGGGTAGTTAGCGTCTTTTGGATATCATCTTCGGGTTATACCAGTGTGTTGGGAAATGATCAGGCAGAGAGACTGGCCGGTTCTGCACAACTTGTTGGTGATTTGATGTATGACATACTATATGGTCTGAAGAGAATGGCACAGAGAGGAGTGACCAGGGATTCTGGCGATGCTCAACACTCAAGGGAAAGGCGAGACATATACAGTCAGACGGTTACTGGTACCATCGGAATTGGAACTCTTTGCTTCCTGAGGGTGTCCCGAGTGCTATGATGTCAATTCCTAATTCAACATTCACATCTAGTCTAACATGAAATCACTACCTGGTGGTGCAACACCAGCCAGTGTGACTTGAGAAGAAAAATATCTTTCTACAGGTATCTATCTCACCTGTGTTACACGGATATGGTCCTCCTCGCTATCAGCCACCAAAAAGCTCAAGTCTGGGTTGATGCTTCGCCCATCTGGATATAAAAAGCTAAACAAAACAAAAAACAAAAAAAATAAAATGACAACCGAGAGGTTCAGAACCTAGGCTCTCATGCAGAAGACAAGGTTTGAATTCTAAATAAGATTACAGATTTTTCTGTAGGGTGCAAAAATCCACACAGTCCGTGGCAGCTGCACTAGCCAGGCGGCCCTATGTCCTCAGACTCAAAGATCACCTTGACAACTCCAGAAATGGGTCAAATACAGGCAGTAGTAGCAGTTAAACATCAGTAAGTATAACATGACAGAATTACTAAAGTATGGCGAGTCATTCACAATAGAGGAGATTAAAACAGCTATTAAAAAAATTAAGAATAAACAAAGCTACCGGAGAGGACAACATCTCAGGGGAAATGCTCAAAGCAGGGGATGAAAACACCCTGCAACATTTGCTCCAGCTGATGGATGAAGTCTGGCAAAACGAATACCCACCACAACAATGGAAAGATGGTATAATCTTCAAATTACCTAAAAAAGGTGATTTATCCGATTGTAACAACTGGAGAGGCATCACCCTGCTTTCGATACCAGGGAAACTATTTTGTGGTATGCTACCAGAAAGATTGAAAAAATCCATAGATGAAAGATTAAGGGAAGAACAAGCCAGTTTTAGATCCAAGCGGTCATGCATAGACCACATCTTTACTCTTAGAATAATTGTTGAAGATTCTACAGAATTCCAGTCGAAATTATTGATCAACTTTGTCGACTTCCAAAAAGCCTTCGACGGTATCCATCGTCCAACACTCTGGAAATTGCTTAACATCTATGGTTTCCCCATCAAATATATCAACATCATAAAATCTTTTTATAATGAAACACGATGCTGTGTAAGAACTGATTCCGGCAATTCTGACTGGTTCCCGGTGGAAACAGGAGTGAAGCAAGGCTGTGTCCTATCGCCGATGCTTTTTGGTATAGCAATCAACTGGGTCATGCGCAAGTGCATAAATAATGCAAATTTAGGCATCACATGGGTTGACAAAATTCTGGAAGACCTAGACTTCGCTGACGACATAGCACTCCTGAGTTCAGAACATACAGACGCCCAAGAAAAAATCAATCGACTCCAGAATTTCTCAGAACAAATTGGACTCCAAATGAACACCACAAAAACAAAAATTCTAGACCTTACCAACAGTTCAGTTGATATCACGCTGAACAACAACAGCCTTGAAAAAGTCAACAGTTTCACTTATCTAGGGAGCAAGATGTCATCTACAGGAGATACCGTACCAGAAATACCATTTAGAATAGCACTGGCATCTAGTACCTTCAAAAAACTGTCCAACATCTGGAAATCAAAGACACTTAGCAAACACACAAAACTCAAAATCAGGATATAATTGATGGGTAGGAAAAGTACATGAGGCGTGAGAGTTGGCGTGAGGCCAAGTTTTTTCTCCAGGCAGACCATGATGAGAGCTACATTCGCAAAGGATCTGCTACATGATGATAATGACTCCTTATACCGGTTTTATTATTCTGGGGGAGGGGGGGGGGGGCTGACTCACTGCCAACTCACAAGAATGCTGTGAAAGGAGACTAAATAAAAGGTGTGCTGGAAATGTGTGTTGGTCAACAACAAAAAATCATAGCAAAGCTATAAACCACAACACAATGTGTCAACGGTCCTTTAAAGGCTGAACAAAGAAGAAGATGACAGAGATTTGATACTAGAATTAAAAAATCTAAGTTTAATGCTAGTTTTAATTCCAATCAACTGGATATATCTTCAAAAGTCTACACATCAGTTAAAAGGTGTAGACATCCCAGCAAAGATGTTAATGATGCACCACCTTTTTAAAGGCAAAAGAAGATGATGAAGAAGCAGCAGAAGAAGAATGAGGAGGAGAAAGAAGAGGCAGAAGAATAGAAAGAACAAGAGGAGGAGGAGGAGGAAGAAGAGAAAGAAAAGGAGAAAGAGAAGAAGAAGTAGGAGGAGGAAGAAGAAGAAGAACAGGAAGAGAAAGAAGAGGAGGAGGAGAAGGAAGAAGAAGAAGACAAAGAAGGTTTACTTACAAGCCTTCTCTCTGACCGTCCAGCAGGGCTTGACAAAGTGACTTGTTTTGTGGGATTGTCTGTAATATCTGCCCATCATTGGTGACATAGCCAATGGCCCACTGTCCTAGTCTTGTACAGCTCAGCCTAAACACATAACTGAAATACAAAGCCATCACAACTTAAAAAAGGGGACGATCACTCCTTTCTTTAAAGATATTAATAAAGTTTAAAAAAATGTACTGATAGACACTCATAGAAAGAAGTAGAAAGATAGAAGAACACATCAGACAACATAAAAATCGAAAGCTATAGTTACTGCAAACTACTGGACGTAAATTTGCCTAGAAAAACCACACAACAGCCAGGGGTTGTTGGGGTTGGTTCTGCAACGTCCTGTAAAGAATACGCAATTAACCCTAGTTACCGTGCAGGGAATCGAACCTGTCACCTCCAGACGGCGTGTGCAGCTTCGCTATGGAAACAAGTGCACTAAGAAAACAGTCAACTAGGCACCAACAAAAAAGGTGTCTGATTAGACATATCTATCGTACAGCTTGAAATCCACAACTTTGGAATACGGACAGAATTTATTTCAAACCACTGAAATGGCACCATAGGTTACAGAAATGTATATGATCGAAGCACAGGTCAAATAACAAGCACAGCAACAATTTACGAACACAGTAGACCTTACTGCTTTGTCTAGAATATACCAACAATTAGGAAAGGTATTTGACTGGTAGGTTCCGGTGGGTATTCGTCATTCACATAAATAAAAAAAATCCTTATAAAATGTGTGTGTCATTCATTGCAGCTAGCATTATCACATGCTTCATTTGAATGTTTACCAAGGAATTTGGAATACCTTGTTTCTGAAACACATAACTGGTTGTCCAAATCACCTGTCAGACAACAGCAATACAAAAACTGATATCAAGCATGGTTTCGCACCACTGAAAATTCTGTCAGATTGGTTATCAATTCAACCGGTTGTTGAAAGAATGGTGAACCAATGGTTGGAGTTGAAAATACACTTCGAAATAACAAGACAAAGTTAAAAGTGCTTCACAGCTGAAATACTATATGGAATGTACAGTGATGAAAAAAAAATGTGGCATTCCTTCTCTTTTTACAACCTATTCTAATGGAAGTGTAAAAAGTTAATAAACTGTTCGAATCTAAACATGCTGATAAAGTAAATTGCTTGACGATCTCACTTTGCTATTTCACTTAGTTGGTAAAAGACAGGTGTTGCCAACTTCTAAAGCTGATTTGCTCACTTGCACTATAGAGAGCTATTTTGGCTCCTAACCATACCTTGGATATCATATTGAATCAAAAATTGATGATTCGAAAACAACAGAACTGTTAACAGAAAATGAAGAGAACAACTTGAGAAAGCGCTGTCAATATTTCTTATCTCATTATTCAAGCAACCGCAGCAGAGACTTCCTGAAAATCTAGATGTATTGAAAAATATTTCATTCTATTCTGTGAGCAACATACTTCAGCCAGTAAAGGACAAACGTAACTATTGTAAAGTTATGAAATTTTTAGGGGCTACTGATAATAGTGTGGCGGAAGCAGAATATCAATTAAAATAAACTTGGTTGACTGGACAAACAAAACAGAAACTGAAGAGTAAGACAATTTAAAGATGCCTCAGCAAACAGACCATTCTATAAGCTCTTTGAATTTGCTAAGTCTGTCATGATACTACTCAAATGCTGACACAGAAAGGGTTTTCAGAGCTATGCATTTTTTTAATCTAACCTAAGAAAAAGGATGAAACTTGACCTCTCAAATGCTATCTTGACAATAAACTGTGGCCTGATGGGAGCAGGAAAAGGCTGTTCCACCTATCAGCCCCCTGACTGTGTATTAAAAGAAACCAGAACAGCTAAAGCATACCAGAGTCATTTTAAATCTGAAGCTTCAACTTCTTCAGTCTTTTTTCTTGCTTTAATTCTTACCTGGATAAGAAGAATTTCTGCTTTAAAGAACAATCTTTTAGGGGGTCCTCTGTGAGTTCTCCTCATCAGGTTTGCACTGTATTATTATTGGCTTTATTTAGTGAGCATCCTATCCAAGACAGTACCTTGTCCTCAATTTTTCATTTATGAGCATTTTATTTGTCCATAAGCTCCCCAGCAACAAGTCTGTCACACATATTTACTCCCTTTGTACTTGACAGCGGCCATCGGCCGGGCAACAGTTTTGACGGGCTGGCTAAACCAGGAGAGGTAAGCCGACCTGGTTCTAAACCACTCGGTGATTGGGATAGGCCTTCTCTGCGTGCAAAGACTGGACTCAGGGAATTGTGCGGATGAAACATCTTATTGGTTCAACGGACAAGAAGGCGTTTACCAGCAGGCTCTGTGGAGAGCTTTGAGCAAGGCAGGGCACTTCAGAAGCCTTGGTCATCCACTGCACCTAGGTCCATTTCCTAACATCTCGACATTGTCCTGCCATTGGATCAAGATGGACATAGGCAAGAGAGTGAGGTCGACCAATTGCACAACACTTCCTCACTCAAATCCAAGTCGTTGTGCAAGTCTCTTTCATCCAGCTACTACTTTGGATGAAAGTGGTCTTCATCACTCGTGCTGAACAAACAACACACACACCTGAGCAGGCACCAGTTAAAAAATGTCTGTAAATTATTTGTGGCTGTTTAGTTATTCTCCATGAGTCTAGCAGCATATGTTGAATGTTAAAAGCTGAACTAGGAATCAAGATCACAGCACTCAGGCTACTCCCATAAGCGCTCTGTCCCCATGTTCAGCAGCAAAAGAAAGAGTTCCAATTCCGATGGCACCAGTAACTGTGTGACTGTACAATCCATCTTGCCTTTCCCTTAAGTGTTAAGTGTCAGCCAGATGCCCTGATAACTCCCCGCAGCACCATTCTTCTCAGACCGTAATGATTTATTCGTGCCTCCGCACTGTTCACTCGCTCCCAAAGGGCCCTCACAACATCTAGCTTGTCAGACATCAATTCAGAAAAAAGCAGAACAGGCCAGCCTATCCGCCTGCTGGTTTCCCAACACACTAACATAACCCAGAGAAAACATCCAGAGGACGCTAACTACCCAGGACCTCTGAAGCGATGCTTGCTACTCTGCATGGAGCATGCCTGTCTCCACCTTTCCCAACATACTCTGTGAGTTGAGTCAGTTACAATTATGACATGTGTATACATAGCATCATATATCTAATGTACCACTGATATGCGAGCTGAGTTAAGTTAAGAACTGACATTGGAGTATTCAGGTCATTCCTTCAAGTGTTTTGTTACCTTCAGCTGCCAGCGCAGAGTTCCAATTCTAATAATACCAGTAGATTCAGAAAGCATGCTGAGGAAGATCAGAACAGGTATGCTTCGTGCAGAGTGGCATGCTTCGCTGCGGAGGACACGAGTGAAGAGTATTGTCTGGATTTTTTCACCGGGTGGCGCTGGTGTGTTGGGAAATGAATGTAAGGTTAGTTGTGTATCCTTTACAGGACATTGCAGAACCAACCCCAGCAGCCCCTGGCTGTTGTGTGGTTTCACTAGGCAAATTGCTTTCTGGACGGTCGGCCCCCTGATACCACTGTCGAAACCAACGCAAGGCGCATGGCCCGCAGCGGGGATCGAATCCGGCACCCTGGCATTACGAAAAGTTTGCATCGACTTAGCCACAGAGCCGACGGGAAATGAATAGGTGGACTGATTGGTTGGCTCTGCACAAATTGGTGGAATACTGATACATGATAAGGCAGACATGGTTAGTGCCTTGTGGGAGAGCGTGTACAATTCGGAGGAGCAGATGGAACACCACAGTCTGGTGAGATTGATGCAGTTGGGGGTGACGAGAGGTTCTGGCAGATGCTCGAGGCTGAGAGGAAATCCAAGACGGACGCTTAATCAGAATGCTACTGGCCCCATTAGTATCGGAACTCTTCGCTGGCTGCTGAAGGTATAATGCCCCGAGTGCTGTGATGTCGGTTCTCGAATCAAATCAAATCATAATACCAGTAGCAGTCTTGCCCTTCTCTTTAGTGCTGAGCGTCAGCCAGATCTCCTGTTCGCTGGTGTGAGAAAGGTCCCTTACTTTACGCAGAAATATAATCCTGTGTTTAAGGTCCTCTTTTCTGTAGTGCTAGAACTGTTTTCCTTTAGTGCTAGAACTGTGAATCTGCAACCATCGTCGGACTGCAAGAACAGCAGGTTAAACGGAATGTCGCCAAACAAGAACACTACGCGGGTAGCCAAAGAAGAATAAAAAACCAAAACAGGACTAGTGTCGTCAGCCGCCAGACGTTGAGTGATTTACTAAGGAGGGGATCCGAGGACTTATGGACTGAGTGGTTCGACGTGCAATGAGGATAATCTGTTGTTGACTAACTATAACTATTTTTTTTTTAGTTATCTTGCTGTTATTTATTTATCTGTTCGCCAGTTTTAGCCTACACTAATAGCTAAACAGCAAAACAGGTATATGATTCTTGTTCGTACCAGCTTAATTAACTGTTCATATTACAGCTGACATCATCAGCCTATAGCAACTCCTCACTTAACGCAGCTGAAGATTCTCAAGTGGCCGGCCTCTTGATGCCACACTGAGCTTATCCCCAAACTTGGTTAGAGTGCCTTGTTGCTCGATCTAGTGGTCACTCAGAAAAAGAGGTTTCATGTCCGATGATGGAGGCTTTCAGATTTGCTGGATGCCAAGTCTTTTGTTTACATGTTGGTATGGATCACTACAACTGGTGATCCTTATATGTCATGATCTCTATGGGGTGTAGTGTGATCACTACAGCAGGTGATCCCTATATGTCATGATCTCCATGGGGTGTAGTGTGATCACTACAGCTGGTGATCCCTATGTGTCATGATATCCATGGGGTGTAGGGATCACTACAGCTGGTGATCCCTATGTGTCATGATCTTCATGGGGTGTAGTGATCACTACAGCTGGTGATCCCTATATGTCATGATATCCATGGGGGTGTAGGGATCACTACAGCTGGTGATCCCTATGATATCCATGTGGTGTAGGGGAGAGATCTGCCTCATGCTCTCAAGGCTACTGGGTTGTTATCAGGCTGCCCTGTTTGGTTCATGGGAGTACTTTATCTCCAGAGATGGTATTTGTACTTTGTGTGACTGTACGGTTATGTTCAATTTGTTCAGAGATCCCATAGATCATCACTGGGGCTATAGTGTCTGTGCTTGATGTGACTGTATTGTTAGGTTCACATGGACAATTTGTTCAGATGTTCCATAGATCATCCCTAGCGCTATGGTGTCAGTGCATTAAGTGACTGTATTGTTAGGTTCACAGTGACAATTTGTTCATAGGTCAGCAGATCATCACTTGGGCTATGGTATTTGTGCATTAAGTGAGTGTATAGTTATATTCAGAGGTCCACAGATCATCACTGGGGCTATGGTGTTTGTGCTTTGTGTGACTGTATTGTTATGTTCACACAGGGACAGTTTGTTCAGAGATCCCCATAGACACAGTGACTAACAATGACTGGATTGAAATAGTCACTGAATTTAAAAAACTATACAACTATAAGAAAGAGGCAATCAATGTTGTTTGGTCATGTGATAAGAACAGAGAGGCACTGGAGAACATCAAGATGACTGGAAAGATCAACAGTTGAAGGCAAAGGCAGACGAAGAGAAATGATGCTTGATGGCCTAAAGCAATGGCATGGTAGAACATCAACAGTGAAATTGATTTAAAATACCAAGGACCGAGATCTGTGGATAGTTAAGAGCGTCTATGCCGCTGCGCAAGGCACGTGATGTTGATGACGGATGGGTTGTTTAGCTAACCTTTGACACTGGATCTCTTTCACAACCTTCTCCTGGACTTTGGTCTTGATCTACACTGCCTGTCAGGCAAATGCACTGACTTTATCTATCCATCTATCTACCTCTCTCTCTCTCTTTCTCTCTTTTTATTTATAAAATAAAATAGAAAAATAAAATTGTTGGTTCTATCTGTCTATCTACGTATCTATGTATCTATCCATCCATCAATCCATCAATCTATCTATCTATCTATCTATCTATCTATCTATCTATCTATCTATCTATCTATCTATCTATCTATCTATCTATCTATCTATCTATCTATCTATCTATCTATCTATCTATCTATCTATCTATCTATCTATCTATCTATCTATCTATCTATCTATCTATCTATCTATCTATCTATCTATCTATCTATCTATCTATCTATCTATCTATCTATCTATCTATCTATCTATCTATCTATCTATCTATCTATCTATCTATCTATCTATCTATCTATCTATCTATCTATCTATCTATCTATCTATCTATCTATCTATCTATCTATCTATCTATCTATCTATCTACCTACCTAAAGAAAATACTTCTAATTAGTTGTCTCGCAGGACATGCTTGTAGGAGGTGGGTGGAAAAGGGGGGGGGGGGGGGGGGGTCTATTCTATGTTTCCCCACAATGCAGCCTTGGAACTCACATGGAAAGACTGGTTAATAAAACTGCCTAGCCCCGTATGCCCAATGTGGTGCAACTACTCATGAACAACATCTTTTACTTTAGTATTTCTGTGTCACAAGTGACAAATCACGTAAATTCACAACGAAACAGAACCCAGAACAACCTGGCCCAGCATCTGCTAGCAGGCCGTTACAAATAAACCTGGCACAAACTGAGTGCCAAGACAGACTGATGTCTCTGCTAATTAGCTTTATCATCTCAATCTACATCACTTCTAGACATACTTCAGACCGAGAAGTCTGTCTGACTCGAAACACCAGACCTCGACCCAGGTCTAAGACTACAAGGCGACCACGATCCGCACACTGCATTTCCAGCTACCGCTCAGTGCCACATTCCAAACTAGGCCATCATAAAACCCCACCTGGTTTCAGGTTACTAATGACTTGTTTTTATCTTGATGAAACAGGGACACATGCCGCTGGGGGGACTTGAGAGCAGGCCAATCGTGTTATGTGAATATGTTCCAAGTTTACTTTCTTACTCATACTCATTAAGTCATACGGGGGAGTCATGTGCGACTAATCGGGTCGTGAAAATCTAAGCTTTTATAGAGTTATGTATTTCTGGCTTAATGATGCCATACACATGTGGGGAAAGGGGGGGGGGGGTGTGTCGCTTTACTTATATGACGTCTGCAGTGGTATATGAGAGGGTTTCAAATGAAAACCTTGAAAGTGTCATAAGTCATAACAATTACAATAACCACGTCATTGTATCATAACTTGTCAATACTACTGTTAAGGATGTCCAGAGCATTGAGCACATGACATCACAGTGCAAACAAACATAGTGACGTCATAGTGACAACAGAGATGAAATGCCACAGAAGAGCTGCAGGCATTTCAAGGAAAGACAGAATAAAAAAATCACGAAATCAGATGAATGCTAGGAATAAAGCCAGTCTTACAGGTCATCAAAGAACAACAAATGAACTTTTTGTTTTGTTAAATGATTGTCAAGAATGTGTAATATTACACTAAGAAGTCATATGGTGAAATCCAAATCAAGGACTGATGCGATGCAGTCTAGCATGGTTACAGACCTGGGAAGCAAAGGTGTCCACCAGGATCAGAGAAACAAGAGAGATAGAGACCAGAGGACTAGAGAGAGAGAGAGAGAGAGAGAGAGAGAGAGACCACAGATGGATCAGAGAAATCAGAGAGACACGAGATTAGAGAGTGAGTAGAGAGATATCACAGAAAGACAGAGACCATGAAAAGAAATAAGACAGAATAAAATCAGAGAGAGAGAGAGAGAGAGAAAGAGAGAGCTGGAGAAGAGACCAGAGGGATAGAGAGCAGAGAGAAAGAGATCAGAAAGATATCAGAGAAGAGAGAGGTCAAAGAGATAAACTAGAGAGATCAGACAGAGTGAGACATAGACCAGTGAGAGAGAGACCAGTGAGAGAGAGACCAGTGAGAGAGAGATCACAGAAAGAGAAAGGAGAGAAACCACAGAGAAAGAGAGACAGAAAGAGATCTGGGAGTTGGAGATCTGAGAGAGATGAACACCAGAGAAGAGAGAGAGAAGAGAAAGACCAGAGAGACAGAAGAGAGAGAGAGAGATGAAGGAGACAGAGATCAGAAAGAGAGAGAGAGAGACATCAGAGAAGAGAAAGTGAACTGAGAGCTAGTGATAAGAGGAAACAGAAAGAGAGAGAGAAAGAGAAAGGAAAGACAAGGTAGAAAGAACAGAAGAGGTCAGAGGTGACCGAAAAAGAGAGAAAGAGAGGAAAGACGATAGAAAGAACACTACAGATCAGAAGAGAGAGAAAAAGAGAGAGAGAGAGAGAGAGAGGAAAGACAAGAGAGAAAGAACAAAGGGCATAGTTTAATTACAAAGTATCACAAACTAAGCACACAGGCAAATTTTACATTTGACACTTTTGACCATTTGTCTTTCACACAGCAATTACTTGTTTCCTATCGTGCATGTTAAGTTCACTGAGGAATTTAATTAATGTAAGTCCTAAGCACACATGCAAAAAACATGCACACAGAGAATGCATACACACACATATATATATATGAGGGAAAGTCATTCATTAAATAAAGACAAATGTGTCCAGGTCTGCAAGGAACAGCATGCAGAAAAAGAAATATTATTTCAGGAAACAGAATGACATCTTTACAATACTCCAAAGTAGGTAAAAATGAGACTAGTGCTCATTACAGAGACAAGTTAGCGAACAGGCTGAAGCCTGCGATCCGTTCGAAATGCCAGAGTCTTCTCTCAAAAGGCGTTTTGCTGCTGATGCATTACAAACCCTCCCCTCCCATTCCATGGCTGCACACACAGTGGATACAAACTCTACAGTCTGAAGTACTGAGTCTGTAGCATGAGGTCCAGACTTGGCATCATTGGAAATTCATTTGTTTGGCCTAATGAAAGAACAATTGCAGGGTCAGAGATTTGCAGATGACAATGAGGTGATGCTGACGGTACAAACTTGGTCGCTGGCCACACCCAAAAGTGTTTATCTGGTGGGTATTCACAATCTTGTGGTTCGGTAAACCATGTGTTGCAAAGCAGGGAGACTATGTAGAGAAATATGCACAGAACAAGCTTTTTCCACCCCCTTGTAAAAAAAACTTAATGCAATTGCCTTTTCTTAATGACTTCTCATAAACAACTCACAGAGCATGTTGAGAAAGGTGGAGACAGGCACGCGTTATGCAGAGTGGCAAGCATCCCTTTAAAGGTCCCGGGTAGTTAGTACATTTTGGATATTTTCTTTAGGTTATGCAGGCGAGTGGGGAAATGAGCACGCATATAGACTGACCGGTTCTGCACCACTTGGTGGTGAACTGATTTATGACAAGCTGGATGTTGTGAGGACACTTTGGGGGTGAGTGAAAAGTGCCGAGGCACAAACATATCATTATGGTCTGAGGAGAATGTCACTGCGAGGAGTTACAATGGGATCTGGCCGACACTCGACACTCAGAGGTAAGGCGAGATGGATATATAATCAGACAGTTATTGGTACCATAGGATTTCTAACTCTTCGCTTGCTGCTGAAGATGGGGATAGGTTGCCCTGAGTGCTGTGATGTCGATTAATTCAACACTCAACAACATTCAAACAGAAAGAGAGTCTGTGTACATCTGGAAAAGAGAAATGCTGTTACATACAGTTTCTAGGAAAACTAGGTATGTGAGACAGGGGTGGAGAAAGAAGGGAAGAAAGAGAGACTGTGATAGAGAGAGGAGGGGGGAGAAAGAGAGTGCCTGTGTGTGTGTGTGACAGAGCCAGCAAGAGAGAAGGATACAGACAGAGAAAGGAAGAGAAGAAAAACAGAGTGAGAGATGCTGAACTCAACACAACAAAAAGGCTGACCAACCTCCCAGGTTTGTTGATATATTTCTGAAGACGAGCCCTGACCTCATCGTAAGTCAGAAACGCCACATAACCAGGATGAGCAACAGCCAACACATTCCAATTTCGTAAAAGGTTACACCATGGTTGAAACAACCTACAAACAAAATGGACAACACAGATTATGTAACACTAAACAACACAAACTGACAACTTTTTTTTTTCAAGTTTTCTCTTTCTGGGGGATTATCATTGTTCGTTTTTTTTTTTTGAGATCACCTTCACTGTACTTGGGACATGACCCATGTCTCCAGGTGTTTTTAGGCCAACAACACCCATTCTATTCCGGTTGACGTAACGATGGATGGTTCCCGCATGGTTTTTCTGTCTCGCCGCTCCCACTGGTACAACCAAGGTATGCAGTCTATTCTGTAGGATTATCAAGGATGAGAATCAAACAGGTACAAATCCCACAAACCCTTTCAACAATATAGCCAATATACAGAGTTTGCACCCTGTCTATTTATGTAATGTGCTGATGAAGGTATTCTAGCCGCAACATCCACTTATCCGTGATTGTGAGAACGTGAAGCTGGCTAGTTCTACTTTTCATCTGGTTTTATCGGGGGTCTCTGTGGAGAAGTGGTCGGGCCATCGACTTCCTGCTTTGTAAGGTCGTGGGTTTGTGTCATATCTGCACCGTTAAGTTCACAAGTGTAATTTTTCAGAGATCCTGGGTTGCCATCGGAGCTACGGGGTTCATGCTCTGTGCGATGCTCTCTGCAGGCGGATAAAACAAAGTGCACTAAAGTAGGCCTCTCAACTTTAATCTATTGTTTATTTTATTTTGTTTAAAATTTGTTTCATGATAGAATGGTGGTGATGGTACTGGTACAACTCCACAAATCTCACTGAATGAACAAATAAATCAAGAGCTGATATCAATGCACTCGGGACATTCCCACACACATATCTCTACCCTTAGCTGCCAAAAAAAGAGTCAATATACTAGCAGTACCAGTTGCAACGCGGCAGAAGAAAAAAAGAAGAATGTATACAGACATCTTACTCACCTACAGAAGACATCAAATTCAAACACAGAGATATAATCATTGCATGTGAGGTCTATGGTTGACTTCAATGCCATGGCCTCTAAAGCAGAACCAATTGGATGACTTTCGTGGAGCCGGTTCTTGAATTCCTTCCATGGGATTATAATTCTAGAACAAACGAAAACAGATTTTTGGTATACATTTTTTTTCTTCAAATAAATGTTTTATCTCAGAAAATTGTAATAATGCAATCATAAATATTATCGCACAATTTGGTATATTTAGGTGTTTCTCATCAGGTTTTTTACTACAGCAACGATGGGCTGCATTAGCGCAATCGATAGGAGACTCACTTTCAAATCCAGCTGCGACTCGCTGCAGCCCACAGCCGGTGTTCGAAACCAGGCCTAAAGGTAATGGGTACCAGAGTTAACACTCTGGGGTAAATGGAGGAATGTCGCTGTAGATACGGAGTTGCATGCGGACGGTGACACAGGTGGACAGTTTCTTTTCAGCTGTCCGTACTGGTGGCAGAGCACTTATGGTTAATAACCGTGTGCAATTACACTGGTTCACATCTCCCGACTTTACCTTTTTTTTTTAACAAGGATATTTGAAATCATGTTAATTTATTAGTTGCACATCTATTACATGACATTTCACAAACCAGAATTTCTTGGCTATTTGTAGTTTTACTAGTTACTGTTATGTTCAGTAGTTTGTCATTGCTGTAAAAAGCCAAAGAATTAACCCAACTGGCAACATCATAGCTAGCAAGCTGGCCCCCACATCAGGGCTTCCTTTATCAAATTTCAACAGTGCAGGATTTGTCAGTCCCAAAGTGGTTTCAGCTGCCTTGCACTGTGAGGGTTGCACTGGAGGAAGCCTGGTTCAACACTGGGGAAGAGGGAGGAAGGGGGGGGGGGGGAGAAACACAGTCTTTTAATCATGTTGCAACTGGTACTATTAGCAAGTCGACTTTTTGTTGGTTTCTGAAGAAGACGACGCAGCCTGTGTGAGAATGTCGGGTGTACCATGATGTCCATTCTTGATTCATTAATTCATTCAGTGAGGGTTGTGGAGTTGACTTCAGACTTTATCCTTGAGTTTCTTATTGTTATTAGAGTTCACCAGTTGTAGTTGTGGCAAGCTGGCTCCCACATCTGGACTTCCTATATTCATTTTCAATAGTGCAGGGGTTCTCAGTCGCAATGTGCTTTCAGTTGCCTTGCACTGTGAGGGTTGCATGGGAGGAAGTCTGGTTTAAAACCTGGCGGAATACACAGACTTTTCATACTTTTAGCATGTCCACTTTTCATAGGCTTCTTAGAAAGCAGACGCAGTCTGTGTGAGAATGTCCTAAATGCAGTGATGTTGATTCTTTATTCATTCATTCATTCAGTGAAGGTTGTGGAGTTGACTTCAGACTCTTTTCAGACTTTATCCTTGAGTTTCTTACTATTATTAGCATTCACCAGTTGTAAACTTTGATGGAAGGTTGTGTTGTTTGTCAACTTCTAGACTGGTTTTGTTACAGGACTGAAGTGTTGTGTTTTACAAGTCTAGATTGTGTGCAGACTTAGTTAGTTAGTTAGTTAGTTGGGTTATCCTCATTGCACTCCGGACATGTCCATAGGTGCTCAGATCCTCCCCTCAGTATAAACCCCAACGTCCGATGGCTAATAGTACCAGTTCTATGTTGATTAACAAGTCTTCTGGCGTAGCTGGTGTGCGTCTCGTTTTTTGCTGTGCCGATCTTAATTCCCAAGTCTGCCATTCTGGCGAGTGATGTGGATTCACTGCCACCAAAGTCCTCTATTCTTCCCATTTCTCTGAGGGCATTGATAATATCAGCATGATCCATAGGCTGACCGTCGGTAGTGATAGCGGATCCAGCCAACCTGTCAGCTCTTTCATTTCCATTGACGCCTGCGTGTCCCGGAACAAAAATAAAGGTGACTCCACGAACAGTGGACTTCTGTAATGATTCAAGCCATTGTCTTCGCACTGAACCTGCCTGAACCCTCCGGATCATACTCATTGAATCACTGAGTATACACACGCGGGTGTATTTTTGTGTTTCAAGCCAGGCAAGCGCTTGTGTCACTGCCATCACCTCCATCGTCATGCTGCTGGTTGTCATGGAGAAGGCGCCGTTGGCTTCTTTGACTGTTCTGCCCGCTGAGCGTGCTGTAAATGCCCATGCGCTTCTTCTTTGGCGTATAACGGATCCGTCTGTATAGATTATTGCATCTGCTTCGTCTGAATTTTCACCGATGAGAGCGTTGACCTCTGCATTAACAGCAACAGGATTCTCTTCTCTACATCGCCTGTTGAGTGTGACAATACAGGAAAATGTACAAATAAACGCCTGAGGCACAGGTATCCATTCTGCACCAGGTATGATGTCGGTTAGGCTGCATATTTGCCTAATAACATCTTCTGCCCGACCTAGCCACACCTAGCCCTGTGTGCAGACTGTCAGTTCTTAGCCTCTCAGGCAGATGCAGTTCAACTTCAAATGACACATCGATCCTATCTATGTTGGCCAGGCATCTGGTTGGGAACTTGTTTCTAGGATCTACAGGTGTAGATGGGTCTTGGGATCAACTCTGGTCCAGGTGCACTACCAAGCATGGTTCAGTACCTCTGCACCCCATCCATCAGTCTGAAATTTCAGTTGTTTCAGAGATGTCTGGGATCACCAAAAAAGCTTTGTGCGGAATTCTTGATAGGTGACCACCCTATCTACTGACAAAGACTGTGCCATCTGCAATAAAACTTTCTATTATCTTGCCAACAGAAGCTTCTATTTTATTTTATGAGGTATTCGTTTTTACAATAATCACTTCTAAATTGTCAACACTTCCCATGGGGCAAGGGGTTACCACTACAAATGACTGCATGGAGCAAGGGGTTATCCCTACAAGTGATCAAATGGCTATCACTACAACTGATTTGAGTGCAGCAAGGGGCTATCACTACAATTGATTTGCACAGAGCAGGAGTTATCAATACCACTGATATGAATGGAGCAAGGGGCTATCACTACAACTGATCTGAATGTAGCAAAGGGCTATCATTACCACAGATTTGCAAAAATCAAAGGAGCTATCACTACACATGATTTGCAAGTAATAATGGATTTCACATTTGTTCTTTTTATTTACTTTAGTAACTCTGTTTTCATGTGCATTCTCACCAGAACCTCTATGTTTGACTGTTTTTGTTTCCACGAAATATGATCTATTCTTCTGTATATTCACATTTCCAGAGACTCAATTTAATGTTCTAGTTGCCTGTTCATTGATCCAAGTTTCTACACCAAACAGCAAAGGCTGAGTAGTGTAAATAAGATTTGATGATTTTCATTTTCAATGTGTAGTTTATCTCCTCGGATTGTTATGAGCTGGTTGAAAGCCTATGTTACACTAGGATTTGAAGAAGCAGAAAGATATGTAGTCTCATCATCTCCTTTGCCCTTTATTCCAACAATGGAGCTTTATGTCCAAACCAAACTCAATTCAAGCTGTCCAACCTTTGCCAGAGTTGAGTTAAGGACAAACACCACAGCACTCAGAACATAAGCACTCTGTCCCCATCTTCAGTAGCCAGCTTAGAGTTTGGGTGGTACCAGCAGCAGTGTGACTGTATGTGTCTGTCCTGTCTTACCCCAGAGTTCTGAGTGTCAACCTCCCCGTGTGGGTTTGGGAGCTCTCCGTGTGGGTTTGGGAGCTCCCTGTAAGGGTTTGGGAGCTCCACTTTGGAGAACAAAGAGTAGACCCACTGCATTCCAATAAGCATTTCCCTAAAGGCGACTAATTTAGTGTTTCCTCAAAAGTTGGAGTGACTCTGCATGAGAGCGAGCGGAACCAACAGTCTGCATACAAATAAGCCAGATCAGTACAGTACATAAGTGGATGTCCCTGCAAACGTAAGTTCTGGATCAAAACCCAAAGTGGACGAACAAACAGAAGAAGAATGAACCCTAAGGGTGATGCACCCTGTACTTGACTACCTACAGGTTACTTTGTAACAATTTTAAGGTGTCCGGGTATAACTGTGCTAGGCTATACAGTTAAAAGGGTTTTCACAATTTGTACCTGTGTGATTCTCATCCTTGAGATGTTAATCCTACACACTCAACTGCAATCCTGCAGGAAAATACTCAGAATGCTGGAAGAGAAGAGAAGAAATGCGTACTGCAACCAGACGCAACATTCCATAAACAGTTATACTTACTTATCACCAAAAGATTTCTTCCACCAGTCCGCGGCATCCCCTTTTGTAATCCTAAACGACTCTCCGGCAAATGCTCCATTTGGGTAAATAGCTTTCAGTTCTGCTAACATATGAGAAAACACCAAACTCAGTTTTGTCAAATTCCGACGGTAATGAGAATTCTCATCGTACATTTTATCCTTCCCGTCTCGAAACAGTTTCGTGGTATTTTTGCATTTATTCATCAAATTCTCGATAAATGTTCTAAAGTACTCGCATTCATTTAGTGTTTGCAGTTTATCTTCGTGTTTAGCACAAATTGACCGCAAATGTTGGTAAGTGTCCGGTAGGATATCCAAAATAAACGGAGGACTGTTTCTTAAATTCATTTTAGGATGCTGACACAGCTTCACGACTTTATCCATCATCTTCCATGACTTCTCGATAGATTTCCTATCTACAACAACAAGCTTTGGCGGCACCAGGACACCTTGAATTTGCTTCAACATCGAGCCCAAGTTTTTCGTCTTATTGTTGCCCAACGCCATCTTAGTTTCCTGGTCCACCACAGACGGGAGTACATCCGGCGGAAGCTGGCGAGGGGAGGGGCGGTCTATGGGGGCGTTGTCACGACTGAAGAGAGGAATTATATAACGTTTTTGCTTTAACTTTTTCATTATTATCTCAAGAAACGTATCGTGGAGGCCAGAGTTTCTTTCATGCAGGTTGTGAAGAGAGCGACGTTCTGAACGTTCTGCAAGAGGACAATTTTACATGATGCTGAACTCTGTCAGTATCGGTGAACCACTGCTGAGCCTGCTCCCCTGCGTTCTGCTTATTGTACGTGGTTAGTCCACAGACAACCAGGTTAGACCTTTTGAAGCCCTAAAAAGACTTGCACCCCGACAGAAACTGGGTGTAATTTGGCCCTCTAGCATACTAGGGTCGACTGAGGATCGAACCGATCACCCTAAACTGAGTATAATACCTCAGATTTCGGGGGGGGGGGGGGAAGATGCCATCAGGGTCCTCTGAAAGGGAGGGAGAATAAAGGACCCACTACCATTGATATCAACCTTAACGACACCGACAGTCCCCGGACCGAGATTTCTGTCCAACGGCCTATCTGGATATGTACATGTTGGAGAAGCTTAACTGGGGATCATTATATGAGAACGCCCGGGGGGAGGATGAAATGCGAGGGTGTGCCATGCAGTAAACGTCGGCGCATAGCTACTGTAGTTAATGAGTCGTTAGGGAATGATGGGCAGGGTGAACCCCACTTGCCTGGAGAGGCCCAAGACGTCTGTTGCGGAGGCGCATATTTGCTGATATCAAACGAAATGTGGAAGAAGTTTAACTTTCTACCCGCAAACGATAGGGTGTCGGGACCGAAATGATCGAGTAATATTTCTCAAAGTTCGCCATACGCTTCTCTACGCCCCCCCCCCCCTCCTCCAACGTTTACTACTAGGTGGACTGAACTACAGGTTTAAAAAGCAATAGGATGTACGATTACGCAAATACTGTTCGTAGTGGCTATGCAGGCCATGTTAGACATGGCTGTCGGCTTCGGGCAAGGCCTTCAAATTAGGACCACTGGATGCTCCCCTGCGTGGATTTATGGATGACACAACTATCATAAAGGGCAGTGAGGATCATGCCCTCGTTATTCTGCAAAGTCTGGACTGCGTGGTCAAATTGTGCGGCATGCAGTTTGAGCCGCAGAAATCAGGAAAATTGTCAATCCTAAAAATTGAGGTGGCGGCAGTCAGTTTCACAGTGGCAAGGAAAAGGATCCCCGCGGTTGTGAAGGAACCGGTGAAGAGCCCCGGCCACGTCTACGATTCGAAGTAATCTGATAGAGCGGAAGTCCGGCGTATAAATGAATCACTGGTAACAGGCCTGCTTGCTAGTGCAGGCTGATCGAGGAGTTCAAGGTTTTGTGTCTCCAGTTCATGTTGATTCCAAAGCTCCTCTGGTCACTGCTCGTGTACGAAGTAAGCATGACTGAAGTGGAGACGATGGAGAGAAAAAAAATCAAAACAGCAATGAGGAAATGGCATGGGGCTCCGCCTTGTTTGACTGAAGAGGTTCTTAATTGTTAGCAGGTTAAGCTCTTAATGCAATTAAAATCAATAACCGAAAAGTTTAAAGTCTGCAAGGTAAGACTCGCGATGATGCTACGTGAGTCATCAGACCTCACAGTGGCAGCTGTCCAGCCCGCTCTTAAGAGAGGTATGAAATGAAAGGTCCTCGGTGCAACAGAATCAATTCAAAAGAATGGCCTGAGACCAGACATTGTCTTGCACTCTGCTGGAAAACGCCAGCTCAGCCTGATAGAGCTGACCGTGCCGCACGAGTCACGGATGGAAGAAAATCATGTGTACAAGCTCGGTCTGAGAAGAGATGAAGCGTACCCAGTATACATTTTCGCCGTCAATGTAGGCGCAAGAGGACTGGTCTCAACTTCCACATACAATGTAATTAAGCACCTGGGCTTGCAAGGAAATGAACAGTAACGGGAACTAAAATAGCTGGCGAATCTGCTAAAAGAGCTTCGAGCTGGCTTTGGACGCAACGGAATGTCGTGAGAGATGGGCCTCGGTAGACTATTCCGAGCTCTTAGTGGAAAAGAATTTTTTTTATCCCTATAAAATTAAAGTGTCCGACAAATGGATGCCAGTGTCTCTCTGCCAAGTCCAGTCTAACACCTGTCCGTTGAACCAACCTTAAACTTGTCGCTCTGGTCATAAAGGTAGATAACTAATTTGTTACCGCAGCGACAATATAACACCAAATCTCACAATACCTGTCACTATATCGTCTTGTCCCTATCCGAGAGTCCGATTAGTGAAGCAGGGAAAGCTCCAGGCCTTGTGTTATGAACCAGGTTGGTCTACATTCCGAGAGAGAGTCTAGGAAGTAATGGGCAGAAACAATCGTCGACGATGGATATTTCTACATTTGATCGGTGGACCCTTGCTGTGCATGCTCCCCTGTGGAGCTAAGAAATGAAATAACAACACCCGGCACATTCACATTAACGTCCCGTCATTAGTACTATTTATGCAAATCATGTAATATAAATGGTGTCAAGGTGCTGTCGACGCCTACCACCGCCTTCTGACGCCTGAAATGGCTGCCTGAAATTGTCAGCAGCGTCGTGACTTAAAAAAAGGTTGCTAAACTTAAGCAGTATTAGTAGATTTTTACCCCACTAGGACATCACACAAGCGATAAACACCTGATGACACAAAGTGCCACCATGTGGATGAGGATCACCCGTGGAGAGGTCCCAGAAACCGCGTTCAGCCATTAGACCATATTTATGGTCGGGCTATATTGCAGCCCTTGGCAAGAGCCAGAGTAGGGCTTCAAATAACGAAAAATTGTATCTCACTAGGAGATGACTGGATTTTAGTATACTTTCGCTACTTTTTTAAAGAAAAAACAGGAGGTTGTGGAGTCAAGTCGTAGTGCTGGTGTATGAGCTGATGGGATTTAGGGGTCATCGAGGGTGCCGTGACAAAGGATACAAAAGGATAATTGTGGCAAAGGGGACATGTGTGGTGTCTCCAGATTAGATGTCGGCGGCTCATTACTTCAGGGGCAACTTGGCTGCGATACATGGGTGTTCTGATATATGGGCGCTCAAGCATATCATAGGCATATTATTATTGCTAGCATAGTTTATTTGTGTCCCTGTTATTGTCAAGTGGTGTGTGTGCGCCTCTCTAATGCTAAGTTGGGGTGTGATAAATGGGTGGTAAAGCATCTCGTAGGTGTCTCTTAATAGTTGGTGTATTTTTGTCCTGGTAAATATTATAGGTTATGGGTGCACCAGCTGCATTTTTGGGGTACCTGACGAACAGAACACTGACCATTAAAAAAAAAAAAAAAACCGCAGGAAAAGACCATTATTAAGGGTCCCCTGAAATCTGATGCGTTTACCCTAAAAGCGTAGATATAGTAGCCCATCTGTAAACCACAATACAAAGTGCTAATTGCCTTTTTAAGGCCGAAAGCAATATCAGTTTCGCCGAAATCTATCAGCTGTAGCCTTTTAAATACCCCCCCCCCCCCATCCCCCTATATTTTAGGACAGAAAGGGAGGGATGCAGGGGTAGGGGGCGCTCAACTGCTACCGCCCATGTTTAGTAGCCCTTTTTTATAAGTTAAAATAAATAAATAAATAAATAAATAAATAAATATATATATATATATATATATATATATATATATATATATATATATATATATATATATATATATATATATGTATGTATGTATGTATGTATGTATGTATGTATGTATGTATGTATGTATGTATGTATGTATGTATGTATGTATGTATGTATGTATGTATGTATGTATGTATGTATGTATGTATGTATGTATGTATGTATGTATGTATGTATGTATGTATGTATGTATGTATGTATGTATGTATGTATGTATGTATGTATGTATGTATGTATGTATGTATGTATGTATGTATGTATGTATGTATGTATGTATGTATGTATGTATGTATGTATGTATGTATGTATGTATGTATGTATGTATGTATGTATGTATGTATGTATGTATGTATGTATGTATGTATGTATGTATGTATGTATGTATGTATGTATGTATGTATGTATGTATGTATGTATGTATGTATGTATGTATGTATGTATGTATGTATGTATGTGTGTGTGTGTGTGTGTGTGTGTGTGTGTTCCTCAGCATTCCGAGCCTTTGAGGTTCGCTGTTCTTCAACATTCCGAGCTATTGAGGCTCGATGTTCTTCAACATTCCGAGCCATCAAGGTTCGCTGCTGCAGATATCCCCTGCCTTCATACATCGTCCTGGTTGGCCTTTTTTCCAATTAACAACACCAAGTGTTTGTAGGTCTGTCTGGATATTATCTCTCCAGCGCCATGCTAAGTAGCTGAACCATTTCCACACAGTATGCGTCAGAAAGTTTCTGAACATAAAATGGGAAGACAGGATCCCTGACATTGAAGTCCTTGACGGAGCTGGACTGTCCAGTATTTACTCGATTCTAAAACAACCCCACTTTCGCTGGGCACGTCATAAAGTCCACATGCCTCAAGACCTCACTGAAAAACTTCTGTATTGATCCTAAAACCTGGAGAGTCGCTGCATGTGACCACTCATCCTGGCGCTCCTCTCTTCATCGAGGAGCTGTGGTCCATGAAGTTGCTAGAACTGCAGCAGCAATTCAGAAAAGACAAGCCAGGAAAGACACTGAAGCAAATCACCAGAGAGATGCGGCTTCTATTCACTTTTCACATTGTTCAAGAACTTTCAGTTCTAGAATTGGCCTTATCGTCCATTTGCGCACTCACAAACCTGACCCAGTCACCATTGGATGAAGGGACTGGCCATCATCACTTGTGATGGACGAACAAACACCATCTGTCTTCTAGGTCAGCTTCGTGGCCTACGACCATTCAGATCCCTTGTGTATACCGTTGTTACCTTACTGTCATCTGAAATGTTCTCACTATGCGACAGACATTTCAGTCCTTTAGCTCTCATGATGCCAGTGATCAATAGTGATTTAAACAGATTATGAATTTCGCTGGATCTCTCGCGCCCTCTTCCAACGAAAAGTAGTGTTCGGATGTGGCTGTTGGACTTCTGAACCAACAATAATACATCCCGGCCTGCCACAGGGATCGCCATTATCTCCTGTGTTGTTCATCGTTTACACAGTGAGAATCACAGGCGAGCAAATCACAGGACCCAGAAGAACACTGTCATATGTTGACTATGTGTTAGTGTATCGTCAGGGTAAGGGTAGAGAGAAGGTTGCTGAAGAACTACAAAAAGAGCTCAATCGCATAAGCACTTGGTGTGGGGAAGCTGGTGCACTGGTCAACCCAACGAAAGCGGCCATGACTTGGTTCTCTTTGAAAAACCATATTGTGAAAACTTCAATTTCAGTTGTTAGTCTGTGTTCTGAGGATGTGGAAAGAACGAATGCAATGAAATAACTGGGGATACATTTTGGTCGAAGCCTTGTTTATACTGAGCACACAGATCAGATTATAATGGAAGCCAAGCGGGGTCTGGCTGCGATGAGAGTGATGGCAGCGGCAAACTGTTAGGTGCGTCATTTATGTCTTCTATACCAGGGCCTGGTCCTTTCTGTTGTTGAATACGCGATGGCGATCCAGACTCTCAGCCATGAGCAGATGGTATGTATGGAAAGGATACAGAACGAGACTATGCGGAATAAACTTGTGTGTGCAAGAGAAACAGCATGCAGGGCTATGCGCTACCTTTTCGATTTTCCAGCCATGGAAGACATAAAAATTTTCCGAGGTCGTGCCTACGTCACAGTCAAGGCGGACACACAACATCCATTACATAGTCAAATCAAGAAGATAAAAGGAAGCAGGTTAAAAAGAGGCAAATCATGGATGGGTCAAGCCGAGGACATTATTTTACATGTATGTTCACTTGAGGACATAGAACCCGGCGAGGAGTGGGTGCAAGTGCCTTCAGAGTGCTGTAGATTTTTTTGCTGTTCGCACCTAGCTAGACAGAAAATGTAGACATCAGAGTCAGGCTACCATGAAAGCAGAAGTTGAAGCCTTGATTTTGAAGAACCCTCTAGAGGGTGATGCTGTCATTTACACAGATGGTTCTGTGATCCGCCACGTTAGAAGCTCGTGGGCTTTCACGGCTCAGTTTGGAGGGAGAGTTGTAAAGGAAGATTCTGGAGCTTTTGCAGTAACTACAAGTAGTCTATGGAGGCCATGGCTGTGTCTAAAGCAGTAACATGGCTAGACACACAGACTTTCAATGGGGTATGCTTTCTCAGTGACTCGATGAGTATGTCAGGAAGATAGAAAAGGGCTAGGTCCGAAGACAGTGGTTGGTGGCTCTACGGAATTCACAGATAATAAGGATTTGTTTCATTTTCGTGCCAGGACATGAGGGGGTACAAGGACAGGAGCATGCTGATAGGCTTGCATGTAAGGCTACTGTGAAAGCCGGACAAACCATGGACCAGGCTGATATATTCTAAAAGCTCTAAAAGAGTTAGGACGTTTGCGTAAACCAACTGTGAATCTGCAACCATTGTCAGACTGCAAGAACAACATGTTAAACGGTGTGTCGCGAAACAAAAACACTACACTGGTAGCCAAAGAATAATAATAAACCAACACAGAACTGGTGTCGTCAGCCGCTACACGCTGCGGGATTTACTGAGGAGGGGATCCGAGCACTTATGGACTGAGTAGTTCGACGTGCAATGATGATAATCTGTCAACTGACTTACTGAAATGAATTTCGCTGTATAAAGGTACATCATTATTATTACTTACTGAAACAATCGTAGGTATCTTGACTCCCTCCCCACCCTCCGCCCCCATGTTTTCTGTCACCATCGGAATTAGAACTGTTGCTGAAGATGAGGGACAGGCGTTTATGGGAATGTCTGGAGAGCAATGCTGTCGCGTCTCAGAAAGACTCTTATTGCAGGGATTACGGTTCAAGGGAAGCTATTCATGACAGTTCTAGCTTACAGTATCCATAGTCTGTATTTATACCGATTAGATATAATTTTTATATAATTATTTATTTTATGTTTTTAAATTATAGAATACAGATTAATATTTCATTTATTAATACGACAATGATACGTTTATCTTCCCTATGCCTATACTCATGTGTAGCCATGGCAACTGTGTGAAGCGGCCATTATGGTTTGACAACAAAGATGGTGGGCGTTGGATGACAACATTACAAACAGCCTAGCTATGCATTAAATTTTTCTATCTTTACCCTTAACGTTACAGTTTTGCCCAGCACGGAGTCTGAAGATCAGCTGAAATAATCAACATGAGTACTACACAAACTCTGAGGCGAAACCTGCCGAATCCTACAAGAATTCACGATTATCTTTATGGTGAATATACAAATATATACTTACTTACACTTTTACGAACAAATTACATTTACATGTTCACATAATTTCACGTAAATTTAGTTAGTCGACAGATCGTCGTTTCTGCACATCGATATTCAGTCCATAGATTATCAAATGCCTTCTTTAGGGAGTAGTGACTGGACTTTTTAAAGATGTTTTTTTTTTTAAAAACCAGTCATGCTATTCTTTTAGTTATGTGGTCGGCTTACAATTGTCGGCTCTACTTTCAACTCAGGCCGTTAGCTAGAAAGCCGCCGATCGCTTAGTGGGAGTTCTCTCCCTTGGCTGCATTGCAAACACAGAGCGGAAAAGTCACGAATCAAATGACATACTTACCTATCATCATACGGTTGCGTGTACGGTTGCGTAGTCATCATACGGTTGCGTAGGGTGTAGGGTTTGGGTTAGGGTTAGGGATATGGTTAGCGGCGTTAGGGGTTGGGTTAGGGTTAGGGTTAGGGATAGGGTTAGTGTTAGGGATAGGGTTAGGGTAGGATTAGCGTTAGGGTTAGGGTTAGGGGTAGGGTTAGATGTGACAAATTTGACGTAGAAGTTCTATATACTGGCCGACAATCTGATGCTTGTGGGAGTAGCGCCACTGGAATTCTCCAAAATATGATGGCAATAGCGCATGGCTGGTGCCCAATCGATGGTGAATTGTCCGTTTGAGTAGCATCCACAGTCCGTCGATTGTTTGGGTGTTTATGTGACTGTGCGCGATTATTCGGAACTCCTGAGTCAAAATTGTCACATCTAACCCTAACCCTACCCCTAACCCTAACCCTAACTCTAGCCCTAACCCTAACCCTACCCCTAACCATGCAAATTTATCGGTCAGTGAGTCATACAGATCAGCAGGAGTCACATCCGTGGCAACTAATACCACATTTATATAAGGATATATTTACTTTAAAAAAAAACCAGATTTCCCCGAAGCGTCATATAAACACCCAGATCTGGGGGAAACACCCAAGCATTGGCAGCCCTGTTGTCGACCTCACTGTCTTTTTTTATTCGTGACTTTTCCGCTCCGTGTTTGCAATGCAGCTAAGGGAGAGAACTCCCACTAAGCGATCAGCGGCTTTCCAGCTAACGGCCTGAGTTGAAAGGAGACCCCAATTGTGGGTTATCCTCCTAACTTCGGGCACAGAAGACGGCGGCTGCAAAATATCCTTTTGAGCCTCAGTCACGTGACTTAATTTGCGGTTTTCTGGCGACTTAATTTGCAGTTTTCCCGCGGTTTTCCGGCGACTACCACCAACGCCACAAGTCCCCCCACACCATGTGAGCGGCGTGGATTGGGGCTAAACTAGATGGCTAGGACCCACGAACAGCAGCTTCCGCATCTCCTGCAGCTTTGCCTTACGAGTCCTAGCCATCTAGTTTAGCCCCAATGCACGCCGCACGAGCGGTGTGTGGGACTCATAGCGGTGGCGGTAGTGGCTGGAAAACTGCTGGAAAACTACAAATTGAGTCACGTGACTGAGGCTCGAAAGAATATTTTGCGGCTGCCATCTTTTGTGCCCGAAGTTCGGAGGATAGCTGTGATCGCTTAAAGTGAAACACAACCAGAAGAAATTATGGCCATAATTGAAACAGAAAGTTAAAACAGTGATCTTAGTGTGAACGACAGAAAAACAAAAGTTATGGTAATTACATAGACAATGCACCGTCCAAAAGGCAACAGCAAAGTACATGGGACAATCTTTCTGCAGGGTGTTACGTTGATAGATATGTTATTTCATCAAATTTTATGTCTTCTTTCAGCATTCATTCATAAATGGTCAATTTAACTGAGATACACTAACATTAAGATTGATTGTCACTTGTGAGAATGCTGTTTTTGTGTAAACTTTCAGATAAAGATTATATTGTGTCTTCTGAGAGAGATCATGGCAGACTTCACTACCAGGCACAGACAAGCACAAGTCATCTTGTAAGTTTATCTTCTATGTCTAGTTAATAACTGACATCACAGAACTTAATAAACTCCATACACACTCCATCCTTCTCAGCCGGCAAAGAATTCCAAGGTAGACTGTACCAGTAGCAGCTAAAAAGTGAAGCTGGAGGGTGTAGGAGGGGGGGGGGGGTGGGGACAGGTAAAAGACATGCACAGATATAACAGAATGCCTCCCTGTTGAGTTTCTGGGGCCTTTTTGTGGGGAAAGGGAGTCGCCGTGGCATAGTGGCTAGACGCTTGTGAGCGGATCAGAAGGTCGTGGGTTCTTTCCTGGCAGAGCCAGACTATTTTCAAAAATGACCTTGACTCCCAGGTCGACCCAGCCTTAAGTGGGTACAAGGTGCAGTCCTAGGAAGTAAAGGTGGTTGGCGGGGTGCTGACCACATCAACCATATTGTGCCAATTGGTCTTTAAAAATAAAGGTCTAGCCCTATATAAGCCACTTAAAGGCATAGAAAAGGGACCTTTACTTACTTTTACATTGTGGGGAAAACAAGAATAGACCACGGTCTACCCAAAAGCATGTCATCAGAGTCGACTATTTAGGCCCCTCCTTTGGCCTTGGAGTATATCTGCTAGAGAGGCAAGGAACCAACCATCTGTGTGCAAATGAGTCAGACCAGTGAAATGGATGTACATGCAATACTCAGTTTCTGGAACAGAAGTAGAGTCCACAAGTGGATGAACAATCTGAACTTTTCGCTGGAGTTTACAGCTGGTGAACACGAAGAAGAAGAAGATAACAGAATGTCTAGAAAAGTAATTGTCAGTTGATAAATCAGTTTACTGTCTGGCATCATTTCGGTGTCATCATGTGGCCTAATTTTTGTGACGGTATGTGGCCTTTTTTAGTGACGGCATGTGGCCTCATTTTTGTGACGGCATGCGGCCTCATTTTGGTGACAGCATGTAGCCTCATTTTGGTGGCGGCATGTAGCCTCATTTTTTTTGACGGCATGTGGCCTCATTTTGATGACGGCATGTAGCCTCATTTTGGTGATGGCATGTGGCCTCATTTTGATGACGGCATGTGGCCTCATTTTGATGACGGCAAGTAGCCTCATTTTGGTGATGGCATGTGGCCTCATTTTATTGATGACAGGGGAGAATTGACCCACTGCCCTCAAACAAGCATCTTGTAAAAGGTTACTAACTAGGAGTTTGCTGAAATCTGATGTGTGGGGCCAAAAGGCACAGATGTTGCAGCCTAGCTGTAAACCACAACACAGCATGCTAACCACTGTTTTAACTCTTTCATCCTGAGAAAGTTAAATCTGTAAATGCAAATGTGTGGCTATTACTACAGTGACCTGTTCAAGAAAAGTGTAGTTAAATTCTATTGTTTCTTTGTCCATAATCATAATTTTGAAAAACCCTGGAGGTGAATATATTAACACAGTATAGTATTCAGAGGGGTCTCCTTGTGACTTCAGTGGCCTTGTCAAAGCAATATTGACTTACATTTTCCCATAAGCTTCTGTGATTGAGGTCATGGGGTCATGGCATAAGTCATTTAATACATATTTGTTTCTGCAGGAAATGCATTCCATTTAATGCTTCACTCTGTTATTGTTATTGATCACTCCCTTTATATTCATTTCTTTTTATATATTTAAAAACAAAAATTTTGAAAAGCAGATAGATGAATATAACCCCAACTCCTAGGGTGCATGCTGTAAAACTGAAGCCCCAAGGTTTGATGCTAACAGGACAGTGGCTCGTCTGGAAGGAGACGAGCACCAGCTAGGTCAGATTGTTTTTACTGCCCCACCATGCAACTGGCCTAGCAAGCTGGCAGTAGTGTAACTGACTGCTACTACGTAAGAAATATTAAATACACATAGTGCAGACTCTTGCGATTATCAGACTGGCAACCAAGCCACCCAAGAAGCACAAGAGAAATACAGAAAACCACAACACTGGGCTATACCTAAGTATAAGTAAAGTGACAAAAGAAGAAGATAAATGAATTTGTAGACAGTTTATTAGTCACATGTGTTAAATATGATTTTGGGGGGTTGGGGAGGAGGGGGGGGGGGGGGAAGGGGGATTCCTACTTAACTTTTTTTTTTTAAAGGTTCTCTAACTTGTTAAAGAAAGTGATTGTTTTTGCTCAGTGCATCTGTTCTAACATTTTAAAAAATGTGATTGTTTTTGCTCAGTGCATCTGTTCTAACATTTTAAAGAATGTGATTGTTTTTGCTCAGTGCATCTGTTAAATGTTTTTTATTGTTACAGCAAGCAGTACCAGTGTATGAGAGTATGTTTTCTGAACTCCGCCATCATCCGAGGCTTCAGTTCAGGCTAAATACCAATGATCCTGTTCCGAAATTCATCAGCAGAGAATGGAGAGGTTACGCTGAGCAGCACAGAGAGGCCTTAATGAGATATAAAACGTAAGTTAATAATGATGATGAATAATTGCCTGCAACTGATAGAGGTTAGTTGCTGTAGTTCATAATTTTCACGTACTTGGGTTGGTGCTTTCTTAATATCCTACCCCAAACAGGGGAAATCCACAGGTCAGGGGACAGTCTAATATTTCAGGGGGTGGTAGATAGGCTGCATGCAGTCGTGGGACTTAGGCTGCATGCAGTCGTGAGACCTAGGCTGCACTCTCTCGTGGGACATAGGTTGGTTGGGGTTAAGGCCAGTTCTAAGAGAAGAAGAAGAAGAAGAAGAAACCACAGCTTGCAACTGATGAACACTTAAAAGAAACAAAAAGCAGAAAGTAAGAGATTACAGCCAGCAAACGCTAAAAAGAAGAAGAGAAGACATAACTGATTGGCTTTTGAAGCTGTAAAGTAACATGACCACTACCTGAATTTGGTGCTTGATGTGGCACTGTGAGCTGTGGATTTTGTGGGGAATGATTTGTTTTGTCTGTTGTGCACAGGGTGCATTGTTGACTGCCGTAAAATGGCAGGCTGCTGATTGCATTCAGAATTGGTGTAATTTTGTGGGTGTAATACTGGCTTTCATGATTAATCATTTGCAACAACAGTGAGCAGCAATTCTGGTGTAGGGCCATTAGTGTTGGCACATCTGACAGCTGTCTTAAGAATTGTTACTGTGCATGTGCAAGCTTAATTATTTTTTTTTTTTCCACTAGATTTTAATTGGAATAGTGAAGGTTATTTTGTGTGATTTCCACCATTACAGGAACGGAAGTTATGGGGTAACCCTTCTCCAGTAATGTTGGAACATCCACTAATAGACTATAACCCCTCCTTTAATCATCTGTTACAACATACATGGAAACCTACACTAAACATGATACATCAGGTTGCTTTTAGTGAATGATTTTGTCATTATCTATTGAGCTGCCTTTCTTCCTGGATATTTTCCAACATCCACTTCTGAATTTTTCCTACAATTTCTACCATAAGTGAATTCAAACCAAAAACCACAAGGAGAGAGGTAGGTGACCCTCCCTTTAATGCCCCCAAGGCTTCCATCTGCACATGTAATAGAAAAGTCATTGTTTCTTTAACCAGGTTTAACTACGATCCTTGCCAGGTGCCTTCATGTAACCTAACAGAATTCAACAGTGCTGATGTGACTGGTCGAAACCTGTATCGGTATTTCAGAAAGTAAGTAAGCAGGAATACCTAGATTATTATTTTAAAATATGTTTTAGCATGGGCTATCCTCCGAATAACAGGCACAAAAGATGGCAGCCGCAAAATATCCTCATGAGCCTCAGTCACGTGTCAATTGCGCACTTCCTGCGACTTAATTTGCGGTTTTCACGCGGCGTGGATTGGGGCTAAACTAGATGGCTAGGACTCAAGAGCAAAGCTGCAGGAGAAGCGGAAGCTGCTGCTCGTGAGTCCTAGCCATCTAGCTTAGCTTCAATCCACGCCGTGTGAGTGGAGTGGGAGACTCTTGGCGGTGGCGGTAGTCGCCAGAAAACTGCTGGAAAACCGCAAATTAAGTCGCTGGAAGTGCGCAATTGACATGTGACTGAGGCTGGTAAGGATATTTTGCAGCCGCCATCTTTTGTTTTGTTATTCGGAGGATAGCCTTAGCATGTTGTCATTTATGTATTGACTGGCTGTGATTTTTGTTGAAACCTGTCATTTATGTTTTTGTTAGCTGTGATTTGTGTTTTAATCTGTTGTCATTTTAATTTTTACAACTTGTGATTTATGTTTTAACCTGTTGTTATTTATGTTTTAACATGTTGTCATTTATGTTTTAACCTGTCATCATTTATATTTTAACCTGGTGTCATTTATGTTTTAACCTGTTGTATTTGGTCTTTTAACCTGTTCTCATTTATGTTATAACCTGTTGTCATTTATGTTTTAACCCTTTATCATTACTGCAAATGATCTCCTTTCAGTTGTAGAAGTTAATAACATGGTGTATAGAAAATATTGTTATGCTCTTATGACTGACAATAATCTCTTGGAAGTTAATGTAGTTAATGTAAATGGTTTATTATGTTGTTTTAGGAAAATCAGGTGAATACTTTGGTCAGACAAGATCATAGTGAAGGAGGAAAACAAACATGTTCATCATTTGCAAACTTTATCAGAGGAAAAGATGGAGATGACTTAGACATGTCTGCATGACTGTCTCATGAATCTTTTGTAGGAGCAGCTCTCTGGTGGATGGCATATGGAAAAAAAAAAGAGGGAGAGACATGGACCACCTAAGAAAATGTGGAGAAGGGCAGTAAACTGAGAAGGACTGTGACCTGCAAATGACAAAGATGTGGAGTGAAAACATCAAGATAAACAAATTTTGTGAAACACATTGAAAAGCTTTGTTACAAATGCCAAGAAAAGTATATGGAAATGAGTGATGTAAAAGGGGTGGAGGGTGGAGAAAACATTACATAAACTCTGGAATTTGTACTGATAAATAATTAGAAAAAGTGCCATTCTTCAAATGCCAAACCTCCAGGATTCAGGAGGTAGAATACTAAAAAGTGACAAGGAGAAGGGATGAGAGTTTTGTTTTTAAAAGGCATTATTAAATCCAAACTGATAAAGGTGGTGCAACACAAAGGTAAGTAGGTAGGTAAATATCACCCCACCAGGACATAACACAGCAACAAACACCTGGTAACACAAAGTGCCACCATGCGGGTGAGTATCACATGTGGAGAGGTCCCGGAAACCGCATTCAACCATTAGGTTATATTACTGCCCCTGGCAACAGCTTGAGTGTGGCTTCTCAACACCACAAAGATGGTAGGTAGGTAGTTGTATCTCACCAGGACATCACACAAGCGATAAACACACAGCAACATAAAGTGCCACCATGCGGATGAGGATCACCCGTGGAGAGGTCCCAAAAACCCCTTTCAGCCATTAGGCCATATCTATAGCTAGGGCCTATCTATGCCCCGGCTATATTCAGGGTCCCTGGCAGAAGCCAGGGTGGGGCTTCAAATAAAAATTTTTTTTAAATCCCACATGGGGACGAATTTTAACTGATAATACAACACAAAGAATCTTCAGCGTAACACTGTCATAGACAAAGTATATAAAGACTTTGTGACCAAAATTAGCCTACAGGTGGCATTGCAAGGCAGCAAATATAATCAAACTTACCAGGTGATTGGTTACACAGCTATCTTGAACCATTTCCAAAACTAGACAGAGATCCCTCACAATTCAGTAGTTATAGAATCATTATCTTGCAAAATGTCTATGGTAAACTGTTGAAAAAAAAAATGATGGCGAAAAAAGTGCTGTAACTCTAGGAAGGGAAATAAAGAGATGTAAACTGACATGGGATATCATGGGTACAAAAGCAGCAGATGGGCAGTAGGGAAGATCACTTATGAATGCCTTATGTATCAAAAGCAACGTAAAGAAGATAGAGGGTAGAGATTCTCTCAGTCTGGGTTTCTGGGCCCCATTTTTTTAGGGGAAGCACAATTTAGACCCAATGTCCCCCCCCCCCCCCCCCCCCTTTTACCATCCCCCACACAACAAGCATGTCACATAAGGTAACTAATGAGGGTCTCTCTAAAGTCAGATGTGCTGGTCCAATCATGAAAGTATCATGGCCTTACTGAAAACTACAACACAGTGTGCCAACTGCCTTTGTCAGCATAAACGCAGAAGTAGGAGGAGGAGGATAAGAAGAAGAAGAAGAAGAAAATAAATTCTGCTGTTGGCAAGAAGAGGTTTAGCTAAGAAATGTAGTGTTTTCACTTGATATTGTTTTCCATACCTGTTGATTGTTTTTTTAAAACAGTAATGGGTTGTCAACCCATGTCTAGCTCTCAACCTGGAAGACCAGGGTGCTAGTTTAGTATGAACCTTTCTCCTCAAACCCTGTCTGCCTTGGCTGAACTTGCCATGGGCACAAGTTCCTTGTCTGCAGTCTGAGAATCAATGGCGTATAGAAGTCATCCCAGTATGACAAGCTACCAACACCATGGGATGGCTTGAACATGTTTGCAGACTGTTTGATACTTTGAAATGGTCAGCTCTCTCAAATGGAAAGCAGATAGAACAAATGAGACTGAGTCACCCTAGGAAACTGACGTCTGTTACCATGGGCAGAAAAGCATTAGACAGGCAGGAATGGGATTTAACTGGAAATGACTTACGTGTCAACAAAAAATGAGAAAAGGGTGTATATAGATTTAAAGACAACATAATGCTGTCCACCATTACATATTTTCATTTCTCAAAAATGTATAATTTCTTCACAGACCAATTATCCCATTCCTGCAGCAAGTTCCACCAGAGGTCATATTTGCAGCATCAAGGTCAGATATTGTCACTATGTTTTTTTTAAAATTTATTTTCTGTGATTGTCTTCTTTTTAATGTTCATTGGCTGTAAACTCAGTTGGAAAGTTCTGGTTGTTTGACCACTTCTGGACTTTGGTCTTGTTCCAGAATTTGAATTGTGCATGCACAGCTGTTTTACAGATCTGGCTTCTTTGTATTAGGTGGGGGGGGGGTGGGGAGGGGGGGGGGGGGGGGCAGTGGATTTGTTTATTGCGAGTTCAATTTTGAAAAAAAAAAATAAATACATCACTACGGAATCAAGCCCAAGACCTTCAGGTTAGCTGGTGTAAATTTAGCCACGACTCTACTGCTGCTTCCATGTTTTACATTTACAGAGGAAAGGCAAGATGGACATATAATCAAATTACTACTGGCACCATGAGAATTAGAACATGTTGCTGGCTGATGAAGATCTGGACTGAGTGCTTATGGGAATGTCTTGATTTCCTGTCATGTCAGTTCTTAGCTCAGCACTCTCTTTTTCTTTTTGTTGTTTTTAATAATAAAATACACGACCTACTTGCAACACCAGGGAATGGTGCCTTCGCTAAAATCTGACTTTCTTTGAATCCTAACGCAAGACCCACTTGCTACCCTGCTGCATGTTTATGTAATCTTGCTTTCAATCTGATTCCTCCCCCGCCCCTTCCCCCAGTAGAGGCAAGATCCACTTGCAACCTCACAAAATGTTCATGTAACAGCGCCTTTAGTCTCTTTTTTCATTCAGTCAAAAGGCAATACCCACTTGCCGCCTCACAGAATGTTAATGTAACAGTGCCTTTAGTCTAATTTTTTATTCAATCAAAAGACAAGACCCACTTGCAACCTCACAAAATGTTCATGTAACAGCGCCTTTAGTCTCTTTTTTCATTCAGTCAAAAGGCAATACTCACTTGCCACCTCACAGAATGTTAATGTAACAGTGTCTTAAATCTGATTTTTCATTCAATCAAACGACAAGACTCACTTGCAACCTCACAGAATGTTCATGTAACAGTGTCTTTAATCGGATTTTTCATTAAATCAAAAGACAAGACTCACTTGCAACCTCACAAAATGTTCATGTAACAGTGTCTTTAATCTGACTTTTCATTCAATCAAAAGACAAGATTCACTTGCAACCTCACAAAATGTTCATGTAACAGTGTCTTTAATCTGACTTCTCATTCAATCAAAAGGCAAGACCCACTTGCTGCCCCAGAGAATGTTTACGCAGAGCGAGCAGCAACCCCAGCCTGCAGAACAGTTGAGACCCAAACTGATTACCGAGATGCGGAGGTCCAGACAGATCCCTACACACCTGAATATGTTGTACGTCCTGGAGAGGCACCAGAACTTCTCACACTGGCAACATTGTCATTTGGTATGGAAATTTTAGTGTGTTTTTTTGTTTCCTGTCTTGCTTTTAGTGTTTTGATGACCAATTCTTGTGCTATCATCCTCTTTTGCTGTAATACGTCACATAGGGCTCACAGTTTGGTTCCCTATTCTGTTTTATCCTGTTGAGTTCTCTGAGTCCAGTCCAGCACCTTTGATCTCTCTCAACAATGCTTATCTCAGGGTTCCTCCTGGACGCCCTCGTTTTCTCAGTCCCTTTGTTTCCCCATGTCCGTGCTTGTTTGGTGATTCTCTGTCCATTTCTTCTCTTGATGTGCCAAATTTATTCTGTATCTTATAACTGATGATACACTTGGCATGTACAACATATCAAGGCAAAATGTTTGGCCAAGAGAAACCTCGGTGCAAGTCAAACTTTACGGGTCGCTGAGTAAATTACAAAAGACAGTGAAGTTCATACTAGAGACAACATTGCAGATATAGATAATCTGTTTGAAGCGAGCGAAAGAAGAAGAAGAAGAAAAACTTGGCATTCCAAATCTGTAAGTTGTAAACTGTAGCAAAGAATTGTCAGTGAACTCAGTGTTGTTACTGTTGCAAACAAAACTGCTTTCAAAACAATATTTTCCTGCAATGAATTTAAATAATGTGGACATAAACAATACTTTGCATAATTTATTGCCTTTTATATTTTATTGTATCTCACCAGCTGCATTACTACAAAGTTACATCAACACATCACATAGATATTTAATAGAGGAAACAAATGCTCACCAAAATACTCAGAAAACAACAATTTTAATAAGCAGATAAATGAATATAACCCTACCTCCTCATAGTGCATGCTGGAAAACTGAAGCCGCAAGATTTTATGCTAGCAGGGCAGTGGCTCGCCTGGAAGGAGATGGGCACCAGCCAGGCCAGATTTCTTTACTGCCACGCAACGGGCCTAGCAAGCCAGCAGTAGTGTAACTGACTGCTACTACCCAAGAAATATTAAATACCAATAGGACAGACTCTTGCAATTATCGGACTGGTAACCAAGCCACCAAAGGAGCACAAGACAAATACTGAAAAATATGACACTGGGCTACAACCTGGTAACACTGAGGCGACAAAAGAAGAAGAAGATAAATGAATTTGTAGACAGTTTATTAGTTACCTGTGTAAAATCCTATGGTCTTCTCTGTTTAAACTGCTATACTTCTCACAACTGAAAGTTTAGAAAAGCTGTGTGGTCACCATGGAAACATCTTACAATGACAAACAAATTTGGTTATTTAAAGAAAGTTGAGTTAGAGAATATTTTTACACTGGGAAGTTTCAACACTCACAATGATATTAAAAATTATGGATGAAAGGGCAAAATAAAATTCACACTGAATATAAGAGAAGAACGGGTGAAAGCACTGAGGTAGGGAAATGTCGTAATTCATAAACACATTTTATAGTATAGAGAACTTGGTAAAAAGTGTGAGTTATTTTGGAATTGAAAGATTTTATAATTCACTATTGCACTAGATACTCCGAATCGCAGTGGTTTAGTGGCTAGATGCTTGCCTGCGGATCAGAAGGTTGTGAGTTTGGGTCTTGACAGAGCCATACTTTTTTTCTTTTTCTAAATGACCTAGGCTCCCAGGTCGACCCAGCCTTGAGGATGTACCAGATGTAGTCCTGGAAAGTAAAGGCGGCCAGCACGAAGCTGACCACATCACCCACTAAATGTTGATTGGTCTATAAAATATAGATCTAGCCCTATATGCCCAATGTGCCTAAAGACGTGGAAAAGGGTCCCTTACTTTACTTTGGATATTGATGATTGGGCGAAAGAGTTTAGATGGAGAGATTTCTGAATTCAATAACACTGGATATAACAGAGGATTTAATGTAAGAGATAAGGTGGGGGAATTCTGGAATTAATTAATATTGAACATTATAAAGGATCTCATAAAAGAGTCAGTGTGATTAGATTTGACAATGACATTTTTATTCATGTGAAAGAAATGCATCAATTCTGTTAGTGTCAGATGTTGTTACTTTCAGATGTTGTTACTGTCAGAAGTTGTTACTGTCAGATGTTGTTACTGTCAGATGTTGTTACTGTCAGATGTTGTTACTGTCAGATGTTGTTACTGTCAGATGTTGTTACTGTCAGATATTGTTACTGTCAGGTGTTGTTACTGTCAGATGTTGTTACTGTCAGATGTTGCAAAAAAACAATATTGCTGAATTTGTCTATTTTAATCTCTTGAAGGTCGTGGGTTGCCAGCAGGACTGGCGGAGGTGGAGATGATTGAGCGTGCTCGAGCCAAGCGGGCGTGGGAAGCCAACCTGCCTCCTTTGAGTGACATATCACAGCTCGAGAAGAGGCGGAAGATGATGGATGAGATGGAGCGAATGGAGTGGGCTCTAAGAGAGCAAGAAATTGAAAAGTACATTTGCTAGTTTTTCAACTTTTTTTAGTGCTCAGTAACTCATACCATCATGCTCTTTTTCTTCTTCAATACCTTCTTCTTTCATTCGCTTGAAATAGATTATCTATATCCACAATGTTGTCTTTGGTATGAACTTCTCTGTCTGTTGTAATTCATTCAGCAACCCGTAAAGTTTGGCTTGTACCGGTATTTCCCTTGGCCACAAATTTTGCCTTGATTTGTTGTATTTGGGACAGTCTTGGAGGATGTGGTTTATTTAAAGCTGAATTATTTTATCTATTCTTCTTTACAATTATATAATTTCCCATTTGTGTCATTTACTGATGAAGGCTTTCTCGCTGCAACATTCATTATTAATTATCGCAGCATTGTGAAGCTGAATAATTCAGCTTCTCATTTGGGTTCACATTTTATAATTATACATCTACTAGGTAATCCATTTATGATGCAACTTTCTTTGTTCATGTTGATTCAATTGTTATATGTCCCCACTCTGCCTGAAGTGCTGCTCGAATTGCTTTCAAAACCTTCTTCTCATAGTCTCTGCCACATGGCACTGGTAGTCATGTCTTATCTTGTGTATTTTTGACACAGTTTTGACACAGATAATATTTCATTCCATGATGCCAAACTGTCCAGCATCTTTTGTCTCGATACCCCTCTACCTCTTTTTCCCCTCCAATTATCTCACCGTCATAATGTACTTCATTTTTCTCTTTCTCATGACATTACCATAGACTGTAGATTGTCTTGTCTCCTTCCCTGTGGGCAGTCAGTTGAATGTTCAATGTTGAATCAAGAATCGACATCACAGCACTCCATAAGTGCTCCATCCCCATCTTCAGCAGCAAGCGAAGAGTTAAAATTCCGATGGTACCAGTGCTTGTCTAACTGTATATCCGTCTTGCCTTTCCCCTGAGTGTCGCGTCAGCGAGATCCCCTTGTAACTCCTTGGAGTCCATTCCTCCTCAGACCCTAATGATCTATCTGTTCCTCTGCACTGTTTACTTGCTCCTAAAGGGCCCTCACAACATCCAGCTTGTCATACACCAGTTCACCATCAAGTGGTGCAGAACCAGCCAGTCTGTCTGCCTGCTTATTTCCCAACACACCGGCATGACCTGGAGAAAATATCCAAAGGATGCTAACTATCCGGGACCTTTGAAGTGATGCTTGCCACTCTGCCTTCATTAGTCAGTTTCTTTCAAAACATCTTTGTTACTTTTTTTTTCAACCTGTCCAAGGAGTTTTTATCATTCACCTGTACAACCACATCTGTGTCACTTCCACATAGTTTTTCACTATTTGGTCGACTGTCTATGATTCACTTATGCTTATCAGGATATGAATGATATAGCTCTTGACAATTCTCTTTCTCATTTTAATTGACAAAGAAAGATTACATATAATGTTCTTCATTTATAACGCTTTTATTACACAGTAATGATAATAATTGTTCTTTCTGAGTCTCACATTGAATGACTTTGAATTAGTTGCTCAGTAAGAAAGCAATATTTACAGTAATAAGCTCCTGGATTTTTTTTTTCTGTTGTGGTTTTTCTAGGCAAGTTTAAACCCAGTAGTTTGCCATTGCTTTCTGGATGGTCAGCTTCTCGTTACCACTGTTGAAACCAACGCAAGGCGCAAGCCTGCAGCTGGGATCAAACCTGGCACCCCGGCATTAGGAAGCGCGTTCACAATGCCTAAGCCACAGATGCCGACAAGCACCTGGATAGATATAGTTAAATACTCATGAATGGTTAGGGGTGGGGTGGGGGGGTGGGGGGGGGGGCATGGGAGGGGAGGGGGTCTCCATGGTGACCATAAGATACCATGAAAATATATAAAAAGGCAGCAGGCTTTAAACCCACTAAAAATTACCAATCATTTGATTTAATAAGACACCACAGAACAATTTTCAAACTCATATACATTCACCAATCATATGATTTGATAAAACACCATGCAACATATTTCTAAACTCGTTTACATTCACTAATCATTTGATTTAATAAGACACCACAGAACAATTTTCAAACTCATATACATTCACCAATCATATGATTTGATAAAACACCATGCAACAATTTCTAAACTCGTTTACATTCACTAATCATTTGATTTGATAAAACACCATGCAACAATTTCCAAACTAATTTACATTCACCAATCATATGATTTGATAAAACACCATGCAACAATTTCTAAACTCGTTTACATTCACTAATCATTTGATTTGATAAAACACCATGCAACAATTTCCAAACTAATTTACATTCACCAATCATTTGATTTGATAAAACACCATGCAACAATTTCTAAACTCGTTTACATTCACCAATCATTTGATTTGATAAAACACCATGCAACAATTTCCAAACTCATTTACATTCACCAATCATTTGATTTGATAAAACATCATGCAACAATTTTTCAGACCCACTCACATTCACCAATCATTTTGTTTAATAAGAAACCATACAACAGTTCTTCACACCCAATCATTTGATTTAATAAGACACCATGCAACAAGTTTAACACTCATGTTCTTGTTCACTAATTATTGGATTCAGTATAAGACACAGTTCAACACCCATACTCACATTTATCATTCATGCAGACTGCAAGAAGCTCGGCTGGAAGTTCTTCAGAAGCTGCTGAAACAGAGGGAAGAGAATCACCAGGAGCTGAACATCAAAAGACTTGACAAGCTCTGGTATTTTGGTTTTTCACAATTTTTAAATTAAAAAAAAAAATTTGAACCAATGTTGCTGCAACAAGTTCTGATGTTTAGAAACCTCTGAGGTTTGAATACTGGTGTGACAATTCTAACTTTCAGGTTTTATATTGTCACTCCTTATCATCATCTTCATCAATTTACACTTTCGCCAATAAGCATTGTGAGGAGAAACATTTTGCAATCCCTTGTTTGATGGGTAGTAATGGGTGTTGTCATTCTGTGTCAGAGAAGAAGCTCTATAACACTGTGAGTGTTGATTAAGAAGTTCTGATTTGCACAAACAACACTGTCAGCATTGATCGTATGTCCTGTATATATTGCTTCGCACACGGCTCCATATTCATTTCTTATGTTCGGAGCTACCATTAAAGTATTCAGGGAATGTTACTCTAACGTTTTTCTTGTAAACAGGTCTTTGTTCAAACACACCTGTTTTCTAATTGTGATAATGAAGAACTTAAATTTTTCGGAAAGTGATTTGGAGGTGAATTTGACCAGCAGCAGCTGATGAGGTAAATCCAGGAGGACCCATTTCATTTGCGAAGGATGTGATAGTCACCCACATTTGCATCCAAAGGACTGTTTCAGACAGTACCATACTCATACTATGCATTGAAAATGTTGCAGCTACAATCTGTATATAACTACAAAGTCAATATTGTGTGTGTATGAGACTATAGGTCCAGTTTTCTGCCATTTTATTTTCTTTGAAATTTTGTTTAGCATCTGTGAAAACATAGATCCTCTGAGTGAGAAACTAACCCAGAAACATAACATTTAAATTTGTTAGGAAACTGAACAAACTTTAAAGTTTCATTCTCAAATATTCATATTCACTGCTCTTGTGGCTGCCAAACCATGGTAAGTGGAGATTTTGGGGGTAAAATATTGTCTTTGTATACATAACACCGGATGAATTATTTTTTCCAAATAGTTTTAACAGTATTAGACAAAAATATATCACCAAATTCAAAATGTACATTCATTCCTCTTAAAAATATACTTTTTTAGGCATTAGAAATGTATTACATTCTCAGTTACCTTTTTTTATTACATTCTCACTTGCCTTTTTTTTAAAACACCAACTAACCGCCATTTTCGAAAAGGGAAACTAGTGTGAACCAAGTCTGTCAAAATTTATGGGCCTGAAAGAGTTAACATCATCAATCAGTCTTCTCCTTGGGCGATCTCTTACTGTCACATCAGATCTTATCACGTTTAGCACCTTTATTGGTAGTTGTTGGGGCTACATTTTAACGAGATTACCAATCAGTTAGGCCTTCTGTTTTCAGTGAATTTGGTACATGATTTTGTTCCCACAGTCTGTCTTATGGTATCATTGCTCACTTTGTATCGTATAGTTAAGTTAGCAGCTTTCCTCACATATATTGTCACAAATGCTCTCTGCTTTTTCCCTTGAAGGCTATAAGAGCTGAACAATACCCAGGAATTTACTTCTGATCATGGAGCATCTGGGAGGCAGCGAACTTCCCTCGCTGATACTTGACAGATTTAGGTGTTAGGACAGCATGACCTGGAATGAGAGGCACAAAAAACGTGTGAGAGGTGTGGTTAATCAAAATTGAACTAGCACTATCAGTTGCAAGATGCTGATGTTTATATTTGGAGTAGGGGATAAACTAAAGTATCTAGAGTGCCAGGAGGATAGATTTAATGAATATATACTTATGACTTCTTTCAAGTCTTATAAATTTAATAGCATGTGTAACTTTTATTATTCTGAAACACTTACCAGAGCAGCTGTCCATTACAGCCTACTCTTTGCATTTTCAAAAATGCTACTAAGAAATTTTTTTTCAGCAGTTTGCCATTTCTTTCTGAATAGCATGTTGTTATTTTTTATTTTAACAGGGCAGTCAAACAGAAAGATAAAGAGGCCAGGAGCAAGAAGATCAGGAGTGAATATATTAAAGGTATTTGACAAGAAAGAGAGATTGTAGGTAACTGAATTAGAAAAAAAAAAAAACTAGTGAGATCTGAGTATCTTCTTCTTCTCATTCCCCTGGCCAGTGGTTTTCATATGAGAAGGCGCCAGGGTGGCATGGTGAATGTCCTCTACTGATCCATACAGTTTTGTTTCCGCTGCGATGCAAACTGGCAAGACTTGGGAGCTGTCTACTGAAGGTAGAGAGCAAATCTGTAACACTTATTCAGTATTCTGAGGTGTCTGGCCACATGGGCCAGACCTGTGTATAATCACTGTGCTCCTAACAAGTTAGCATCTACACAGGGCTATTCAACTGCGTTTACTCAAGGAACGACATTGGGAACTTCAGGGTCATCATGGGCCAGAGGCCCGAGCCCCAGAATAGAAGAATCATTAGTACAATAATGCTGACAATGATCCCTGGGCCACTTGCCAGGTTTCTAGGGGCCACATTTGGCCCCTGGGCTGCCGGTTGAAAGCCCTGATCTTCACCTTAAGACATTTGCTGTGGGAAGCTGAGCATCTATGGGTATGCCTGATGTGCCGTGATGTTGATTCTTAAGCCAGTAAACCAACTAATCATTATCTCATCATAAAGATCAGCAATGAACATATACAAATTATCTCACAGGAAAGAGAGGTCATGAGCAATTGAATCAAATTTTAAAAAAATTAACATCTTATCATGTGTCAGACTGTCTGTTCATCTGTCTGTCCATCCATTCATCCATGTGCCTATCTCCACTCCCCACCACCCCTTGCAAGCTGCTACTTGAAGATTTGATCCCCTGCAACTTCAAGAGTTGGATCCTGGATGGCAAAACAACATGGCAGTCTGATATACCATGTTAAACCTGTTCAGAAGTCATAATAGGGGCACGAAGTAACACAAAGCAAGCACTACAGTAGTGCACCCTGCAGTCTTGTGTGGTTAAGGATTAAATATAATCTGAGCGTAAAGAAAAGAAATGAACACATTAAAGGTCTTTGATAGGAAGTTGTGATGAGTGAACTGACAAGAGTCAAAATCTAAACATAAAGATCTATGAAATCATTTTTTCCTTTACTTCAGCTATAATACTTTAAGCCATACATTCTTGAATCTTAGAGACAAGATCAAAGAAATAGTCCCACCTAATGGGAAATTAAAAAAATAAAATTTAATTATCATTACCCAGATGCAGTTCTTTGACTTGACTTCACTTTTTTTCACAGCAATTCGTAAGCTGACAAACAAGCGAGCCCGTGTGTTGAACAGTTTCAGACGAAGAAATATTATTAAAGATTATACAGATCCGGGATCTGAAACCTATGCTCCCCTGACGAGAATCGGTGTGTTTCTTGACCGTGGATCTGAGCAGTACGTGGTGAAGTCAAGGCATTTGTCGACATATCAGGTACTGTCAATTTGTGGTTTATGTTTTATGTCTGGTAACACTTTTAGTTCCAAGCAGTATGAGGTGAAATCAAGGCATTTGTCGACATATCAGGTACTGTCAATTTGTGGTTTATGTTTTATGTCTGTTAACTCTTTTAGTTCCAAGCAGTATGAGATGGAATCAAGACATTTGTCGACATAGCAGGTACTGTCAATTTGTGGTTTATGTTTTATGTCTGTTAACTCTTTTAGTTCCAAGCAGTATGAGATGAAATCAAGACATTTGTCGACCTAGCAGGTACTAGCATATTTTGGTTTACTGGCAGTTTGTGGTTTCTGTTTTATGTCTGTGTGTTAATTTCTTTCCTAAGCAGCATGTGGTGTGTGTATGTGTGACTAGTTTTTCTATGAACTCCGCCCAACAAGTAATAAGCTCTCATATATTATCTGGTGCATTTGGCTATAGCAGACTACTGAAATCTGGTTCCTCTGGTATTTAGTTTCTTGTAAGTCACTTGTGATTTTTCAAATTGGTTACTGGTGCCTTTAAGTCACTTGTGATTTTTCAAATCGGTTACTGGTGCCTTTAAGTCACTTGTGATTTTTCAAATTGGTTACTGGTGCCTTTAAGTAACTTGTGATTTTTCAAATTGGTTACTGGTGCCTTCAAGTAACTTGTGATTTTTCAAATTGGTTACTGGTGCCTTTAAGTCACTTGTGATTTTTCAAATTGGTTACTGGTGCCTTCAAGTAACTTGTGATTTTTCAAATTGGTTACTGGTGCCTTTAAGTCACTTGTGATTTTTCAAATTGGTTACTGGTGCCTTTAAGTCACTTGTGATTTTTCAAATTGGTTACTGGTGCCTTTAAGTCACTTGTGATTTTTCAAATTGGTTACTGGTGCCTTTAAGTCACTTGTGATTTTTCAAATTGGTTACTGGTGCCTTTAAGTCACTTGTGATTTTTCAAATTGGTTACTGGTGCCTTTGGTAATATCTTTTGAAACTTTCTGGTACTGAGAGCTAATGCTGTTTCATCTGTCTGTATTTTTCTGTTGTCATATCAACTTATATTGTCTTCAGTGTTTTTTGTTTCAGTCTCTCTGTTTATGTTGCCTCTTTTGCCAGTGTTCTCTGTTATCTTCTTCTTTTTTTCCTTACGTTCACAAGCTGTAAACTCCGGCGGAAAGTTATGGTTGTTCGTCCACTTCTGGACTGCAGTCCTGTTCCAGAATCTGAGTTTTGTGTATGCATCCGTTTGACAGATCTGACTAATGTGTATGCCGACTGTTGGTTCTTTGCCTCTCAGACAGATGCACTCTGACTTTGAAGGAAGCTCCCAATTAGTGGACTCTTACCACATGCTTCTGGGTAGGCAGTGGGTCTATTCTTGTTTTCCCTATAATAGGGCCTTGGAAACCACACAGGGAATTCTCTTTGTTATCATGTTATTTATACTGTTGACATTTTTTTCCAAATTTTAATCACCACAAATAAGTTATTTATAACATTATTCTTGAGAGTGACTAATGGAGAGATTAAAATGCTCGGCAAGAAAACATCCTGACTAACATGCAGTCCTAAATCTTAAGGCTCAAGATCTTTTGGTCCTGCATCACCCTAAACAATGCTGTATACAGGCAATAAAGATGTTTCAGTAAATAGATTTATTCTAGAGAAATTATTCTGACAGTTTTCCCATTAACTCAAACAAGCTTCGGCTCTCCTTTCAACTACGGCCGGTAGACAACAGAAGACGGCCGGTTAGTCGGAGTTCTGTCCCCTGGCTGCAGTGCTATTACGGACGGGAGAAGGCACGAATCAAAAAACACAGTGACGTCGACATGACTGGCAGATCCCGCGCTGCGACTCAAATTAGCGACCGCGTTCAATTACCGCTTCTTGCGGCGCACTACGGAGTGGACTAGAGGGAACGATACAAGTGACATAATTACTGTGTGTTGGCGATAGACAGCGTGCAGTGCCCTACTGCCCTACTATGAGTTTGTGCGAGGACGAGATGCGGCGACACTAACCGTAACGCTAACCCACGCCCTAACCGTAAACCTAACCCAAACCCTACCCCTAACCCTAACCCACACCCTAACCCTAAAGCTAACCCAAACCCTACCCCTAACCCACACCCTAACCCAAACCGTAACCGTATGATTATAGCAGGGCAGTGCGCGCTGTCTATCACCACCACACAGTAATTATGTCATTTGTTTCGTTCCCTCCTTTCCACTCCGTAATAGCACTGCAGCCAGGGGACATAACTCCGACTTACCGGCCGTCTCCTGTTGTCTACCGGCCGTAGTTGAAAGGAGAGCCCAAGCTTCTGTTCATAAATTACAACTACAGCCAATTTTATAAAGTGAATGCAAACTTTATAGCTTCATCTTCAATGATTGCCATATTCTAACTGTACTCAAACACCTAGAGTATTATCCTTAATAGTGAGCAGTTGCTTAGTGAATATGAATTTTGCCGATTTTTCAAAACAGCCCTAGTTTTTAATGAAACCTTCTTCTTCTTGTGTTGTCTCTAGTATGAACTTCACTGTCTTTTGTAATTCACTCAGTGACCCATAAAGTTTGACTTGCGCCGATGTTTCTCTTGGCCAAAAGTTTTGCCTTGATATGTTGTATTTGCGACAGTCTTGGAGGACATGATCTGTTGTTTCAGGTGCCAATCCACATGTGCACATGACTGATTTGCAGATTTAAATTGTGTGTACATGTGGCTGCGAAGTCGATTGTGTCCTGTTCTAAGGCGTAGAATAATAAGGTGCCCTTGTCTGTCCATAAAATGGTGATCGTCTTGGGCCAGTTTTGGTGGCTTTCTGATTGATTTGATTATTCTCTTCTTTTGTTGATAAGAGACTGGTATTTCAGGTTGTTTTTCAATTTTCATTTTCAGCTAGTTTATCAGCTCTTTCATTTCCAGTAACTCCACAGTAGGATGGTATCAATTGTATAGTTACCTTACACCGGCTGCCTAGTTTAATGAAATAATTAGTGGACTGATAGCTGCCACAGATTAGCATGGAGCGATAATTGTTATAGCATGCTTGGCTGTCATCATGGTGGTCATGGGTTTCATCCCTATAGAATTTAAATTTGTAAAAACTGGCTCAATTCTTTCAGCCAAAGAAGGCTGAATCTAGTAATCATTATTGTGATTTCTGTCAATGCCAATATTTGGCCATTTCTGCAATGGCCTCTTCTAAAAAAGCATAGACAAATGCCATTAGTAATTTGTGCTCATGTGTAGTGTTTAGGAGGCCGAATGTGAATATATTAAGTAAATATAGCATTTAGATAGGTTTCCTTATGAGTTCAACAGTGTTTTTAAAACAAAGGGGATGCTAAATGTTTCTGTAAGTTTGAGTGATAGAGGTCAGAGGATCACAGCTTTAGTCACCCATTATATATATTTATATATATATATATATATATATTTTTAGGCTGCTTGCAATGTATTCGATTTATTGCTTTATTCTGTTTGTGTTTATTAATAACCCATTTTATATATCTTTAGATATTTCACACAAAATTCTTTTAAAATATTCATAAATGTTTTTAAAAATTTACTAGCGAGCTAAATAAAAATGGTTGTTCTTTACAAATTCCTTCTGGAATTCCTGCTGGGTCATGTGACATTTTATTTAGCATTCTCAGGGTGAAAGGGTCAAACTATTCTAAATATATGTGCCAGAAAATGTCATAGGAAGTAAAGGAATTCAGTATGATGTTGTCTACATCGCCCATATATCCTGGTTGATCTATTAAAAAATATAAAGTGAACACTAAATTATAAATGATGCTTCTCAAGTGGCAATTTCCATTTTACTTTTCAGTTACTGCAGCATCAATGTTTGTCCTGGTTTGTCCTGGTAAAGTTTTAGGCTAGATTTGTAGATATGTTTTTTCATTTATTTCTGCCATTTTTGTTGTTGATTTTTCTTTCTTGCCAGGGATTACTAGAATTGGAGGCATCATTGCCCAGTTTTGTTCTGAACCCCAGAATTAAAGCTCCTTATTCAAATACTACAACAAAAACTGGATATATCAAGAAGAAATTCAGGAAAGATCACGAACTATCAGAAGTTTATGAGGTAATTTTTCATTGGTTATTGTTCTTTTTATCTTTTGCAAAGATCAGGGCATGGATGGTTATGTTTACTGTATTTGCTGTGCATAAGTTGCATTTTATTTTGACCATTATGATTGTGCTTTACATTGTCAGCAGCTTGCTGTATGGTTAAAGATACTGGACTTTCATGCAAGAGACCCAGTTTCAAAATCCTGGCAAGGTCATGCATTTTTTCTGTCCAGGGCAAAAATAAATCCCTAAACTGCAAAGTCCATGGTGACTGCACTAATCATGCGACCTTAAATCCTGAGACTTTGCACAGCAAATTTTTTTTAAATGCAAGCAGTAATCGGCAGTTGGGTGTTTTGGGGGTGGGTGGGTAACTATGATTTAAAATTATTCACTTCATTTTTGATTATACTTGTCAACAGAATAATATTTGGTGTTATAAAAAGTTTGAGCTCAGGTGATAAGAGACATGGAGCAAAAGAAAATAAGACTGTTGTTTTATTGAAAGGATTGTTAATAATAATTTTCTCAAACACTGTAATCTAACTAATGAGAATTATAATGAGAAGAAAATAGTGCAAAATTAAACCAGAAATTGGAGAAGAGCAGTATGGATTTTTTGAAGGTAAAGGCACAAAAACATCCTATTTAACTTGAGCATTCTTTCAGAAAGAATGACTGAAATTTAAAAAAAAAAGATCTATATTTGTGCTTTATTGATTAGACTAAAGCATTTGATAAAATGAAACATGAAGAAATTATTGAAACTTGGGAAACCTTAAACATTGATGGTAAAGATCTGAGAATAATTAAAATGTTGAATTTGGAATTAGGAATCGACATCACAGCACTCATACTTCTTGTGTGGCAGTCAGAAACCTTCTTGACTTCCCTACCATGAACTGCTTAATCAAGATTTGGAGGGCATACTTGAAAATAATTGTGATCTGAAGCACACTTTGCACCACATGCTCTTCAGAAAAAGAGGCAAAATACTAAAAAAAGGGGAAAACATGGTGGTGTAGAGTACAGGATCACATAAAGCAGGTCTGCAGTCTAAAAGACATCCACCATGATGAGGAATACATACCAGTGCCTTGTCCTGTGTCAGCATGCTTGATAGGAGTTGTCGGGACCAGAATCCTGTTGCTGTCAATGCTGAGGTCTGCGCACGTATCAGAGACAAGTCAGATGAGACATGTGCTGATCTACACAGACAGGTCCGTTATATGAGGACATAAGAGTGCATGGGCATTTACAGCTTGCTCAGTGTAGGCAAAACACTCTAAGCAGCCATAGTTGCCTTTTCTATGACTACTACCAGCATGACAAAGGAGGTGATGGCGGTGACACGAGCTTTCATGTGGCTGAAATCACAGGACTAATCTTGTGTGTGTGTGTGTGTGTATGTCTGTGTCTGTGTGTATGTGTGTGCATGCACACGTGCACGTGCACTGATTGATTCTATGGGCTTGACTGATTGTCGAGGCAGGCATTTTATGCAGACATTGGATTGAGCCATTCCAAAACTGTCCTGGGCGTGCAGTTACCTTCATTTGTGATAATAAAAGAGTCGATAGACTGGCAGGCCTATGGATCACGCTGACATTGTTGATGCTTAGAGAGATAGGATGTTCTGAGGATTTTGGAATCAATGTGTCCACATCACTGCTAAGAATGAGAGGCACACTGGAAACACAAGAAGTCTTGTCAACCAGCATAGGACTGGCACTATTAGCTGCACAACACTGATGAATATGTTGAAGGGGAGATCTGAACACCTATGGATGTGTCCTGAGTGCTGTGAAGATAATCCAGCTCATAACTCATTATCATCCCATTTTTTTTCAGTTTGCACAGGGAAATAATATTTAGATCCATACATGGTTTGTCAGGAAAATCGGTTAGTGGGTATATTGTTAACAACGTGCAATATGCTGATGATATAGTTTTGATTGCTGAAAATGAAATACATCTGCAAGCAATGATGGACATAATTGTAACAGAAAGTCAAAACAAGGGTCTAAGTTTAAACAGCAGAAAAACAGAAGTTATGGTAATTACAAAGAAAATGGACCCTCCAAAACGCGACATCAAACTAAATGGGACAAACCTCAAGCAAGCTGATATGTTTAAGTACTTGAGTACCCTGATAACATCAGATAGAACATTTATTAAAGAAGTTAAATGTAGAATAGCCTAAACAAAGGCAGCATTTTACAAAAATAAGAAAAAAAAATGCAATGTTTCTTTGTCAACTGAAACGATAAAGAGAATTATTAAAAACTATATAAATCCGATCCTAATTTACAGAAGTGAATCATGGACAGTTGGTAGATTAGTGAAAAATTATTTGGAAGCTGCGGAGATTTGGTTTTATAAATGAATGATGAAAATACCCAGGACAGATTTAAAAAAAAAAAAAAAGGTATTAAGATGTATTGTAAGAAAATAACTCTTAAAGAAAATGATTGCCCACATCAGAAAACAAAAATCTACATGTTTTGGTCATGTCATGAGAAGGATTATATAAAATATTGCTTCATGTTAAACAGTATAATGTGTAACAATCACAATTAATAAATAAATCTATAAATCAGATCATGAGGAACAGTCGTCTTGAATCTGAGGTGACATTTCTTTTCATTTTTCTTCTTCTTTTTTTGTGTGTGTTGTTGTAAATTAAACATTACATTTCTTTCCTTTGTTTTCATTTTTCTTTTACATTTTGAAATTTTGTTATTAATATTCAGATCGCATAATTCACAAACTAAATCATTTTCTAGACATATAATGTTAAGCAAAGAAGACACACACAATAGATTGCGCAAATTATTGCCTGGCATATTTCGCTGTATCTCATCAGATGCATACAACAGTAACAATTTAAAAAGGTTATGCCACTTAATAAATTGTCTTGGCTCCCAGGTCGACCCAGCCTTGAGTGGGTACCGGGTGCAGCTTCGGGAAGTAAAGGTAGCCGATGTGATGCTGACCACATCACCCATCTTGTGCCGATTGGTCTATAAAATATAGGTCTAGCCCTATATGCCCTATACACCTAAAGGGGTGGAAAAGGGTCCTTTACTTACTTATAAATTGTGCAGTCTATTGTTTGTGCTTTCTCATTCAAACTTATGATGGGTTAAATATTAGCAACTAAACCAACTATCATTCAAGTTCATCATCATCATTTTTAATTTAAATTAAGAGGTGTTCAATTAAACTAATATGTATGACACTAAAATTAAGTGTATAGTAGCATCAAAACTCTTTGATAGCATGAAATGAACCTATGATAACATGAAATTAACTTAATGATAAAATGAAATTAACTGTATGATAACCTGAAATGAACTTTATAATAACATTAATTTAACTTTCTGGTATCATAAAATTAACACAAAATATCAATATTATCTAACAGCAAGCAATATTATTAACTTGTAGCTTTTGCTTTCACTAACTCATAGTTACAAAATACCAGTCTCTGGTTATGGTCATCTTTATATGTCTGTTATCATTTTCTCTCTAGTTATGGTCATCTTTATATATCCATTATCATTTTCCTCTCAGCAAATTCATTTTTTCAAGTAGACAGGAAAATAAAGGGTCAGGAAAGCCAAGAAGGATAACAAATTTGCAATAGATCTTCTTATCACTTTCTTGCATTTCTACTTGTTCCATGTTTTTTTTTTTTTTTTTTTTTTTGAGTTTTCTTGCCTGCTTTATTCCTTTTTCTCCAATACTGCAATCTTAAGGTTTGACAACAACCAGTGACCCAAAGAGTCACTATTTGGATGCTAAACCAACAGGAACAAATACCAGACCTGTTCAGCAGTATAAACTGTTATTATATTAGGGCACCCACAGCTGCCATCCTATGTGGGTGGGGTTGATTCTTCTCCTTGTATATAATAACACTTATGGGTCTGTCCCAAGTGCAATAAAGTTCTGATTAAAGATCTGATCTTCACACCTTGAGCTTCAGTAAACCTGTAGGTGTAGTCTTCACACCAGAAGGTTAGAAAGCATTTAGAATCTCTGTCATCTGGATCTACACACTTAGGGACGTAAGAGTAAATGGTAATGAAAGAGCTGGCCAGCTAACAAGGAAAGCACCAGTGCAAACAGGAAGAAGCATGGACAGAGTTGATATTATCAATGATGTTCAGACTAGGATAATGTTGAATCTTTGACCGTAGCATGATTGCATGAGGAGGAGTTGAGCTTGGTGAAGCACGTCTACGCCGTCCTCGAGGTAAAGACAGGAGATACTATAACCAACTTCTCATGGGAACACCTTGGAGTGGCTGCTGCATCAGAGAACTGCGCACATACAGGAATGCCCAATGTGCAAAGACGTTGATTGTGGTAACATAACCTTGAAGTAAACTAGGATATATGGTACTGACAGTATATTTGTGTTGGCCTGCTGGCATATAATGGTGATGTCCTCTATGTCATGCTGAATGACTTTACTTCCTAAGAGCACTTCCTCATTTCCATTTGATGCTGGGTCAACGTAGAAACTCTATTGTCATCAGGGACCACCTGAAAATTGAAGTTTTAATCTCTAGCTCAGAAGTTGGATAGGACAGCAGACAGGGTTCAAGGAAAATCCTTCCCTTTTCACCCTTTCCCATCAGCTGGATGAAACCACCCTTCCTCTTAACTCTTTGAGTCCCAGAGGGTTTAGCATCCTAGGCCCAAGGGGTAGTAAAGAGAGATGTAAAATCGGTGTATCTTGCGTTCATTGGGTTTCTAGGTAGGAACCTATGAACGTATGATGCACCCCTTGTGACTCAAAGAGTTAAGTGGTACTGAAGTTATCGTTAGACTAAAAGATACACTTATCAATACTGTGTATGTGGGTTCCAGGGTTGCGATTGCTGGGGAAGGGGGTTGGGGGAAAAGAGATCCACTGACCTCTAACAAGCGTAACAGATTCCAAATTGTTTCCTTTTTTCAAAAACGTACCATATCTACCTGAGAGTAGAGGAACCAATATCTGAGTATAAATAAATCAGATCTGTAAAATGGATGTAAAATGGATGTAAAATGGATGTAAAATGGATGAAAAGTCAAGTTCTGGAACAAGACCAGAAACCAGAAGTGGAGAACAATCTGAACTTTCTGCTAGAGTTTACAGCAGGTGAACACTAAGAAAAAAAAAAGTACATTGTCTTACAAACTTAGCATAAGAAGAAGAAAGTACATTGTCTCACAAACTTAGCATAAGAAGAAGAAAGTACATTGTCTCACAAACTTACCATAAGAAGAAGAAAGTACATTGTCTCACAAACTTAGCATAAGAAGAAGAAAGTACATTGTCTCACAAACTTAACATAAGAAGAAGAAAGTACATTGTCTCACAAACTTAGCATAAGAAGAAGAAAGTACATTGTCTCACAAACTTAGCATAAGAAGAAGAAAGTACATTGTCTCACAAACTTAGCATAACTGTATGGACTGAAAAAGTGATAATCTGAGTTAGAGACAGCATCATATCTTTATGGAGTCTGTTAGCACCACTATTGGCCCCTCTGGCAAAGTGGTCAAATCGTTGGCCTCACACTGTGAAGGTGGTGGGTTTATTTCACATATATATGATTCAGTTTACAAATGTAGTATTTACAGAATTCTCTGGGGATCATCTCTGGAGCTGCAGAGTTGTACTTTGTCTGAACCTCTCAACAGATGTGGTAACCATTATATAGAGGGAGACCGAGCCATTTAAGATAACCCAGGGGAATCAGGTTTAACCAAACTTAGCAAAGCAGCTACAGACAGATGATGTATGAACCTCTCAACAGATGGGGTAACCATCATGTGGAGAGAGACCAAGCCATTTAAGATAACCCAGGGGAATCAGGTTTAACTGAACTTAGCAAAGCAGCTACTGACAGATGACGTATGATGTCTGTGTGTTTATTATTTCACTAGCCATGTGCTTTAATTATTGCAGGATTATACTATCATAATTTATTCACTTTTTCAGAACAATCTTTTTCTTTATGAGATATTTTTAATTCAAAATCTTGAATTCATTGGTTTCTCGTACGGATTCTAGGATTTCCAAACAAGGGACAAAAGATGCAATGTTTAGAATGTTTTATTTCATAATTAATCTTTCTGGTTTTTATTTCTGTTTCATTTTACAGTTGTAATAAATGCCTCAAAGTGGTTAACTGACTCATATTATTCTCAAATGTGAAGTTAAATTAGAATAGTCGTGTACTTTTTTTTTCTAAAACGTTTACACCATATTTATTTATATTTCGCTGTAAACACAATCACATAAGACGTAAATTATGTTTATTTTCTACTCAGTAATTAAATTGTGTTAATTTTTTAAAATGAATAATTAAGAATCTGTCAGAATTTGAAAAATATTATGTTAGATCGCAGGTTAGCCAACCTAAAATGGGTATCGGATAATATCCAGAGTTGTAAATGCACCTAGTGTGATGTAGACATTTAACATCGTGTGCCAATTGGTCTTCAGAAATTTAGGTCTAGCACTTAAATATTTGCTGCGTGGATTTTTATCGTGGTATGGGACGTCGCAGGTCGACCCAGCCTCAAATGGGTACCAGGATGGGCTGTCCTGGGAAAGTAAAGACGGCCGGCGTAATGCTGACCACATTACCCACTGAGTGCCGATTGGTCTGTAAAAATATGGGTGCTCTTCCCATATTCCCAATGCGCCTAAAGGCGTGTAAAGGGATCTTTACTTTTACTTACTTACTTTAATATTTGATGCTCCAAAGGCATGGAAAAGGTTCTTTACTTTTTATGTATGTTATACTACCAGACGTTGATGGGTGGCTGGGCAAACTCTGAAGAACAATAAGGTCTCATGCAGGAAACCCAGCGCCAAATCCTCAGTAAGTTTGTGGACCTGCACTGTCTATGGAAACAGCACTAGCCACGTGGCTCTAATTCCTCAGGCTCCAAGCCCTCCCCCTCTCCGCTGACACCACAAAAAATAGTAAATACAGGCAACAGTAATAGCGGTTACACATCCAGAAGTTTCCAGCTATATGCATGCTATTTTTGTTCATACATATCTTAAGGCGATCCAAGGGGACAAGAAACTGTCAGATGCTATGAAAGGACTGCGCTTCTTGCAAAGAATAGAGCGGCCAATCCCTCGCCCACCAACACCCGAGGTGGAGATCTTGGAAGATGTAAGTCCAACTGCTTGAGAATTGTTTTCATTTATTTACTTTATAGTTGTTTCTGAGTTTGCATAGCAATTTTCCCACTTTTATGTCTACTTTTCTGCTTGCCCACAAACCTTAATTTCTGTCTGTCTGACTGTCTGCAAACCTTAATTTCTGTCTATTTTTCAGCATGCAAACCTTTATTTCTGTTTGTCTGCCTGCAAACTTTCCTTTCTGTCTCTCTGTCTGCATATCTTAATTTCTGTCTGTCTGCCTGCAAACCTTTATTTATGTCTATTTTTCTGCATGCAAACCTTCATTTCTGTTTGTCTGCCTGCAAACTTTCCTTTCTGCTTGTCTGCCTGCAAAGCTTAATTCATATATGTTCGTCTGCCCCGCAGTCCTTCATTTCTGTTTGTTTGTCTGCCTGCAAACCTTCCTTTCTGTCTCTGCCTGCAAACCTTTCTTTCTGTTTATTAGTCTTTTTTGTGGAGTCTGAATTCTTCTATCTGGCATGTTGCCTGCCTGTCCATCTTTTTGGCTGTCCATATGTTAGCCTATGTGTCTACCTTTGACCCTTTATATGTTTGTTTACTCATATATATTTTCTATCTGCTGGTTGCCTCTGCCAGATTATCTTTATATTACTTATCTATCTTTTATTTTTAAACAGAATTAAAATATTTAGTATTTTATATACATTCAAACAGCATTAAAAGTCTATGGTTAAGCATCAGCAAAGATGTCAAAATTAGAATTTTGAAAGCATGCATCTTCCTTGTAGCAAAATACGGATGCCAGTCCACTATCTCCCTGTCCTTAAGAAAGAAAATAGGGGCCTTTGAGCTGAAATGCTATAGAAAGATTCTCAGAATACCACTGACAAAGAAGAAAAGAAATACTAACATTTTAAAAGATCTGAACATCACGGAAGATTGACTAATAAACTGCATCTTATCTCGGAAGCTGAAACATTTTGGTAACATAAAGCACCATGGCAGACTAGAAAAAAAATAATAACAGAAGGCATGGTACCAGGAAGGAGGGGCAGGGGCCAGCTAATACGAAGATGGGTACATGATGTACGTGACTGCTTGAACATGAAGGCACATGAGGCAGGAGAGCTAGCGAGAGTCTGAGTTTCTTTCAGGCAGACCATGATGAGAATGAAATTCTTTAAAGGGACCTCTTACATGATTATGATTTTTTTTTAAATTTATGAGTATAATGTATCTGCTATTTTCCACTGCTAGATTGTCTTTATATTACTTATTTATGTTTTTTTTTTTTTTACATTTTTTTCTATCTGCTACTTACTTGCCTTTGCCTGAATGTTTTTGTGTGTCTTCTTGATTTTTTTGGTTCTTTTATCTGCCTGCCTGTCCTGTTGGGGAATTAAGCAAATATGTAATTAAATATGGAAATATTTCTTGAAATTATCGATTTTAAAAATGCTTGTTATCTGCTTCTTGTTCTCTTTAATTCAGCTGAAACACAGTCAGCTTTCTGCTGTTGTTTACCAACTGAGAAATTTTAAAATTTAATCCCTTTCCATTTTCCCGACATTGTTTCCCACATTCCTTCATTTGCCACATAGCATAACCATAACAAATACCACACCATTCTTTTCTTTTCCACACACAATTACTTTTAATCCAATTTAATTATATGTTTTGCATTTACTTTAACCAGTACCCCAACAGAATTTTAGAACTGGAGGTAAACTTGCAACATATTCAGTTGTGTTTCGTTAAAGAATGTTTTTTTTTGGTTTCAATTTTTAGGGTCTGGTTTTTTTATTGTGTGGGTTCCCTATGTGGGTTTTGGGGGTGGGGCACAGAATGGCAGGAGAATAAATCCACTGTCTCTAAAGAAGCATTTCATAAATGCTGACTAGTAAGGAGTGTTTCCTTTGAAGTCAGCGTGTATCTGCCTGAGAGGGGAGGAGCTAAAGTTCTCCTGCAAATAAGCCAGATCTGTAAAATAGATGTTTGTGCAAAACTCAAGCTCTGGAAGAAGACCTAGTCCGGAGGTGGACGAATGACCAGAACTTTCTCCTGGAGTTAACAGCCAGTGAATGCAAGAACAATTTCAGTTCCCTTTTTTGAAGGACAGTGGATCTGTTTTTCAAATCAACCCACTCCCACCTCCCAATGGGACTCTGGAATCCACACAGGGTACATAATGCTTATTGATCAGGATGAGGATGCATGTTCTAGACACAGTAGGGAACACGGCTGTCCATACACAGTAGGGAACACGGCTGTCCATACACAGTAGGGAACACTGCTGTCCATACACAGTAGGGAACACGGCTGTCCATACACAGTAGGGAACACTGCTGTCCATACACAGTAGGGAACACGGCTGTCCATACACAGTAGGGAACACTGCTGTCCATACACAGTAGGGAACACAGCTGTCCATACACAGTAGGGAACACGGCTGTCCATCGAGCAAAAGACTGTGACCTCACCTCATTAACACCTTCAAGTTTGCAATGTAATCAGAATGAAATTAACACACTGAAAATGTGAATCATCAAGTATTATGTACACGCAACCCTGCTGTATGGTGCAGAAGCATGGACAATGAATAGGCAACTAGAAAGTGTAATTGAGTCTGTGCAGATAGGGATATACAGAAGAATAGGATGTATCTCACAAATACAGGGGTTCTGGAGAGACTACGAATGAATGGACTTACTAAAAAAAAAAAATAGACAAGTCAAATAATTTGGCCACATTTAAAGCATGACACACTTTTAAAAATATCATACAGGAGGAAAAGGTAGAGGGCAAGAAACAATAAATAATGATACAAGTGGATGGGAAAGACCAAGAGATGGATGAACAGCAGTCTGAGAGAGAGATGTACGACCAAGACCAGAGACAGAGAGTGTTGAAGATCCCTCACTGTGGAGATGGCACCTGATTGAAATGATCATGGTGAGAATAAAGACATAATCACAGTGCAGTTCTGCAGGTTATGTGAAACTAAAACTGTTTGAATGATGGAGTTTGTACAACCAGAAAGAATGACAAGTTTTTTTGAAAATATTGGAACAAGACCATGCCTGAATTATACTGACGGACAAAGCAGGAAATAGTTCAGTCATCTAGTAAGAATGCAGCCAGACCAAACTGCTTTTTTTTTTTTTTTTGCAGCAGAACATCTGGGAGGAAGGTGAGTGGAAGACCAGGAAAGAGATGGGTAAATGTTATAACCGAAACCTACAAAAAACAAAAACAAAAAATTAAAACATCTACCACCCAAGCCACTCAATAGGCACTAGACAAATACAGAAATCCATGACACTGGGCTACAAACCCATGACCACGAGGTGATAAATGAAGAAAGAAGAAGAAGTATAATTTTAAAATGTTGTTTCCATATCTGGGTGTCAAAGGAAGAAATAGCAAATGTTGTTCAGTTGTATTAAAGTTTTCTTAAGTTTGAATTGTTAAAAGAAAATGTGTATCAGTTTTGAGCTCAATAATGAGAAATATATTTTAGTTTGTTGTTGTTGTATGTCAGTCTGTCTGTGTTAAAAGAGTTTGCAACAAATGGTTTCCAAGATAGTTATATAATTTTTTTTTAATGATTTTTTTTGTCTACCTGTATGTATGTTTGTGTGTTTATCTATCTCTCAGTTGTAAAAAAGGAAAAATTTGCACATTTTCAAATAACCACGTATGTGCTTCTTTATTGCATGATTTTATTTCATTATATAGTTGTCCACTATGTTAAAAATGGTTTCATAAATTGTGTTTAATGCCGGTTTGATTGTATTCTATTTTTTGGGTGTTAATTGACAGTAAAAATCAGTTTTAAAGTCTATTTTCTTCTCTTGCATTGCCATATAATATTTCATTCTTCAAATTACTGCCAGACTTTTAGCAAAATTGCCAGTTAATGTGTTATGTTTATGATTAATCTCTATTCCTTTCTTGGTTTTTCATCTTGGCTATAACAGGCGGAGGAAAACAAACATTTGGCCGTAATTTTTTTGCAGCAGGTGATACGTGGCCGTGCTATTCAGAATAATGTAAGTTTTTACAAAAAATCTTTTGCTTTCTTTGTTATTTTCTTCTTTTTCTTTGTGTTCACCATCTGTAAACTCTGGTTTTGGTTGTTCGTCCACTTCTAGACTGCAGTCCTGTTCCAGAACCTGAGTATTGCTTGTTCATCCGTTTGACAGATCGGACACATTTGTGTGCAGACTGTTGGTTCCTTGCCTCTCAGGCAGATGTACTCTGACTTCGAAGGAAGCTCCCAATTAGGCGACTCTTACAACATGCTTTTGGGTAGGCAGTGGGTCTGTTCTTGTTTTCCCTATAATAGGGCCCCAGAACCCACACATGGGACTTAGTTTGTCATAAAACAGAACTAATGAAATGACACTTGGGACACACCAATAAGTTCTCCCACTTCCTCAATAGATGTTGATAGCATACAGTCTTCGCATATAATATGCATGGTCAAATAATTTTAAGTGGCTGAATTATCCTGTGGACAAACAGTCAGTAAACTTCTTCTTTCCAAAATATTTTTAAAAGGGCTGAATAGAAGGTGTCCTCACATCCTGGGGAGAAACAGTCAGTAAACTTCTTCCCTTCCTCCAGTTACTCCAGCAAAGTGTTGTTTAAGGTGGGAAGATTTTCTGTTTTCTCCCTGTAATGCTCTGTGTCTGTTGGTCTTCATTACTCTAATATTCAGACTTCTGGCCAAAATGGAGGAAAGGCTTGGCAGAATGTTAGGCTTCAAAGTCATTTGCTAATGCAGTTTCCACATAAGGACAGTAGTCTACGGTTTTGCTGCCTGTGCTGCTGAGTTTAGTGCTTGGTTGCAGCCGTGTGAGCTATGTTTTTTAAAGGAAAGCCTTTCATTTGTGCAGCTGTGTTGTGTCATTTCGTTTAAAATGGGCGGTGGCCGGTTTACATGTGAACTGGTGAAAGACCTTATGCAAGAATTCTATGTGTGTGTATAGTATCCAACTAATCCTGCTAGACTACTTCCATCAACGACAAACTTCATGTCTGGTGGCGATTGTTGGCTTTGCCGCCTCGAGTAACTGAAATATGCATTTACTGCGTGTGCATATTTCTAGATTGTTCCAGAACTATTTATTTATTCATCTGTTTTTTATATGCGACAGTGAGGGACATTTTATTTGATTCGCACTGGCACAGGAACAGAGCAAGTATGGGGAAACCTTATTGTGATGATGCTGAAACCTCAACTAACTAACTAAAACTAACTTCTCTAATATTATTTTGTATGCCATTGTTTCATATTTTATGTATTCTTCCGATTGCTCTGTACTCATTATATTTCTTCAGTGTGGCACCCTGATGTTGTTGGCACCAGGGCACTCTCCTCACATGGCCAAACCATTTCATCTATTGCTCTTTGAGGAATTGAATGACTGCTTAGGTTAATGAACTGTTTGACTTGATTCAGTTCTTCTTCTAATTTGTTAAGTTAAAAATTACTGTTATCTTCTCAAAGTTTTCATCATCATCATGTACCAGGTCCTTTGAACAATGTCGTTCTCATGATGATCTGTCTTTAAGAAACTCTTCCACCTCATGCACTTTTCTAACCAAGGTGTCAGTTATATCTGGTGCCCACCTTTGTGCTTGTCAACCCCTGCCCCACTATACCTTTCGCTATTATTTTTGCCACTCCACAGTGGCGCTTGTTTTGGCATAAGTATGTCAGTTTCTGAGACAAGATGCTGTTTACTAATCAGTCCTTTTTGAGGTTCAAATCTTTGAGGATGTCAGTATTTCTTATGTTTTTGGTCAGGCATATTCTGTGAATCTTATAGTGCTATAAAACAGATAATGAGTGATGGGTTCAGCCATATGTCAGTGGTCAAATAAAGTGAAGGGTTCAGCCATATGTCAGTTGTCAAATAAAGTGAAGGGTTCAGCCATATGTCATTAGTCAATTAAAGTGATTGGTTCAGCCATATGTCAGTAGTCAATTAAAGTGATTGGTTCAGCCATATGTCAGTAGTCAATGAAAGTGATTGGTTCAGCCATATGTCAGTAGTCAATTAAAGTGATTGGTTCAGCCATATGTCAGTAGTCAAATAAAGTGAAGGGTTCAGCCATATGTCAGTTGTCAATTAAAGTGATTGGTTCAGCTATATGTCAGTAGTCAATTAAAGTGATTGGTTCAGCCATGTGTCAGTAGTCAATTAAAGTGATTGGTTCAGCCATATGTCAGTAGTCAATTAAAGTGATTGGTTCAGCCATATGTCAGTAGTCAATTAAAGTGATTGGTTCAGCCATATATCAGTAGTCAATTAAAGTGATTGGTTCAGCCATATGTCAGTAGTCAATTCAAGTGATTGGTTCAGCCATATGTCAGTAGTCAATTAAAGTGATTGGTTCAGCCATATGTCAGTAGTCAATTAAAGTGATTGGTTCAGCCATATGTCAGTAGTCAATTAAAGTGATTGGTTCAGCCATATGTCAGTAGTCAATTAAAGTGATTGGTTCAGCCATATGTCAGTAGTCAATTCAAGTGATTGGTTCAGCCATATGTCAGTAGTCAATTTAAGTGATTGGTTCAGCCATATGTCAGTAGTCAATTAAAGTGATTGGTTCAGCCATATGTCAGTAGTCAATTAAAGTGATTGGTTCAGCCATATGTCAGTAGTCAATTAAAGTGATTGGTTCAGCCATATGTCAGTAGTCAATTAAAGTGATTGGTTCAGCCATATGAGAGTAGTCAATTAAAGTGATTGGTTCAGCCATATGTCAGTAGTCAATTAAAGTGATTGGTTCAGCCATATGTCAGTAGTCAATTAAAGTGATTGGTTCAGCCATATGTCAGTAGTCAATTAAAGTGATTGGTTCAGCCATATGTCAGTAGTCAATTAAAGTGATTGGTTCAGCCATATGTCAGTAGTCAATTAAAGTGATTGGTTCAGCCATATGTCAGTAGTCAATTAAAGTGATTGGTTCAGCCATATGTCAGTAGTCAATTGAAGTGATTGGTTCAGCCATATGTCAGTAGTCAATTCAAGTGATTGGTTCAGCCATATGTCAGTAGTCAATTAAAGTGATTGGTTCAGCCATATGTCAGTAGTCAATTAAAGTGATTGGTTCAGCCATATGTCAGTAGTCAATTAACGTGATTGGTTCAGCCATATGTCAGTAGTCAATTAAAGTGATGGGTTCAGCCATATGTCAGTAGTCAATGAAAGGACTGTTGGGCATATGGCACTAGAGCTATATATTTATGGATCAGACACTACTCAGAGGGTGATGTGAATATCATTTCACATCACCCTGGCCACCTTTACTTCTCAGGACATTTCCTGTGTCATATTTAGGAGCCCAAGTAATTTATGAATATCTGACTTAATTTAGCTCGAACCCATGACTTTCAGATCGACAAGCAAGCATCTGTCCACTATGCTGCCATGATTCCTATTCAGCTGTTGGAAGATCTTGAATTTATCTTCGTTAAAACAAAAACACCGAAATACAGAGGTTCTAGAAAGACTACGAATGAAAAAAGAGCTACTGAAAAGAAAAAAAAATAAGAAAGAGACAAGCAAAATATTTCAGCCACATTAAACGACAAAACACTCTTTTAAAAACCAATTTGGAGGCAAAGTCAAGGGCAAGAGACCAAGAGGTAGACCATAATACCAGATAGAGGATAACATCAGGAGGGGGACAAACCTGAGTCTGAGAGAGTGTACTACCAAGTCAAGAGATGAGCATGCTGGAGATCCATTACAGCCAACCTTCATTGTCAAGACGGCACCTGATTAGTTGAATGAAGACTCTTTTGTTTAAAATGTACAGTAGAACATTGGAGCTATAGCAGCGTAGTGGCTAAACAATTGCCTACCGGCAAAAGTGTCTTTAAAAACAAAAGCGAACTTATTAAAAGTTTATAACAAAAATTACCTATGGCTCCCAGGTCCACGCAACCCAAAATGAGTACCAGGTAAAGTCATGGGAAGAAAAGGTGGCCGGCATGATGTCGACCACTTCACCTGCTGAGTGCGGCTGATTGGTCTATAAAAATATAAGTCTAATATTATATGCCAGATGCACATTGGCATGTATGCCAGATACACATTGACATGTATGCCAGATGCACATTGACATGTATGCCAGATGCACATTGGCATGTATGCCAGATACACATTGACATGTATGCCAGATGCACATTGACATGTATGCCAGATGCACATTGGCATGTATGCCAGATGCACATTGGCATGTATGCCAGATACACATTGACATGTATGCCAGATGCACATTGACATGAATGCCAGATACACATTGACATGTATGCCAGATGCACATTGACATGTATGCCAGATGCACATTGACATGTATGCCAGATACACATTGACATGTATGCCAGATACACATTGACATGTATGCCAGATACACATTGACATGTATGCCAGATACACATTGACATGTATGCCAGATGCAGATTGACATGTATGCCGGATACACATTGACATGTATGCCAGATGCAGATTGACATGTATGCCAGATACACATTGACATGTATGCCAGATACACATTGACATGTATGCCAGATGCACATTGACATGTATGCCAAATACACATTGACATGTATGCCAGATGCACATTGACATGTATGCCAGATGCACATTGGCATGTATGCCAAATGCACATTGGCATGTATGCCAGATACACATTGACATGTATGCCAGATGCACATTGACATGAATGCCAGATACACATTGACATGAATGCCAGATACACATTGACATGTATGCCAGATGCACATTGACATGTATGCCAGATGCACATTGACATGTATGCCAGATACACATTGACATGTATGCCAGATACACATTGACATGTATGCCAGATACACATTGACATGTATGCCAGATACACATTGACATGTATGCCAGATGCAGATTGACATGTATGCCGGATACACATTGACATGTATGCCAGATGCAGATTGACATGTATGCCAGATACACATTGACATGTATGCCAGATACACATTGACATGTATGCCAGATGCACATTGACATGTATGCCAAATACACATTGACATGTATGCCAGATGCACATTGACATGTATGCCAGATGCACATTGGCATGTATGCCAAATGCACATTGGCATGTATGCCAGATACACATTGACATGTATGCCAGATGCACATTGACATGAATGCCAGATACACATTGAGATGTATGCCAGATGCACATTGACATGTATGCCAGATGCACATTGACATGTATGCCAGATGCACATTGACATGTATGCCAGATACACATTGACATGTATGCCAGATACACATTGACATGTATGCCAGATACACATTGACATGTATGCCAGAAGCACATTGGCATGTATGCCAGATACACATTGACATGTATGCCAGATACACATTGACATGTATGCCAGATACACATTGACATGTATGCCAGATACACATTGACATGTATGCCAGATGCAGATTGACATGTATGCCAGATACACATTGACATGTATGCCAGATGCACATTGACATGTATGCCAGATACACATTGACATGTATGCCAGATACACTTTGACATGTATGACAGATACACATTGACATGTATGCCAGATGCACATTGACATGTATGCCAGATGCACATTGACATGTATGCCAGATGCACATTGACATGTATGCCAGATACACATTGACATGTATGCCAGATACACATTGGCATGTATGCCAGATACACATTGACATGTATGCCAGATGCACATTGACATGTATGTCAGATGCACATTGACATGTATGCCAGATACACATTGACATGTATGCCAGATACACATTGACATGTATGCCAGATACACATTGACATGTATGCCAGATACACATTGGCATGTATGCCAAATACACATGGACATGTATGCCAGATGCACATTGACATGTATGCCAGATGCACATTGACATGTATGCCAAATACACATTGACATGTATGCCAGATACATATTGACATGTATGCCAGATGCACATTGACATGTATGCCAAATACATATTGACATGTATGCCAGATACACATTGACATGTATGCCAGATACACATTGACATGTATGCCAGATGCACATTGGCATGTAAGGAATCATTTACTTTTACTGCAGAAAATAAAAATCAAAGTATTTTCTGTCACTGGTTTGTGCTTTGCAGATGTTTGAAGGAAAGGAGAAGAGACGGGAGCTGATAGCTGAAATCAAGTCCACCCATGCCCTTCAAGAGAGAGAACAAGCCATGAAGGAGCACGAACGGCTTGTGACGCTTGCTCTACAAAAACAGAGGACAATCCATGCACATAAGGTAGGCATTTTTATCTTAAGTTTTTTTTAGGTTACAATTATTTATCATAAAATGTGTAACCTTTAGTTTAAATTGTAAGAGAATTAGAGAGTAAGGAGAACAAGATGGGGAGGATGTCGGGTGACCTAAAAGAATCCATTATGATTACAAGAATTTGGATAACTGTTTTGTATAAATGAATTATGTATTGATAAATGTCAACTAACTTTAAATAACGTTTTCTTCCTGTATGGTTCATGCAGTGTCCTGTCGGTAGATGGAAAATTGTTGTATGTTGCTTTTTGTTGAGTCTTCTGATGTGGTCTTGTGGATGTTTACTGTTAGTTTGTTCTCTCCACAATTCCTTGTATTTTCCCTTGATGAGTGTTTTGATTTCTGATAATGACAATGAATATGAGATCCTACTTCTTCTTCTTCTTCACTTCCTCTTTTACCACTTTCTATGTTCAGGGGGAAAAAAGGTTCTACTTCTTACTGTTCTTGCTCCTCGACCATCGACACATCTTGCTGTTGTAGAGTTTCTCTGATATTATCTTTCCATTTTCTTCTTGGTCTACCGCCTGCTGTATGTTAAGAAACCCTAACTTTGGGTAACTTTTCTACCTAGAAGATTTGTTTGTTAACTAGATCCTAAAATGGATAACTTTTCTACCAGAAATAATTGTTTTTCGATGACACACTTACTTTGAATAACCTTTCTACCTGGAAATATCTCTTGGTAATGAATCCCTTAATGTTAGATAATATTTCTGCTACCTGCCTAATGTTATCCTTTGTTTATGGATCTCTAGCTTTAGATGTGAGTGTTTCCCTGGCAAAGTGGTCAAGTCAATTGGCTAGCATTCTCAAAGTCATGGGTTCATTTTACAGATATTTTATTTAGTTCACGAGCACAGTTTAGAAGATCCTGGGAGTTGTCTCTGGAGCAGCAGAGTCTGTGCTTTGTGTGATGCTATTAGTACATGGCTAGCTGTTACATGGACAGAGACTGAGCCATGTTGGATAGCCCAGTACAATAAGATAAATCCTCTCAATTTTAAACTTCAACTTTTAACTTCGGAAAACTTTTTCACCTGAAAAAATCACTTGTTGATGGATTCCTAGCTTTCAGTAACTTTTTTCCCCCAAAGGAATCTCTTGTTGATGAGTCCCTGGCTGAACTTGAAAGCAAAAGTCTGGGTGAGATGTTTGACTTTCTTTCAAAAGAGCTGATTCGACTTCAAGAGGAACGGAGGATTCATGCCTTCACCATGCTGGCTGAGAGACACAGAAGAATTAGAGAAGCTGAAGAAAGTGGTAGAAGGCAGTGGGAGATTCGGAGACGGCGAGAGGAGGATGAGATATTTAAGCAGGTAAGAACATGTGTTTTCCAAGTGTGTTTAGGAGTTCTATTTTGGGGAAACTTTTTCTTCTTCTTTGCTGTAGACCAGTCTTGAATCTGGCAGAAAGTTCCAGTGGTTTGCAAATTTCTGGACTTTAGTCTTATCACAGAACTTGAGTTTTGCATGCATATCTGTTTCACAGATCTGGCTTATTTGAATGCAGACTGTTGGTTCTACACCTCTCAGGCATATGCACTTCAGCTGTGAAGGACACTTTAGGAATTGGCTGAAATCAGATGTAGTTGGCTAAAAGACGCAGATATTGCAGCCTAGCTGTAAACTACAACACATTCTGCCAATGGCCTGTTATAGGGTGAACACTGAACCATAAAGCCCTTGTATGGACACGAAGGGACAAGAAAACTGGGAAGGATAAGGGAGACCCTACATAGAACCATCATCAGGGAAGGCTTAACTATGGGTCTAAGGAACATTCAAGACCAAAATTAGGTGGCAACCAGCCACCAGACATGCAGAGCTATAACCTCTGCTCTATGTGCCGCCCTCGGCTCAAGAAGAAGGACTAACCTATTACTGGCTGACAGGTTAAGACAACATCTTTTGGATGTACAGAACAGTGCCCTGAAGTCAGTACCGTTGCACTTTAGCTTCCAGGATCACCAAGGTGTCCACGACATGGAGGTGACAGTCATTAAATCTAGCCACTCCAGCAACAGAGTCTGCAAGTTTCTCGACAATCGCTTTTTTTTTCACTTTGGGAACCCTCACATCCAGGGACTGAACTGTCAACAGTTTCATCTAGAATTCTCAAGTTATGGCCCTTGGCATTCCACTGCTAAATATTCTCAGGCTCTATGTTGTCTGTTTATTTCACTGGTATGACATCATCGTGGCTGCTTCAGGATACGTCAGTTAAGTGATTTTGTATATTCGTATTTCCTCATCTTCAGCAGCAAGCATAGTGTTCCACTTCTTATGATACCAATAACAGTCTGATTATGTATCCATCTCAGCCTTCATCTGAGAGTTGAGCATAAGCCGATTCCCAGCTTCAGATTATAATGAGGCAGTGCTGAACCAGTCAGTCTATCTGCCTGTTCATTTCCCACCACGCTAGCATAATTGGAAAAAATATTTCTCCATTAAGACCTCCTGCCTGACACGCATCTTGAAAGATATAAAACCGAACGAAAAGTATATAAGCATATTAGCAAGCTTCACAATATAACAAATACAAACAAAATGTGAACGCTGCAGCTATGGAGCCTTCATCAGCACATACAAATCAAACAATACTACACAAATACACATCTTGAAAGAGATGTCTAGGGAGGGTTGGTGTGAGACTGACTACCTCCTGAAGAAAACTTGTGCCATCAGGGACTAGTCTAATAAAGAGCTTCATGTGAGGTCATTGAGGGCCTATACTGCAAATAAAGCTGAAAAAAAAGAAGAAAAAATAGTAGGAGGGAGAAAAATGGCTGCTAGTGAGTGAACTAACTTGGAACTATGCTACTAACTTTATGTATTTTTGTTTTTTTACTGCTAATGAACAACAAATAATCAAGTTATGAATTTGACACATTTCTTTATAACAGTAAAGTAAAGGACCCTGACTGCAACAGTGATACAACAAACATATGGTGCTGGAATCATGTTTTTTAAACACCAATAAGCGCATGATGTGTTATGTGATTACCATTATATCTGCCGCCTTTACTTCCTGGGACATTTCATGGTGCCCATTTTAAGCTGGATCGACTGGGAAGCCTAGGCTAATTTTGAACCAAAAAAATCCAAGTCGTTGCACATTTCTTTGGTTGGTAGTGAAATTTGCAAAGAATTAAGCTACCTGTTTGAAACTGCAGGTTGTCAAGACCCATCAGATGACTGTCGATACATATCTTGAAAGCATCATTGCTGGCTCCATTGACAATACTGCTGATGAGCAAGCCAGGAAAGAAATTGAAGCCCAAGCAGAAGTCATCAACGATTTGGCTTATGAAGTGGAGGAAAAGTAAGACATTTATCAGTACAAGACAGTGCACGATGTGTGACTGGTTATTCCCCATTTGTTCCAAATGTCACCTCATGCTTTTTCTTACATTTGGGTTTGGCCAGCTCATACTAAAGAAATCTGGCCATCCGTTGAACAATATACATGCTCTTTCTGCAGCACAGCAGATCCTGTCTGGGACTATTTTAGCTTGATAACATACATGTTGACCTACAAACAGTAGAGTCACTAATTAGAAAGAGAAGTCCGTGTGGGGGTTCTGGGGTCCCATCATGAGGAACACAAGAATAGACCCACTGTCTTCCCAACAAGCATGTTGTAAGAGTCAACTAACTGGTGGCTTTCTTCACAGTCAGAGTGAATCTGCCTGAGAGGCAAGGAATCAACAGTCTGCATTTCAAATAAGTCAGACATGTAAAATGGATGTGCACACAACACTCAGGTTCTGGAACAAGACTAAAGTCCAGAAGGGGATGAACAACCAGGACTTTCTGCTGAAGTTTACAGCCAGTGAACGGGAAGAAGAAGAAGAGAAATTGAAGGCCAGTCACTGAAATAATACTTTATTTTAAATTAGTTAAAGATAATTTGCAAGAATGTCTGGCAGGAAGAAAGGGAGAAGAGAAAAAAAGAACATGTTTACAGCCAGTAGGCTACTAAAACCATCCCCATCTACACCTTCTGTCACTTGTTGAGGGAGCTGAGCATATCTGGGTGCCTTGTGGGAGAGCGTGTACAGTTTGGAGGAGCAGATGGATCATCACAGTCTAGTGAGATTGATGCAGGGAGGAGTGATGAGAGGTTCTGGCAGATGCTCGAGGCTCAAAGGAAAGGCATGACGGACGTTTAATCAGAATGCCACTGGCACCACTAGTATCAGAACTCTTTACTGGCTACTGAAGATGGGGACGGAGAGCTTATTTGAATGCCCCGAGTGCTATGATGTCGGTTCTTGAACCAACTCAACTCAGCATATTTGGGTATCTCTATTTGCACTTTTGTGCTTCATTCTAAAACTAATGAGACGATCAGATAATCAGTTCTTGTCAGTGCATACATGCATGCATTTTCCCCTTCAAGCTGCTTTCTGAAGATTTAATGATCCTGAGGTTACAAAGATGTTGAGATATTGAAAACCTGGAGAATTGTTGCTGGCGGGTGAAGAGAGAGATGAAATAAAATGGGCTTTTGTTGATTGCTCTGACATCCAATCTTAACCAGGGTTAATCTGCATAGAAAAATATCAATCTGAATAGCAGTCCTAGATGGCAAATGTCAAATGTCCCATTTGACCTCCAAAGAAGTTATAATTTTAATGGTAGCAAGTTTTACAGAAGAATGCTTTAAATACCTTTGACAGCCAAAAAGAGCAACCAAGAGGTTTTGAAAGAGGTTGTCAAAGACAACTAATCACAGACATCAGAAGGAGACAGTCATCATTTTTCAGCCATGTTATTAGAAGAGGAAAAATGGAACATGTTGTGACCACTGGAAAGATCCGTGAAAGGAGGGATAAAGGAAGACAACAAGAGAAGATTCTTGACAGTCTTGTTACATGGCATGGAGGTGTGTTAACACATGAACTAACACATGCTGCAGGAGATCGCAGATTGTGGAGTGGCATGATTGCCCACACCAGTCAGCAAGGCACCTGATGGTGATGATAGGTAACAGACACAACCTGCAATTCTGTCTGGGTAAAAATGATAAATAAGTTTGTTCTTGGTCAGTGTGTTTGTACTGTTTATCCCCTCCATGTTGCTTGCTGAAAAATTTGACACACTGAAATCAGAACTCAGTCTGAATGGCAGACCAACAGGACCTGAAGGTTTGACACTGTGAGACTAAAGAATCTCAGTGCTGGTGGCAGACCAACATGACCTAAAGGTTTGACACTGTGAGACTAAAGAATCTCAGTGATGATGGAAGACCAACAGGACTTAAAGGTTTGACACTGTGAGACTAAAGAATCTTAGTGATGATGGAAGATCAACAGGACTTAAAGGTTTGACACTGTGAGACCAAAGAATCTCAGTGCTGATGGCAGACCAAAGGGACCTGAAGGTCTGACACCAAAATATTTCAGTTCCTGAGTCTGATGTTATCTACCAGCCAGTCTTCCTTGATGTTCAAATCTTCAGGGGATGTCAGTACTTCTTTTCTTCTTTGTCCACAGTATTCTGAGAATCTTTCAATAACATTTCAGCTGACAAACCCTTTTTTTTCATCCTTGAGGTCTGTAAGATGGTCCACAACTCACATCAATAAGTTGCCATAGGGAAGACACATTGCTATTAAAATTTTGATGTGATTTCCTTGCTTGTGTTTAACCATAGACTGTTTAATCTTTGCATTACTGCAGTTATGCTCCTTTGGCCTCTGTGATACAGTCTTAGTCTCCATTGCTGTTTATTATGGAGCCTAAGTTAGTTGCGTATCCTTTACAGGACGTTGCAGAACCAACCCTAACAGCCCCGGCTGTTGTGTGGTTTCTCTAGGCAAGTTACATCCAGTAGTTTGCCATTGCTTTCTGGACGGTCGGCTTTCTTGATACCACTGTCGAAACCAACGTAAGGCGCATGGCCCGCAGCTGGGATCGAACCTGGCATCCCGGCATTACGAAGCGAAGCGTTCGCATCGACTTAGCCACAGAGCCGACATTATTGAGCCTATCAGAGTGAAATTTACTGACCACTCACTCATCTATTACTGAATGGCATATGGAATTAGCATCCTTTACCAAGTCATGGAAATAATATATGTGTGTCTAATTTCCATGTTGTTCAATTTACAGACGTGACAAACTTGAATCAGAGGAAATTGTTGCGGATCTGGTTCATTGTTTCCTGATCCCTGAAGCTAAGAAAGCCACAGTCAGAGAGAAGGGTACGACTTTTCAATGTCATTATTGTTTTTCCTGTTATCTTCTTACTAGAATTTGCTGGTTACTTTAAAAAAAAAAATTTAATTTAACTTTGCGAGAAAAATGATTGAATGTGATGATGAGCTGAATATTGTGTTTGTAGATCAAGAAAAAGCTTTTGTTAGAAAAGACAGAAACATACTATGGGCTATTCTTGAGGATTAGGGTATACAAGGAGGGTCGTCATCGCTAGAAGCTCGCGTACGGATCAGAAGGTCGTGGGTTCGCTCCCTGGACTTTTTTCAAAAAGGACCTTGACTTCCAGGTCGACTAAACCTTGAGTAGGTACCGGGTGAAATCATAGGAAGTAAAGGCGGCCGGCAAGATGCTGACCACATCACTCATCTTTTGCCGATTGGTCTATAAAATATAGGTCTAGCCCTATTTGCCCTATACACCTAAGGGGGTGGAAAAGGGTCATTTACTTTTTTTCAAAATTATGATAAACTAAATATTGTGTTTGTAGATCAAGAAACAGCTTTTGTTAGAGTAGACAGAAACATACTGTGGGCTATTCTTTAGGATTATGGGGTACAAGGACAGTTGCTGGATAACACTGTGGCCATGTACTATACTTCCCAAAGCGCAGTGAGAACACAAGAAGGCATATCTGATATTTTTTGCAGTCAGTATAGGGGTGAATGTATATAGTGGAAGAATAATTTCAATAATAGGAAGACAGAAGTAATGGTGGTATCAAAGAAACAAATTATTCTTAAATGTGTAATAAAAGTCGATGGTGTTATTTTAGGACAAGTACAGAAATTTAAGTATCTGGGCACATGGATAAATAACATCAGATGGAAGAGGCATAACTGAGATAAGAAACAGAATAGGACAGGCAAAAACTGCATTTTATAAAATGAAAAACATCTTGTGCAATATATCCTTGTCATTGAGAGTTAGAAAAAGAATTCTTGCTTGCTACATACATCCAGTTTTAACATATGGCTGTGAATCCTGGACAATCGGTAGGCAGGCCAAACAATTTCTTCAGGCCTCAGAGATTTGGTTTTACAGAAGAATGCTTAGAATACCTTGGACAGCCAAAAAGAGCAACCAAGAGGTTTTGAAAGAGGCAGGAACCCGAAGACAACTTATCACAGACATCAGAAGGAGACAGTCATCATTTTTCGGCCATGTTATGAGAAGAGTTAAATAAGAACACGTTGTGACCACTGGAAAGATCTGTGGAAGAAGGGATAGAGGAAGACAATGAGAGGAGATGCTTGACAGTCTTGTTGCATGGCATGGAGGTGTGTCAGCACACGAACTGATACATGCTGCAGGAGATCGCAGATTGTGGAGAGGCATGATCGCCCACGCCAGTCGGCAAGGCACCTGATGATGATGATAATAGGGGTGAGGCAGAGATATGTGCTGCCTCCGGTCTTATTTAGTATATACATATACAGAATATCAAAAGAAGCCAACTTTAAAACATTTGACCCAAAAATATCCAGAAAATTAAGAATTTTAGATCCACACACAATAAACAAGCTAATATTTGCAGATGATCAGTGTCTGTTCTACAATGATGGGAGTAGACTGCAAGACCATTTGAACAATTTTGCCTGTGATTTTGTTTTGTTCAAAATTGTGTTTTCAAGAATTCCCTGGTTCTGGTTTTGTTTTCTCCACAGGGTTTCGGTATAAAAGGGTTAAGAACTGACAACGTAGCCTATGGTGCATACCCATACTCCATCTTCTGTAGTAAATGTCTTAAGATGCAGATGCTAACTGTTTCCTACCAGTAGCTTACTGTTTGCAAAAGAGTATTACATGAATTTTAACATCTGACTGATAGCATATATCTATCTTTAATAGTTGGGGGGAGCAAGGATAGTAGATAAGCTAGGCATTTGCCTTTTGGTCCAAGGGTTCTGGGTTCAAATCTACACCAAACTGTTAATTCCCTCAATGCTTGTTGGCAAAAGTGGAAGTTAATTTTAAAAACCATGAGAATAACAATGATGCTTTGAAATTATTTTCAGTTCGTCGAAACCAACGTAGATTTCTGCTAGCAGCTCATAGAGAAATCCACAATGAAGGCTCGGAGATTATTGCCACCAACAACAAACTGAAAATGTCAGGAATTGAAACTGGGGCAGAGGAAGCTACAACCAGAGCCATTTCCATGATAGTGGCCGATTCTATTTTTGAAGATGAACAGCTTGAAACTATTGAAGAACAAAATATTTGAGTGAGCAGTTGTTCTGTCACTCTTTCATTATTAGGTGGTTCTGACTTCCACATTGTCTATCAAATGTTTCTGTACTACAGCATCAATTTCCTTGTGTCTTATAGACTTTTAATGAGTGAATATCAGGTGAATTGTATACCTGTTACAGCTGTGATTGCTGTTTGCACTTTCCACTGAAAAAACAATGCATTACTTCACTATTTATTATTACTTATCATGTAGCAAGTCCTTTGCAGAACATCACTCTCATCACAGTCTGCTTGACAAAAACTCAGTCTCTCGCCGGCTCTCCCGCCTCATGTACTTTCATTTTTAAGGAGTCACTTATTTCTTGTGCCCATCTCCGTGTTGGTCGGCCCCTGTCCCTTCTTCTTGGTACCAAGCCCTCTGCTATTATTTTTCCAAATCCATTGTGGGTTTTATATGACCAAAATATTTCAGCTTCCGAGACAGGATGCTGTTTATCAGCCAATCTTCCTTGATGTTCAGATCTTTCAAAATGTTAGTATTTCTTCTCTTCTTTGTCCAAAATATTCTGAAAATCTTTCTATAGCATTTCAGCTCAAAAGCCCCTATTCTCTTTCTTGGGGGATAGTGCATGACTCATATCCTTATATTGCTTCAGGGAAGATGCACACTCTCAAAATTCTAATTTTGATCTCCCATTTATTATTACTGTTTACTATTTATTAGAAATACACCACTTTAGAACTCAAATAAAGTGAAAAGAATATGCTCTCTGCATGCCTACACTACTCGTATACAAACAGTGCGTGTGAAAGTTACCAGTAACCAGTTTTTCAGTGCTGTGTAAGTATACTCTTAACAGTGAAGCAACAACAAGGAAAATATCACATGACCCCCTCTCCACTGTAATTATTACCTGCTAATGCTTACACATGCAAACTGATCATTGCTTGCTACTGGTCAATATAATACAAAAAAATATAATATAATGAGTTAAGAAAGCCACTGAGATAGAATGGTTCAACATAACAGAAATAAACACAGCAAATTGATGAAAGTCAAGGGGGAATGTCTGATTGCAGGACTCTAGTTCATTATGATTCAACAACTCACAAGTATTCTCTAGTTACTTACATTTCTGTGTGTTATACAAATGTCTTCTCTTTCTTCTCATCCTCTTTTAACATTTGAGTGTCGAACTAGATACAAGGTTCTGTTTCTTGCTCTTTTGGTCATGTCGATGATAGACACATTGTGCTATTATAGAATTTCTCTTGTGTTATCTTTCCATTTTATTCTTGGTCTACCTCATGAGCTGTGACTGTTAGTGCAATGGAGCAGTAAATGGCAAAGACTGTTATGATAATTTATAGGCATTTTCCTTACACAGGCACAAGATATTTGGAAACATTAAAGAAAAAAAAAGGGTAAAGGACCTTTTTCCCACACCTTTCAGGCGTATTGGGTATATAGGGCTAGATCTATATTTTGTAGACCAAACGGCACTTGGTGGGTGATGTGGCTAGCATCACGCTGGCCACCTTTTTTCTTGCCAGGACTCTCCTACTCAAGGCTGGGTCCACCTGGTGGCCAAGGTCATTTAAAAAAAAAGTCTGGCCCCCATCAGGAACCGAACCCACCACTTCCCGATCCTTAGATGAGCGTGTAGCCACTAAGCCACAGCGGCTCCTCTTGTGGAATTTTTATTTTTGAAAAAAAAAATTATAATACCTATATAGGTATTGACAATTGTTATAATTAGAGAAGTCACTGTGTAAATTATTATATCCTTGAATATGTATCCTTTTCTTATGGCTGTTGACACTTGCAATAAGTCGTCTTCTACTTGCAGTTAGTAGTTGATGACCTTGGGCTGGTTGTCTAGGAGATGATGTGTCTAGAAAATGTCTTAGCACACATTCTTAAGATGACATAACTGGAACAAACCGAAAATGACTTCAAAGTATGAAACATTTTATTAACATCTCATCACTTACATCAAATGTCCCGTCCGTGTCCTAATTCACAGCTTACACGCACCACATTGTTCAGACTCCAACATGGCTGACTTCTCACACATTCATTGACCAGAGTTCGGTGCCTTCACTTCCACATCACCGCATAGATATATCTGGTCATTTCCTCAAGCTTTACACCACTTGGCTTGGCTGGACTTGGCTTGGCTGGACTTGGCTTCGATGGATATTGTCGTCTGGTCTTCCTTTCGCAACACCCAGTTTCACGTTGTCATTCTAACGAACACTCTCACGTCCTCTCGCTCTGACGGTCAACACATACTAACTTGACCAGACTGGGGTCTGTCGTATACCCAGTGTTCGTTCCACGTGGTGACACGTGGTTGTTCTTGGGTTCCACATGGTGACCTGTGGTCATTCTCCTTTGGCTTCACGTGATAACTCGTGGTCGTCCCCCATCTTGAAAACCTCGGTTAATCCGAGTATCTCGCTTCTCTCAGTATTATTGTTAGCTTGGGGCTTTCCCCCCAACCTTCCTAATCAGGGTGAAAATATCCCCCATTACAACACATCAGGCATTCACCAGTGGTCTCTTCTTTTGGCTGTTGACACATAAGGCATTCACCAGTGGTCTCTTCTTATGGCTGTTGACACATAAGGCATTCACCAGTGGTCTCTTCTTTTGGCTGTTGACACATAAGGCATTCACCAGTGATCTCCATTGCTGCTTGTCTGCTGTTTCGCTGCACACTGTATCCCTTGTCAGTTTACACTCCTTCATTTCTCTTTCTAATGTTCTTTTCGAGGTTTTCTTTAGCTCATCCACATCTTTTTTCATCCGCCGTCCATCAGAGAGCAGTCATTACCAAAGGGACTTGAGGCTTCTGCAAACATAACCAAGCCATTCTCCATCTTCTTTCATCTACAATGTTTGCCACTGATGAAGATTTTATTTTCCTCCTCAGTTCCACATTTGTGAACTTGTTTGGCCAAAATATTCGCAGGATTCTCCTTTGACATTTGTTTTGAAAAGTCAATAGTTTAAGTGTAAAAATTAAAAAGTAAAGCTGTTTTTTTTTGGGTCATGCCTTCAGGCAAATTGGGCATATAAGGCTAGACTTATATTTTATAGACCAATTGCCACTCTGTTGGTGATATGGCTAACATCAGATCAGCCGCATTTACTTCCCAGGACTCTACCTGGTATCCATTTAAGACCGGGTCAAGCTGGGAGCCATGGTCATTTTTGAAAATATAAGTTTGGCTCCGTGAGGATCTATATCCATGACCTTCCGATCCGCAGGTGAGCGTCTATCTGCTACACAGTGAAACACTATTGTATAATAGTATTCCTAAAATTTTGCTTTTTTAAAAAATCTAAGTAAGTCCTTTATTAACATTCTACCCAAGATGACATCACAGGACAGTCCAACATTTTAGAGAGTGGTAAGACTGGGTTTCCTGGCTTTCTGGTGCTTTAAACGAACCCACAACATTTAGAACTGACCCTAACCCGAACCCACCTACGTCCCATGATAAAGTGCAACCTAGGTCCCATGACTGCATGCAACCTAGGTTCCACGACTGTATGCAGCCTATCAACCACCCCCTGAAATATTAGACTGTCCCATGACCTGTGGATTTCTTCTTCTTTTTTCACTGTCTCATTGATAGCAGTTACGGGGGCTGCGTTAGTCCAGTCGATAGGAGACTCGCTTTCAAATCCAGCCGCGACTCGTTGCAGCTCACGGCTAGTGTTCGAACCTGGCGTTCCCGGGGTTCACCTTGCCTCTAGTTAATAGGTACCAGAGTTAACACTGGAGTAAATGGAGGAACATCGCCGTAGCTATAGAGTTGTGTGCAGACGGTGACACAGGCGGACAGTTTCTTATCAGCTGTCCGTAGTGGTGGCAGAACACTTATGGTTTATAACCGCGTGCATTGATGCTGGTTCACATCTCCTGACTTTTCCTTTACCCATACTTTTACTGATACCAGGTTGCAGCCCAGTATACCAGGTTGCAGCCCAGTATACCAGGTTGCAGCCCAGTATACCAGGATGCAGCCCAGTATACCAGGTTGCAGCCCAGTATACCAGGTTGCAGCCCAGTATACCAGGTTGCAGCCCAGTATACCAGGTTGCAGCCCAGTATACCAGGTTGCAGCCCAGTATACCAGGTTGCAGCCCAGTATACCAGGTTGCAGCCCAGTATACCAGGTTGCAGCCCAGTATACCAGGTTGCAGCCCAGTATACCAGGTTGCAGCCCAGTATACCAGGTTGCAGCCCAGTATACCAGGTTGCAGCCCAGTATACCAGGTTGCAGCCCAGTATACCAGGTTGCAGCCCAGTATACCAGGTTGCAGCCCAGTATACCAGGTTGCAGCCCAGTATACCAGGTTGCAGCCCAGTATACCAGGCTGCAGCCCAGTGCTGTGGATTTCTATGTTTGTCTTGCACTTCTCAAGTGGTTTGTGTGATGGATTTGATCATCTTTTTGCAGGTTTCAGCTGCACGATTTCAGCATCTCTTTTTTGGTCTTTCTCTTCCCTTCCTCCCAGATGTTCTACTCTAAAAAAATCTCACGTGCAGTTCTGGCGCCATTGTCCTGAGATGGATGAACCTTTTAACTCTTTGTCTGTCAATATAATTCAGACACTGTCTAATTCCAACATTCTCTGTAAAGTTGATATTTGTAAACCTGTCCACTTCTTGTGCTGTTAATGACCATATGGATTCAGGGGCATTTTACAGGTGGTTAATTTCTGTTCTAGTGCCTAACTCATTGTATATCAAAATATAAATCTGTTTTCATAAACTCAATTACTTATTTAGAGTCTACAATATAAACGAGAGATAAAAAGTGTTGGAGATCCCATTCTTATGTTATGTTATGTTAAGTTATGTTATCACAATCGACAACACTGCACATTGGGCATTCCCATGCTTGCTCAGTCCTCCGATGCAGCAGCCACTCCAAAGTACTTCTACTAATTGTTCCCATGAGAAGCTGGTTATATTGTCTTCTATCTCGGCCTCGAAGACGGCATAGACAGGC